ATTATGACAGGTATTTCATATGAAGACATACTGATTGCTGTAATCCCAGCACTTTGGGAGGCCAAGGCGGGCAGATCACTTAAGGTCAGGAGTTCGAGACCAGCCTGGCCAACATAGTGAAACCTCGTCTCTACTAAAAATACAAAAGTTAGCCAGGTATAGTGGCGCATGCCTGTAATCCCAGCTGCTTGGGAGGCTGAGGCAGGAGAACTGCTTGAGCCTTGGAGGTGTGGGTTGCAATCAGCCAAGATTGTGCCACTGTACTCCAACCTGAGTGACAGAGCAAGACCTTGTCTCAAAAAAAGCCATACTGGTTGGAACCTTAGTTTCATCAAAATAAATATGTTTTTAAAATCAGCTTCTCTAGGGGATTGTAAAAAGACGCAACCAAAAAAACCAATTGTTTTGCAGTTCCTTTGCCATAAATAGATTTCTGTAAATCTGGCAAGTGAGTGAGAGGAGACTACAAATGGTTTGATGTGAAAATTTTAAATGTGAGGCTGGCATGGTGGCCACACCTGTGATCCCAGCACTTTGGGAGGCCGAGATGGGCAGATCACCTGGGGTCAGGAGTTTGAGACCAACTTGGCTAACCTGGCAAAACCCCATCTCTACTAAAAATACAAAAAAATTAGCTGACAGGGGGTGGTGCACGCCTGTAATCCCAGCTACTCAGGAGGCTGAAGCAGAATTGCTTGCACCCAGGAGGCGGAGGTTGCAGTAAGCCAAGATCATGCCACTGCACTCCAGCCTGGGTGACAGAGTGAGACTGCATCTCAAAAAATCAAACAAACAAAAAAAACTTTAAATGTGGAATAATGTACTACTTATACTGGAGGCTCACAGACTTGACGATAGTTAGTTCATGCTTAATTTTTAAAATTCTTTGCAAGTGTTCTTGTCTCTTCAGTTTCTTCTTACACATTTTCTGATTTCACACATTGACATTTGTAGCGATGATCAGGAGAAACAGTCCAAGAAGAAACCTCGCCTCTTCTGTGACATTTGTGACTGCTTTGATCTCCACGATACAGAGGATTGTCCTACCCAGGCACAGATGTCAGAGGACCCTCCCCATTCCACACACCATGGCAGTCGGGGTGAGGAGCGCCCATACTGTGAAATCTGTGAGATGTTTGGACACTGGGCCACCAACTGCAATGACGACGAGACCTTCTGATGAAGCCTCAAGTGGAGGACACGGCTCTCTCAGATGCACTCGCACTGACACAGCGTAACACCAGCATTGTGTGTGCAGACTCCAAGAGAACTCATGGTATTTTTTACCCCATCAGCAAATCTAGGAAAATATTTTGATCTTCAACAAATTGCCCTTTAGTCTCCCCTTATGAGTTAGGAGAATAAATATTTAGTAGGTGAGTTTTCACCTCAAATTTTGTTTTCTTGATTTTTAAGTTTGAAGACATTGCACCAGATGCCATTACATTTATTGTCCCTAGACCTCATAGAAAAATCCCTACCCTTACAATACCTTATTTAAGTAACTTTAAATTATGCCGTTACTTTTCATATTTGCACTAAAATGTTTCCAGGCTGCATTTGTATATTTAGATTTTTTGGTTAAGCTTTGACACTGGAATGAGTTGAAAAAATGTGCCATTTTGCATTTTCATCTACTCATTTAAAGTATTTTATTCTTATTCAAAGAAATATCTGAGCTCTTTGCACTACCTGTTATCAGTAGTGCCTTTGTTTCAGGCTTGATAATACTTAGGTGTGATTATAAAATCATGAAGCAGGTAAAGGGAGGGGAAAGCCCCCAAACTGCTGTGGGGACATTTGATAATCTATATGCTGCACCCACTTAATCTACTGTGGTGTTTTGTTTATTAGTTTTCCATAATTTCAGCTTCTATATATTATATGTATATATTTTTTAAAAATCTATATTTTGGGAAAAAAACATACACAATGTGTCTTTCTTTTTGGATATTTACCTTTTTGAAAAAGAAAACACTTAAAATGATCATTAGGACATACCGGACTAGGCCAGACATAGCATCATGCGGCTTTGCAACATTTTCATTTGTTTGTTTTCCTTTTATTTCTTAAACAGATTTAAATAACTGGAGGAATTTTCTCCAATTTTGTTTCCTTCTCTAGCAGGTATCCCCAGCAGTCAGTTAACAATAAGCCAGTATAAAACGTCTAAATTAACCAGTCTACAATCTTCCTTTACAAGTTTTTTTACTGTTTTTAGATGAATGTACGATGAGAAATTCAACATTAATAATTTTGGATTTTCTTATCACAAAAAAGAAAATGAAGGACCTCAAAGCACCAGAACAGTTTATTGACCAGTTTGAATCTATTTATCTTCATTTGAATGTCTTCTAGAATATGTAAAAAGGAATAAAATGTATCTTCCATGCTACATGTACAATAAGAACTTCTATAATTGTATATATGCCTTTGATGTATTTTCCCCTCAAGATGATCAACTGTGTGTTTGACAGTGAATATTAAATCTGTTACCAGTTGAAATTTTTGGTTATAAATGTAATACAAATTGTTTGACAAACAGAAAACGTGTAAAGCAGTATTAAAATTTGGCCAAACAAGTGTTCTGTATCTACTTTAATAAATGGTTATTCGTTTTTGTTTTGTGGGTTTGGTTTTGTTTGCACAGGCTGTGGATTGCTGCAGCCTCCAACTCCTGGGCTCAAGCAATCCTCTCGCCTCAGCCACTGAAGTAGCTAGGACTACAGGCAAGTGCCACCACACCTGGCCAATTTTTTTTTTTTTCGAGACTGAGTCTCGCTCTGTCGCCCAGGCTGGACTACAGTGGCTCAATCTCAGCTCACTGCAAGCTCCGCCTCCGGGGTTGACGCCATTTTCCTGCCTCAGCCTCCGGAGTAGCTGGGACTATAGGCATCTACCACCACGCCCAGCTAGTTTTTTGTATTTTTAGTGGAGACGGGGTTTCACCATATTAGCCAGGATGGTCTCGATCTCCTGACCTCGTGATCCGCCCACTTTGGCCTCCCAAAGTGCTGGGATTACAACGCCTGGCTAATTTTTAAATTTTTTTGTAGAGAGTGAGTCTCCTTATGTTGCCCAGGCTGGTTTTGAACTCCTGGCTTCAAGATCCTCCCACCACAGCCTCCTACAGTGTTGGGAGTACAGGTGTGAGCTGTACTTGCCCAGCTAATAAATGCTTATTCTTTTTTGCTAATGGTAGTAAACTGATATTCTCAGGTTTGTCATAATGGTTTTACTTCAAATGATCAAACCCTATACAGTCATATAGCAATTTCTACTGCAGTCTTGTTACTAAATGGTTTTTAAGAAATTGGTGGCTGGCTGGGCGCGGCGGCTCACGCCTGTAATCTCAGCACTTTGGGAGGCGGAGGTGGGCATCAAGACCATCCTGGCTAACACGGTGAAACCCCATCTCTACAACAAATATAAACAATTAGCTGGGTGTGGTGGGCGGGCGCCTGTAGTCCCAGCTACTCGGGAGGCTGAGGCAGGAGAAGCTGCAAATGTGTCAGGCAAGCGGGAGATTACCAATGGCTCAGAACTCTGCCACCCACACTGCAGCCTGGGCGACAAGACAAGTCTCACAAAAAAAAAAAAAAAAAAAAAAAAATTGGGAGCTGGGCGTGGTAGCTCACACCTGTAGTCTCCAGCACTTTTGGGAAGTAGGTGGGTGAATCACGAGGTCAGGAGATTGAGACTATCCTGGAGGCCAAGGTGGGTGAATCACGAGGTCAGGAGATTGAGACTATCCTGGCTAACACGGTCAAACCCCATCTCTACTAAAAAAATACAAAAAATTAGCCAGACGTGGTGGCACATGCCTGTAGTCCCAGCTACTCGGGAGGCTGAGGCAGGAGAATTGCTTGAACTCAGGAGGCGGAGGTTGCAGTGAGCCGAGATTGTGCCACTGCATTCCAGCCTGGGTGACAGAGCAACACTCCGTCTCAAAAAAAGGTAAGCTATTCACTCTCGAAGGAAATTTTCGTCTTTGACCAGATCCCAAAAAGCCCATTTCCACCCCAAAGTATCGAAACGCATATATTCTACTAATATTAATAATTTATTGAGCAATTAAGTTCCAGGCACCCAGCTAAGCCTTTCACGTGGACTACACGATGAAATTCATGTCCTCATTGGTCCTCACTACAACTCAGAGGTAACATGGAATTTTACTGAGGCAAGTGGTGGGACCTGGATTCCAGAAGCAATACTATTTGTGTGAAATGCCACATCGCTGTAAAAGTCTGTTAGGAAGGGATTACCCCCCTCCCCCCCCCAAAAAAAACCGTCCACTCAAGATTCCCTCGACTCCTCACCATATTCATTCATTTTAGCTCACAAATCAAAACAGCCTTGATTACTGCAAAGCTAAGAACCTTCTGACTGCTATAATTTAAAGTATTTGAGCAGTGGGTGGCGGCGCACACCTGTGCTTCCAGCTACTCTGGCGGCTGAGGTGGGAGGATCATTTGAGCCCGGGAGGTAGAGGCTGCAGTGAGCTATGATCATGTCACTGCACTCCAGCCTGGGCGACAGGGTGAGACCGTCTCAAAAAAAATTTTTTTTTTCTGTCCAAATTTGGCCTTAAGATATCTTACAGCAAGTACGTTTGCTGCAAATAAAAATTCGCGATTTTTAAAAGGGACAAGAAACAATTTCTTTTTTGTTTGTTTGGTTGTTTTGTTGTTGTTGTTGTTGTTGTTTGAGACGAAGTCTGCCCAGGCTGGTCTCGGACTCCCGGCCTCAAGCTATCACTCCTACCTCGGCCTCTTAAAGTGTTGGGATTACAGGCGTAAGCCACCGCGCCCGGTCTACTCCAGATCTTTAAAATCGCTTTTCAGCGCCCGACGACTCCTGGAGTGACCACGTTCTGAAACGCGCCCTGGGTCTTGGCGAGAATCTGAACCACCACCAGAATAGAAGAAAGAGGTGGACACTAGGGCCAGGCGAGGTAGAACCCGAACCCGGTAGACTCCGTTTTCCGAGTTGGCATGCGCAGCCGCACCAGTCACGTGGACGCGTTGTCACGTGACTGCGTCAGTGGTCCTGTTGCAACCGGCGGACGTGGTTGGCGTTGTGGGGCAGGGGGTGGTGGGGAAAGATGGCGGCACACCTGTCCTACGGGCGAGTGAACCTAAACGTGCTGCGCGAGGCGGTGCGTCGCGAGCTGCGCGAGTTCCTGGACAAGTGCGCAGGAAGCAAGGTGAGGGGCGGGAGGCAGTGACACCGCCCTCGCCTCCCTTGGTCCGGCCTGGCTTAATCCGTTCCCTGCCGCCTGAGTTCGCGGTTTACGAGGTCCCTGGGGCTTCCAAGGAGGCGAGCCTCAGGGCCCTTTTACCTGCACCCCTGTAGCGATGAAGGGCGGGCCCTGGGCGTACAGCCTGGAGCCGGAGTGGCACCGCGACTGTTTTGTGAGAGCAGAGTAAGCCACTGTGATAGCCCGGCCGCTCATGAGCCGGTTTACGTCAGGTGTTTCCTCTGCTGCCTGCCGAGGCACCGGACGGGTGGGCGGTCCAACAATGTGGATGGTCCAGTGTCCATTCATTACGGAGATCATACGTGTCAGTACAAATCGTACCTTAGAAACTCTCTTGAAACACCAGCACCTTGCAACCTGCTGCTCACGCGTGTTAAGAGAGAAGTTGTAATCATTTGGGCTTTTAACCTGGCCTCCTAAGGTAGTGTAACTTATCTAGTAGCACCGTTTTCACAAGAGAGTTAGGAACTAGATCAGAGATTTTATAGGATTTCTTTTAAATGGTGTCACCTGTCCTTCATCCCCTTAGGGTTTATCTGTCACCCTAAGTTACTGACAGTACAACTGTGAAAAGTCGAACTGGGGAGCCTCAGTCTTGGAGAGAACAGAACCGGAAGAGGTAGAGTAGGTGCTAGCAACCTTTGAGAGAAAAAAACAGACTACATCATAGGGGTCCAGTTTCAATTCAGCAAAGGATGCTGAAATCTGAATAGCATCATAGATTGTATCAATGTCAATTTCCTGGTTGTAATATGTTACCCCTGGAGGAAACTGAGCAAAGTGTACAGGGGCTCGCTCTGTATTATTTCTTTTAATTAAATGTTAATGTACGATTATTTAAATAAATATTTTAATTTAAGAAAAAAATTTATACTGGAGTTAAGCGGTAGAAATGCTCATAGGGGTCCAGAGCAGTGACTCGTGGTGTCAAAAAGTCCTAGGTTGGAGTCCTCATTCCCTTACACTCTGTATGGTCTAAGGTCTCTATATGGCCTTGGAAAGTTACTTAAACTTACTGAGCTTTTAAGAATTTTCTCTTCTGGCCAGGCGTGGTGGAAGAGGAAGTGCAATGTAATCCCAGCACTTTGAGAGGCCACAGCAGGCAGATCACTTGAGCCCAGAGTTGGAGGACCAGCCTAGGCAACATGGCGAAATCTCATCTCTACTAAAACACAAATTAGCCTGATGTGGTGGCACACACCTGTAGTCCCGGTTACTCCAGAGGCTGAGACAGGAAGATCACCTGTGCCCAGGAAATCGAGGCTGCAGTGAGCTGTGATTCCACCACTGCCCCATCTCCAAAGAAAAAAAAAATTCTCTTTTGCCAAAATAAGATTTGTGATACCTATATCGTAGGTTTTAATTCTGTATAATTGACAATTTCCATATGGCTCAATTTGATAAATCCATGACACAGATATACAAGGATGTGAATGTGGTCAGAAGTAATTAATTTTTTTTTTATTCGGCTGCATGCAGTGGCTCATGCTTGTCATCCCACCACTTTGGAAGGACGAGATGGGTGGATCACCTTAGGTCAGGAGTTTGAGACCAGCCTGGGCAACATAGTGAAACCTCATCTCTACTAAAAGTACAAAAATTGGCCAGGCATGGTGGTGCATACCTATAATCCCAGCTACTCAGGAGGCTGAGGCAGGAGAATCACTTAAACCCTGGAGGCAGAGGTTGCAGTGTGCCGAGATCACACCAATGTACTCTAGCCTGGGCAACACTCAAGACTCTGTCTCAAAAATGAAATAACAGCAAAACCCCAAACATTTTTAAATTCTTTTTTCTGCTTTATTATTATTTTAATCTTGTAACACTAAGAGAAAAATTTTTAACCCAGAATTTGAAGCAAATATTCCTTCTGTTTATGATAGGCAATTTTTTATTGATATTGTTAAAATTCCTGATATTAACTATAATAAGAGAATGTTTCTCCCCTCTTACAGGCAATAGTTTGGGATGAATACCTAACTGGACCCTTTGGCCTGATTGCACAGTATTCACTATTGAAGGTAAATGAGCTATTTGGGTTTTGTTAGGGGATTAATCTGTACTTTAGCAGTTATGGTAGGATTTTATATTTCTTCCTGAATCATTGGTTTGCAAAGCTGTTTGGTCTTTATAAACACTAACACTAGTGCCCGATTAACATTTTGTATCCATTGGCCAGTGATTCTGTACTGATTCTAGCATTATATTATGTGACCATTACCTGGTGTCTTTGATAGTTCATCATGTAAGCGTCATTTGAATGCTGATGCAGTAACAGTGGCTTTAGGGCCAGGCGTGGTGGCTCATGCCTGTAATCCCAGCACTTTGGGAGGCCGAGGCGGGTGGATTATGAGGTCAGGACTTCTGGACTAGCCTGGCTAATGTGGTGAAACTCTGTCTCTACTAAAAATACAAAAATTAGATGGACACAGAGGTGTGCGCCTATAGTCCCAGATACACAGAAAGCTGAGGCAGGAGAATCACTTGAACCCAGAAGGCGGAGGTTGCAGTGAGCCAAGATCACGCCATTGCACTCCAGCCTGGGTGACAGGGCGAGACTCCGCCTCAGAAAAAAAAAAAAACAACAGTGGCTTTATACTGAAACTTTGTCCTTTATGTATTTGGCTTTGAGGAAATCTAAGTTTCGATATTAAAATATTAATGTGCACTTGATTGGGGGTATTTATGATTTCTGAGTCTGAAAATGACAGGCAAATTTCAGTCCTTTTGTTAACCTTTTGTGTATGTGTTTGCCTAGGAACATGAAGTGGAAAAAATGTTCACACTTAAAGGAAATCGTTTGCCGGCAGCTGATGTCAAGAATATTATTTTTTTTGTCAGACCCAGGCTAGAGTTGATGGATATAATTGCTGAAAACGTGCTCAGGTATCTCAGAGCTTGTGTTTGATCTAAAAGAGTTTGGTCCTTATAATACTTTTAATGTATGAGCTCCTTCTCATGGAAGACCCTCACTCTTGCCAGTGCAAGGTGGTCTTTTGAAAAACTGGGATAAGCATGGAAGAATATGAAAGAGAAGATGGGGGCTGGGGGAAGGTGGAAATGGTTAATGGGTACAAAAAAAAATAGAATGAATAAGACCTACTATTTGATAGCACAGCAGGGGGACTATAGTTAATAATAACTTAATTGCATATTTTTAAACTTAAAGAGTAAGGCTGGGCATGGTGGATCACACTTGTAATCCCAGCATTTTGAGAGGCCAGGGCAGGTGGATCACTTGAGGTCAGGGGTTCGAGACCAGCCTGGCCAACATAGTGAAACCCTGTCTCTACTAAAAATACAAAAATTAGCCAGGTGTGGTGGCGTGTGCCTGTAGTCCCAGCTACTCGGGAGACTGAGGCATGATAATCTCTTGAACCTGGGAGGCAGAGGTTGCAGTGAGCGATCACGCCGCTGTTTGTAACTCAAAGAATAAGTGCTTGAGAGGATATGCCCGCCTGTTCTCCATGATGTTCTTATTTCCCACTGCATGCCCATATCAAAACATCTCATGGACCCCATAAACATATGTGCCTGCTGTGTACCCCCCAAAAATTGAAAATAGAGAAGATGGGAAACTTAGGAGGTCGTTCTCAGCAGTTTGAGAGGAGGATCATCCTATAACCCCATTCTTTCAGGATAGCCAAAAGCTTAAACCTGTGTCAGTAAAAAGTTTAAAAAAATAAAAAGGACCCTAGTTTAAAAAAATAAACCTCCAGCAGTAATTTTTAAATATACTGCATGTACTTGAATTTCATAAGCAAAAAAAAAAAAAGCTGATTAAAATTTAATATAGCATCCAGTCTATAGAGGAAGTGCTCCCAGCCCAGTCTCCGGTCTGTGGTACAATTGATTGTTGCAGCCCCTAAAATCTTAAAAGCATGTGGGCTATTTTTGGAAGTCCTCTGTCAAGGAGAGTAAGGGCGGGAGTCAAGAGTGATCTTTCATTTTAATTTAAGACTCTTTGTGGCTGCATTGCTTCGGTTGAAGAACCATTTGTTTTTAGTGAGACACAGATACCCTATTTCAATAAACCTGAGAGCTTTAATGCCCCATAAATGGTTTAAGAGAATGCTAGAAAGTTCTAGCCAGGACTCAGTGCTGCTTTCCTGTCAGGGGGGAGGAAGAGAGAGAGAGTGGGCACAGCTGTAACACTTTCTGTCTGAGAGTCAGTTTTTGGTTATTTTTTTGAGACACAGTCTCACTCTGTTGCCCAGGCTGGAGTGCAGTGGTGGGATCTCTGCTCACTGCAACCTCTGCCTCCAGGGTTCAAGCAATTCTCCTGCCTTAGCCTCCCAAGTAGCTGAGATTACAGGCACACCATGCCCAGCTAATTTTTGTATATTTTATTTTATTATTTATTTATTTATTTTGGGATGAAATCTCACTCTGTTGCCCAGGCTGGAGTGCAGTGGCGTGGTCTTGGCTTACTGCAACCTCCGCCTCCCGGGTTCAAGCGATTCTCTTTCCTCAGCTTCCCAAGTAGCTGGGATTACAGGTTCCTGCCACCATGCCTGGCTAATTTTTGGTATTTTTAGTAGAGATGGGGTTTCACCATGTTGACCAGGCTGGTCTCAAACTCCTGACCTTGTGGTCCGCCCGCCTGGGCCTCCCAGAGTGCTGGGATTACAGGCGTGAGCCGCTGTGCCCGGCCATTTTTGTGTATTTTATAGAAACGGGGTTTTGCCATCTTGACCAGGCTGGTCTCGAACTCCTGACCTCAAGTGATCTGCCCACCTTGGCCTCCCAAAGTGTTGGGATTACAGTTGTGAGCCACTGCACCCAGCCTGAGAGTCAGTATTTATATTATTTATCTAGCCAGCATTTATTTAGTGCCTGCTGTGTGCCAGGCAGTGGGGATAAAAAAAGCAAAGTGGTCTATGACTTTTAGGAGCTCATAAACTAACAAATGTTGCTTCCTTTGCAGTGAAGATAGACGAGGCCCGACGAGAGATTTTCATATTCTGTTTGTGCCACGCCGTAGCCTGTTGTGCGAACAGCGATTGAAGGATCTGGGAGTCTTGGGATCCTTTATTCATAGGGAGGAGTACAGCTTAGATCTCATTCCATTCGATGGGGATCTCTTATCCATGGAATCAGAGGGTGCGTTCAAAGTAAGTTTGGCATTTCCTTAACTTGAGGCATTAATTTTTGCCCAGTTTCTGAGTGTGAAAGTATCACAGTATTGATTACTGTGAAGCTGAGTCCCATTTTATATGTTTACTGATGCTTCAGATTTTCTATTCAACAAATTGTTTTCTTTGCCCATTTTTTTCTCTTTGAGTAATTCTTTATATATTCTGGATGTTGATCATTATGGGTTACAAAAGCTGCAAGGATCTTCCCAGTCTGTGACTTGTCTTTCAACTTTGTTTTTTGTTGTTGTTTTATTTTATTTTATTTTATTTTATTTTATTTTATTTTATTTTGAGATGGAGTCTCGCTCTGTCGCCCGGGCTGGAGCGCAGTGACGTGGTCTCGGCTCACTGCAACCTCTGCCTCCTGGGTTCAAGGGATTCTCCTGCCTCAGCCTCCTGAGTAGCTGAGATGACAGGCGTGTGCCACTATGCCCAGATAATTTTTGTATTTTTAGTACAGATGGGGTTTCACCATGTTGGTTTGCCAGGATGGTCTTGATCTCTTGACCTTGTGATCCGCCCGCCTCGGCCTCCCTAAGTGCTGAGATTACAGGCGTGAGCCACTGTACCCGGCTTAACTTTCTGTATAATGTCTTTTATCTTGTAGACACTTCCCATTAAAAGTAGTTAAATTTTAAAATAATAGCTTTATTTATTATAACTCACAATACTGGCTGAGCTAAGTGGCTCATGACTGTAATCCCAGCACTTTAGGAGGCTGAGGCGGGTGGATCACCTGAGATCAGGAGTTTGAGACCAGCCTGGGAAACATGGGGAAACCCCATCTCTACTAGAAATACAAAAATTAGCCGGGTGTGGTGGTGGGTGCCTGTGGTCCCAGCTACTCAGGAGGCTGAGGCAGGAGAATCACTTGAACCTGGGAGGCAGAGGTTGCAGTGAGCCGAGATCGTGCCACTGTATTCCAGCTTGGGCGACAGAGGGAGACTCTATCTCAAAAAAAAAAATAAAAACAGAACCAAAACTCACAATGCCATGAAATTCTCTCCTTTAAGGTGTGAAATTCCAGTGGTTTTTAGTATATTCACAAAGTTGTGCAACTATCTCCACTATCTAAGTATGGCACATTTCAACTATCCCAAAAAGAATTCCCATGCCCGGTAGCAGTCCTTCCCTATCTTTCCTTCCAGCCTCTGGCAGCCACTAATCTAGTTCAGTCTGTATGAATTCACCTATTCTGGAGTTTTCTTTTTCTTTTTTTGAGGTAGAGTCTCACTGTTTTGTCCAGGTTGGAATGCAGTGACATGATCATACCTCACTGCAGCCTTGACCTCCTAGGCTTGAGTGATCTTCCATCCTCAGCCTTTTGAGTAGCTGGAACTACAGGCATGTGCCACCACACCTGGCTAACTTTTTAAAATTTCTTTTATTTCTATTTTTATTTTTTGGAGAGACAGCATCTTACTATGTTGTCCAGGCTGGTTTTGAACTTATTCTGGAGATTTCTTAGAAATGAAATCCTGTAATACATACGTGGTCCTTTGTGTCTGGCATCTTCACTTAGTATAATGTTTTCAGGATTCATCCAGGTTGAAGCCTGTGTGAGGCCTTCATTCCTTCGTATTGCTGAATAGTATTCCATTGTAATGATATTATCGTTCATCATTTGATGGACATCTGATGGGTTGTTTCCACTTTCTGGCTGTCACAATACTGTGAATATTGTGAAAAGTTTTTATGTAGATATATGGTTTCATTTCTCTTAGATATACCTAGGAGTAGAGACTGGGCGTGGTGGCTCACGCCTGTGATCCTAGCACTTTGGGAGGCTGAGGTGGGCAGATCACCTGAGGTTGGGAGTTCGAGACCAGCCTGACCAACATGGAGAAACTCCATCTTTACTGAAAATACAAAATTAGCTGGGCATGGTGGCACATGCCTGTAATCCCAGCTACTTGGGAGGCTGAGACAGGAGAATCGCTTGAACCCGGGAGGTGGAGGTTGCAGTGAGCCGAAATTACACCATTGCACTACAGCCTGGGCAACAAGAGTGAAACTCTGTCTTAAATGAATAAATAAATACACACGCACGCACGCACACACACACACACCCCTAGGAATAGAATTGCTGAGTCTTGTGGTAACTCTACATTTAACAATTGGAGGAGCTGCGAAACTTTTGCACTGAAGCTGTACCATTTGTACTCCTAGCAGCAGTGTGTGAGGGTTCCAGTTGTATATCCACATGGACATACTTGTTGTTCTTTTTTTTTTTTTTTTTTTTTTGAGACGGATTGTCACTTTGTCTCCCAGCCTGGAGTGCAGTGGCGCGATCTCGATCTTGGCACGCTGCAATCTCTGCCTCCTGGGCTCAAGCGATTCTCCCGCCTCACTTTCCTGAGTAGCTGGGATTACAGATATATGATTTCCAAATATTTTCTTTTGTTCTGTGAGTTCTTTTCACTTTCTTGGTGAAATTGGTGTCGTTCAATGCACTAAAGTTTTACATTTTGATGAACTCCCTTTTATCCAGTTTTCCTCTTGTTACTTGTGCTTTCAGTATCATCTCTGAGAAACCATTGCCTACCCCAGGATCACAAAGATTCACTCTGATGTTTCCTTCTAAGAGTTTTGTAATTTTTTATTTTTTAAAGAGACGGGTCTTACTATGTTGCCCAGGCTGATCTCAAACTCCTGAGCTCAGGCAATCCTCCCACCTCAGCCTCCCAAAGTGCTGGGATTACAGGCGTGAGCCACCGTGCCCAGCTTATAATTTTTTTATATCTTACGTTTAGGTCTTCAACCCATTTTAAGTTAATTCTGTATATAATGCGAGGTGGGGGTCCAAATTTCATTTTTTGCACGTGGATATGTGTTTGTTCCAGCACTATTTGTTGAAAAAACTGTATTTTCCTCATTGAATTGTCTTGGTACCCTTGTCAAAAATCAACTGTTCACAAACGTAAGGGTCTGTTTTTGGTCTTTTAGTTCTCTTCCACTGATCTGTATGTCCGTATGTCTGTCCTTATGCCAGTACTACACTGTCTTGATTACAGTAGCTTTGCCATAAGCTTTGAAATAGAAGTGTGAGTCTTTCATCCTAAGGCAAGTAAATATATCACTTTTGTTCTTTTAGATTGTGCTTTTTGAGTCTTCATAAATCTTCTACTCTGCAGACAAAGAAGGAAATCTTTTTTTTTTTTTTTTTTTTTGAGATGATGTCTCACACTGTCTCCCAGACTGGAGTGCAATGGTGTGATCTTGGCTCACTGCACCCTTTGCCTCCCGGGTTCAAGCAGTTTTCCTGTCTCAGCCTCCTAAGTAACTAGCATTACAAGGCACATGCTGCCATGCCCAGCTAATTTTGTTGTGTATTAGTGGGGATGGGGTTTCACCGAATTGTCCAAGCTGGTCTTGAACTCTTAAGCTTCCACCCACGCCAGCCCATTTTTTTTTTTCTTTTTCTTTTTTTTTTTTTTTGAGGCAGAATCTCACTCTGTTGCCCATGCTGGAGTACAGTGGCACAATCTCGACTCACTGCAACCTCCGCCTTCTGGGTTCAAGTGCTTATCTTGCCTCAGCCTCCCAAGTAGCTGGGATTACAGGCATCTGCCACCATGCCTGCCTAATTTTTGTATTTTTAGTAGAGACGGGATTTCACCATGTTGCCCAGGCTGATCTCGATATCCTGACCTCAAATGATCCACCTGCCTCGTCCTCAGAAAGTGCTGGAATTACAGGCGTGAGCCACTGTGCCCAGCCTGAAGCTACTTTTTACCCCAGTTCTCAGACTGCCGCTTATCCCAGAAGCAATCACTATTTCTCTTTTTATTTTTTTGGGGGGGGATATTATATGCAGCTACAGCTCGTAGTATATAATCCCTCCCCACTTTTGTACAAGTAGTAGCATGTGACATACACACTTTGGTATGTTGCGTTATTCTCTTAATAATATATCTAAGTTATTTTCTACCACATATAGCAATGCTTGTGTTGTTCTCATTTGAAGCTGCATAGAGTTCTATTGTTTAGATGTACCATAATGTATTCAATCAGCCTTCTAGTGGAGGGCATTGTTTTCCTCCCTATGCTGTTGGAGGCCATGCTACCGATAATGAGCCTGTATGTAGGCCCCTCTGCACATGTGCCCTTTGCAGGCTGCCTTTGCCTTGGTCGTTTCTTTTGATATTGCTTCTGGTAGTTTTGGCTGTGTGTATGTTTTTAACATAATCACACTTACCCATGTTTCTTTGATTTATGAGTTTATGATGCTGCTGCTGCTGCCGGTGGTGCTGCTCTGGAGACTAGAACTTTTTTTTTTTAATTGTTTTTGAGACAGATTCTCACTCAGTCACCCAGGCTGGGGTGCAGTGGCATAATCTCAGCTCACCACAACTTCCACCTCCCCAGTTCAAGCAATTCTCCTGTCTTAGCCATCGAGTAACTGGGATTACAGGCACATGTCACCATGCCCGGCTAATTTTGGTATTTGTAATAGAGATGGGGTTTCACCATGTTGGCCAGGCTGGTCTCGAACTCCTGACCTCAAGAGATCTGCCCGCCTCGGCCTCCCAAACTGCTGGGATTGCAGGTGTGAGCCGCTGTGCCTGACCTTTTTTTCTTTTTACCAATAAAATACTTAGAAGGTATAGACTAGAACTTTAGAGAACCACTGGTAAAGTACATAAAATTATTCGAATCATTTTTTTCCCTGTTGTGTTGTTACAGAGATCACCTCGTTAAAAGAGTTAATTTTTTACAGTTTTCACAAAAGGGGTAGAAATGCAAAAAATAAAATAGGCCAGGCACAGTGGTTCATGCCTGTAATCCCAGCACTTTGGGAGACCAAGGTGGGAGGATCACTTAAGGCCAGGAGTTCGAGACCAGCCTGGGCAACAGAGTGAGGCCCTGTCTTTACAAAAAATTAGCCAAGCATGGTGATGTGCACCTGTCATTTCCAGCTACTCAGGAGGCTGAGGCAGAAGGATCACCTGAGCCCAGGAGGTTGAGGCTGCAGGGAGCTGTGATCACACCAGTGCACTCCTGTCTGGGTGACAGAGTGAGACATGGCCACAGAAAAAAGTGAAAAATAAAAAAGTTAATCTGGGACAGTAGAAGTCAGTGGCACTACCAACTAGTCCAACTAGTGCTATAACCAGGGGACTTTCTTAGCTTTTTTTTTTTTTTTGAGACAGAGTCTCACTCTTGTTCCCCAGGCTGGAGTGCAGTGGCGCAATCTCGGCTCACTGCCACCTCCGCCTCCCAGGTTCAAGTGATTCTCCTGCCTCAACTTCCCGAGTAGTTGGAATTAGGTGCCCACCACCACACCTGGCTAATTTTTTATATTTTTAGGAGAGACAGAGTTTCACCATGTTGGCCAGGCTGGTCTCGAACTCCTGACCTTACGATCCTCTCGCCTCGGCCTCCCAAAGTACTGGGATTACAGGCGTGGGCCACTGCGCCCAACCCTCTTGGCTCTTTTGTACCCTGTTCCCTAGTGGTTTGCTTACACTAAATCCCATCTGATGGTAATACAGATTTCCCTCTAACATTTTATAGGAAAATTTCAGTATACCAAAAAATTGAATTGTACAGTGAACACCCATCTATCCACCACTTATCTTCTGGATTAACAGTTTTCTGTATGTGCTTTATCACATATCTGTGATGATATACCCATTTTTTATTAATCCATATTTGTGTATTTAATGGGAATTGGTAGCAGCCAAAGCAAACTCTCTTGGAGTGACAAAATCTGTGCAGAGGAGAAATAACTTGTTTATTTTACTTATGATTTGTAAGAAAGGGCAGAACTGGCTGGGCGCGGTGGCTTAAGCCTGTAATCCCAGCACTTTGGGAGGCCGAGATGGGCGGATCACGAGGTCAGGATATCGAGACCATCCTGGCTAACACGGTGAAACCCCTTCTCTACTAAAAATACAAAAAATTAGCCGGGTGTGGTGGCAGGTGCCTGTAGTCCCAGCTTCTCGAGAGGCTGAGGCAGGAGAATGGCGTGAACCCAGGAGGCAGCGGAGCTTGCAGTGAGCCGAGATCGCGCCACTGCACTCCAGCCTGGGCGACAGAGCGAGACTCCGTCTCAAAAAAAAAAAAAAAGAAAAAGAAAAAAAAGAAAGAAAGAAAGAAAGGATTTTGGCTGGACATGGTGGCTCATACCTGTAATTCCAGTACTTTGGGAGGCTGAGGTGGGCAGATCACCTGAGGTCAGGAATTTGAGACCAGCCTGGGCAGCATAGCAAAACCCCATTTCTACTAAAAATAAATAAATAAATAAATAAAATAAAAATTAGCTGGATGTGGTGGTTCATGCCTGTAATCCTAGCTACTTGGCAGACTGAGGCAGGAGAATTACTTGAGCCAGGAGGCAGAGGTTGCAGTGAGCCGAGATCGCACCACTGTACACCAGCCTGGGCAACAAAGCAAGACCCTATCTCAACAACAACGACGAAAAAAAAGGCGGGGGGTTTGGGGGAGTTGGAAGAAGTGGCAGAAAAAAAAAAAGAAAGGACTTTATCTGGATGGTAAAGCTAAGAGCTTTACCTGAGAGCCTAATTTTAAAGTCAACCCGGATTTTTGACGGAGATGACATAATCGTATTTCTGTGATTTTCAATATTGAGCACAACTTGGTGGTTTCTTGGCCTCAGGAGGCACATCTAGATCTCTGTGTTTTGAGTTACGGTTGTGATCATCTATGTCATTGCTCTGTGTAAAATGTGAGAATTAGAGTTCTGCCCATTTGAATGCTCAATAGCATTGCTTAAGGTACTGTGGTCTTTATTCGCATATATAAAAATCAGTATATATAAAATCTGCCTCTTTTATGCAAACTGCAAGGTATTCTGTTGTGTGGGTGTGTGAGACTTTGGGGTAAAAAAAAATGTGCATTTAAATGTTAAGGTTATTGGGCTGGGTGTGGTGGCACTTTGGAAGGCTGAGGCAGACAGATCATCTGAGGTTAGGAGTTTGAGACCAGCCTGGGCAACATAGTAAAACCTCATCTCTACTAAAAATACAAAAAATTAGCCAGGCATGGTGGTAGGCGCCTATGATCCCAGCTACTTAGGAGGCTGAGGCAGGAGAATCGCTTGAACTTGGGAGGTGGAGGTTGTAGTGAGCTGAGGTTGCCCCACTGCACTCAAAAAAAAAAAAAAAAAAAAACCCACAAGATTAAAATCTGTTGCTAACTTTTACATCTTTTAAAAAATATTGTAAAAGAGATGTCTTTGTAGTAGTACAACTTAAAAAAATTAAGTAAAATATGAATGCTATTTGGAGGGGAGTTCCTTAATGTCTTTTTTTTTTTTTTTTGAGACAGAATCTTGCTTTTTGCCCAGGCTGGAGTGCAGTGGCACAATCTTGGCTCACCGTAACCTCCACCTCCCGGATTCAAGTGATTCTCCTGTCTCAGCCTCCTGAGTAGCTGGGATTACAGGCACATGCCACCACGCCCAGCTAATTTTTGTATTTTTAGTAGAGACAGGGTTTCACCATGTTGGTCAGGCTGGTCTCAAACTCCCAACCTCATGATCCACCCCCATCGGCCTCCCAAAGTGCAGGGATTACAGGCATGAGCCACTGTGCCTGGCCCTTAATGTCTTTTGCCCTTGGATGTTCATCTGATCTGGAGCTTTAAGTAGTTTTGCCAAAAAGTGTGTCTTTTGACATTCTCAATGATGGTCTGCCATATTCTGGGAAATGTTAAAATACACCACACTCGAAAGAGTAGTCTGGCAACACTTTCAATAATAACCAAATGCTCCCCACCATGTCTGCCATCCTTCCTCCCTGGGGCAGAGGGCCTGACAAGTGACAACCACGTTCTCTCTTCCTCAGGACCTGGACCCTCAGGGCCCCCTCATTTCTGGCTGTGGACAGCAGGGACATGTTGGGTTGGTAGGGGTGGAGGGAATTGATAAAATGTACCGTATTGACTTATGAGTGGATAATGGTTGTAAAAAACCCAAATCATTCCATATAAAAGCTAACTGTTAGGCTGGGTGCGGTGGCTCACGCCTGTAATCCCAGCACTTTGGGAGGCCCAGACGGGCAGATCACGAGGTCAGGAGATTGAGACCATCCTGGCTAACACGGTGAAACCCTGTCTCTACTAAAAATACAAAAATTAGCCGGGCGCGGTGGCGGGTGCCTGTAGTCCCAGCTACACGGGAGGCTGAGGCAGGAGAGTGGCGTGAACCTGGGAGGCGGAGCTTGCAGTGAGCCAAGATCGCACCACTGCCCTCCAGCCTGGGCGACAGAGCGAGACTCCGTCTCAAAAAAAAAAAGAAAAAAAAAAGCTAACTGTTTTTGAGCATTTGCTATATGTTTCAGGTACTGCGATCAAATGCTTTACATGTATTTTTCTCATGTAATCCTTGCCCTATGTGGACTATACTCCCTTCTACATATGAATAAATTGAGGCACTGAGAGATTCTCTAACTGGCCCAGGGCACAGCTAGTAAGTGACACAGCTGGGTTCAGAACAAGGCAATCTGAGTCTAGAATCTGTGCTTTGATCTACCTGTATCAAAAGTGACCGCTTCCCTCCTCTCACTTTGCAGGTGGTTTTTTTCTCTCTCTCTCTCTTTTTTTTTTTTAAAGGGGTAAGGTCTTGCTCTGTTGCCCAGAGGGGAGTGTGGCGGTGCGATCATAGCTCACTACAGCCTCAAACCCCTGGGCTCTGGTGATCCTCCTGAGTAGCTCGGATACAGGTGCATGCCACTATCCTTGGCTAATTTAATTTTGTGTAGATACAGGGTCTCACTATGTTGCCCAGGCTGGTCTCAAACTCCAGAGCTCAAGCAATCCTCCTGTCTTGGCCTCCCAAAGTGCTGGGTTTACAGCCATGCACCTAGCCTTCCCAGGTGGTTTTGTGTGTATTTGGAGGTCCTTTTTTCAGTGCAAATATATATATTTTTTATAAAATGAGATCATACTCAAGAGATTGTGGCCTTCATTTGTCAGTTGTCATGAAAATCTGCCTCATCCTTTGTAAAAACAATAAAGTATTCTGTCCTGTGGTCTTTTGTATTTCTGGGTGATTAGCATGTGGCTCTCCCAGCATGTCCTGCCAGAGTTTACTCTCACCAGTGAATGGGAACCCATCGTTCAGTGTAAGTCTGTATTCTTCCGTCTTTTAGTTAAGAGCTTATTCAGAAGAGCTGGCATGCTGGGTGAACAGTTTCTGCCAGAAGTCCCGGCTCTGCCCAGGAGAGGTGCTTCCAGGGCTGCATCCACCCTGGGGCTGCCAGCCTCAGGGCCTGGTCTGACAGGCAGCAGTTTTGGAAAATGAACTTGAGTTCCCAATTTTCCTGGCACAGTGTGAAATAACTGGAAATGATTTTATTGTCTGTTGGTGCACCCCAGCCCCAGGAACAGAGATGGACCCCTGGGAGGCCCCCATGGCCTGGCAGTAATTGGCCTTTCCCCTCACAGGAGTGCTACCTGGAGGGTGACCAGACGAGCCTGTACCATGCAGCCAAGGGGCTGATGACCCTGCAAGCTCTGTACGGAACGATCCCCCAGATCTTTGGGAAAGGAGAATGCGCTCGGGTAAGAACCAGCTGCTTTCTGGTGGTAAAGAAGGGGCCCTTCACACCCCAGAAGGGAGGAGGAACGGGAAGCTCCTTACAAACAAATTCTGTTGATCTTAATTATTTACGAATACTGTACTCATGAATTTGCCTACTGATTAAAATGCATTTATAATCCTCCAAGTCAGTACTCATGGTGCTTTTGTGGGCGTGCACAGTGGTGACAGTTTGAGTAACCACTGTGCATGTTCCCAGCTGAGGCAGGTGACACTCCACCTTCCCATTTCAGCTCTCGGACTGCAAACAAGTGTCCTTTTCACAGTCTCACTGTCATGTTTTCCACACATCTGTACTTTTTTTGGTGATTTCACTGTTTAAAATGGCCCCCAAACGTAGGGCTGAGGCGCAGTCTGGTGTCCTGTGCACAAGAAGGCTGTGGTGTGCCTGGCAGAGACATTACGTGTGTCAGAGACGCTTCGTTCAGGCACGAGTCACAGAGCTGCTGGCTGTCAGTTCAATGTGAGTGATCAATAATTATGTTAAATCGGGCATCTTTAAGCAGAAACACATATAAAACTGGGTTATGTATTGATCAAATGACAAAAACGTTGAGACCAGAGGCTCCTAGGAACCTAAGTCTGCATTTCTCCCAGGACCAGTGGTTCCATCTTTGCTAATTTAGTGTTTGCAGTGACTTCATAGAGCATCACTACTGCCAATCACAAGAATAGACTGATCTGATTTTATGCCTCATTGGCAAATGGCAGCTCCCTTGGCGCAAGTGTTGGGATAGGTGCCAACAGCAAGGTGCTTTTCTAGAGCTGCTTATTTCTTAGCAATGCACTCTTCCAGTTTTTCTCCTTTTTCACTTTTTTGATTGTCTTGCTGGTTTTAGACAAATTTTCACATCTGCTCATTCCCAGGAGGGCCCCACCTCATCTAATGTTTTGTTTCCAGCAAGTGGCCAATATGATGATCAGGATGAAGAGAGAGTTTACAGGAAGCCAGAATTCGATATTTCCCGTTTTTGATAATCTCTTGTTGCTTGATCGGAATGTGGATTTATTAACACCTCTTGCCACTCAGCTGACATATGAAGGACTCATTGATGAAATTTATGGCATTCAGAACAGTAAGTACGTGACATCTGTTTTCACTAATAGGTAATATGGGAAGAATATCCTTTGTGGAGACTACTGTTTGTATATTGCACACTTAAGCGTAATTTGAAGTCAGAGATCTAATTTTAATGATTCAAAGTGTAGATTAATATAGACCTTTTTGTAAGCAATTTAGCAACACAAAAAACTTTTCTAACCCTTGGCCCAAGAAAGCCCAAAGCCTAAGAACGTGCATTGAGGAATCATTCCAAAAAAGGGCATCAGTGAGGTTTGCATAAAAATTTCGATTTCCATTTTCTTACCAGAATTTTCCAAAAAATTTCAGTGGTTGAGTACGTTATAAAATATTATGGAACCACCTGGGCATGGTGGCTCACACTTGTAATCCCAGCACTTTGGGAAGCCAAGGTAGGCAGATCACTTGAGGTCAGGAGTTCGAGACCAGCCTGGCAAACATGATGAGACCCCTGTCTCTACTAAAAATACAAAAAATTAGCCGGGTATGGTGGCGCGTTCTTGTAGCCCCAGCTACTTGGGAGGCTGAGGTGAGAGAATTGCTTGAACCCAGGAGGAGGAGGTTGCCATGAGTTGAGATAGTGCCGCTGCACTCCAGCCTGCTGACAGAGTGAGACTCCGTCTCAAAAAAAAAGAAAATACTGTGGAACCATCAAAATAATAAATGTGGAACATGAAAAACTGCATAGCCATGTCTATTTCAATTAGAAATTGTTATATATGTGTCTGCGTATATATGTGTGTTCCAAACTATATTTATATCTATAAAAAATAACTAAGAATACCATAAAAACCAGGAATAACTGGAGGCGGAATACTCAGACCATGCCTCCAAAGGCTCAGTTGTTAGAAAGCTGCTTCCTTTACACAGAAATCTGAGAACCCTTGAAACAATGAAAATACTGACCTCTGACTTTCAGACACTAGGCTTCAGTGACATCTGAGCAAACTGCAGTTATCGGTGACACAAGAGTTGGCTGGAAGTTTAGTGCCCAGGCCTGTCATTGTCCCCTGTGAGCAGAGGCCAAGGGTCTCCCACAGAGGGCACTGGCATTTGCAATGCACACATCCTTGCGGCCAGCAGTAGTTGAGGAAGGCGGTGGAAGCAGTGGTGTTTGTGCTGGGTTTGGAAAGACACGGAGAGTTTAGATGAAGATCCTGGGGCAGGGGCAGGCGGTATCATACACAAGTCATGACGAGCCAAACAACGTGGTTGAGTGGAGCGCATGGCTGGAGAAATATTTTAGAAAATCGGCTGATACAGGGCCGGGCGTGGTGGCTCACGCCTCTAATCCCAGCACTTTGGGAGGCTGAGGTGGGTGGATCACAAGGTCAGGAGATCAAGACCATCCTGGCTAACACAGTGAAACCCCATCTGTACTAAAAATACAAAAAATTAGCCGGGGATGGTGGCGGGCGCCTGTAATCCCAGCTACTTGGGAGGCTGAGGCAGGAGAATGGCGTGAACCTGGGAGGCGGAGCTTGCATTGAGCCAAGATAGCGCCACTGCCCTCCAGCCTGGGTGACAGAGCAAGACTCCGTCTCAAAAAAAAAAAAAAAAAGAAAAACAACTGGTACAGAAGGTCGAGGCCACTCGATGGAAAATGTGGATGACTGGCTAGAGCTTGGCCTTGGTGAGTGATTAGGTCAGAGATCACAAGCATGTTTGGTTTGACTGGTTTTGGCCTACATGGTATTTATTTCTGTCAGTTTTTAAATGTAATACATTTTAAGTAATAATCCTGAATTATGCCATGACTTGAAAAATACTGGAAGCACTGGCAAGAGGCCACGCTCCCGCTGGTGGCCAGGACCTAGTGCCTCTAGAACTCCCTGCCTCACCACAGACCCCCACACCTGTCTCAGCCTGGCCTTCTTCCCTCATCTGCATAGTCCCCAGCCTCTATTGCCATCCTGAATGAAGCCACACGGAGCCAAGGGAAGGCCAGAGGAGAGGGATGTGGAAGAAAGATGAGGCCGGGTGCAGTGGCTCACACTAGTAACCCCAGCACTTTGGGAGGCCAAGGCAGGCAGATCACTTGAGATCAGGAGTTTGAGACCAGCCTGACCAACATGGTGAAACCCCATCGCTACTAAAAATACACACACACACAGACAGACACACACACACACACACACACACAGCTGGATTTGGTGGCGCATTCCTATAGTACCAGCTACTCAGGAGGCTGAGGCATGAGAATCACTTGAACTTAGGAGGCGGAGCTTGCAGTGAGCCAAGATCGCACCACTGCACTCCAGCCTGGGCAACAGAGTGAGACATTGTCTCAAAAAAATAATAAAATAGGTGAAAAATTTTAAAAATATTTAGAAAGAAAGGAAGGGAGGAAAGGCCTGAAATTCAGAGGGAAACGGACTCGTGGTTGCCAGGACTGCGGGAAGGGGATGGGGAGCCACCACTTACTGGCTACAGGGTTTCCCTTTAGGATGAAAAAGTGTGGAACTAGATAGTGGTTGTGGTCCTACCATGTTGTCTATGTACTAAATGCTACTGGATATTCACTGTAAGACAAAGTAGTAATTTTTATATTATGTGCCGTTTACCACAAGAATGGATAAATGAATGACGTGGGTGAGGGAATGGAGAGAGAGACATGAAGAGGCGTTTCCACACGCCTCCTCAAGGTCTTTAGTGGTAAGATTGTAAAGTCTTTTTATTACTGTTATTTGTCCAAAAAATGGCACCTTTAATACTTTTTAAAACCTTATTTATTGACAGAGGAATTTATTTCAGAAGAGCCCTATGCTGGGTCATGGGTGGAAATCAAAGAAACAGGGTGGTCCCAGAGTGTGTACCACCCAGGAAGGCATGAGAGAAGAGTTCTGAAGTTCAGGATGGGGAGTGGCAGGGGGAGAGGGGGATAGCTGTATAGGAGAGGTGAGAGGTGGGAAGGGATTTTCCAGGAAGAGAAAAAATATGTATAAATTCCCATCCTCCTTGTAGCAAGTTTTTTGGTAATGTAAGTCAAACATTGATTAAGAAAAAAATTGGAAAAATAGAAGGAAACATAGATCCCTTATTATCCTCCAGCCCTATCCTGTGGCCCCAAACCTTGGGACAACCACTGTTAATATTGTGGTATTATTTCCTAGTCTTTTTTTCCCCTTATGTAGTTTACTTTAGTTAACAAAAAATGGAATCAGGTTGCACAAGTAGTGTCAAACCTGAGTTTTGATTTGGTATGCTAATGAGCATTTTCCCAGTGTATGCATACTGTAATCGTTATGTTAACGTCCACAGTATAGGCCAGGCATGGTGGCTCATGCCTGTAATCCCAGCACTTTGGTAGGCTAAGGCGGGCCAATCACCTGAGGTCAGGAGTTCGAGACCAGCCTGACCAACATGGTGAAACCCCGTCTCTACTAAATTCAAAAAGAAAATTAGCCGGGCATGGTGGCGGGCGGCTATAGTCCCAGCTACTTGGGAGGCTGCGGCAGGAGAATTGCTTGAACCTGGGAGGTGGAGGTTGGCAGTGAGCCGAAATCGCGCCATTGCACTCCAGCCTGGGCAACGAGCAAAACTCCATCTCAGAAAAAAAAGGGAAAATTCATAGTATATTTGAACCCTAGTTTACAGAGTCATTCCTCTAATGCTGGGCATTTTAGGTTTTGTGTGTGTGATTATAAAAACATCTGTATACATAAGTGGGGTTTTTGTTGTTTTTGTTTTTTGTTTATTTGTTTTTAATAGAGACGGGTTTCACCATTGTTGCCCAGGCTGTTCTCGAACTCCTGAACTCAAGCAATTCACCCTCCTCAGACTCCTAAATTCCTGGGATTACAGGCCTGAGCCACCATGCGCAGCCAATGTTGTTGTTTTTGAGACGGGGTTTCACTCTGTCACCCAGACTAGAGAACAGTGGCGTGATCATACCTCACTACTGCCTTGACCTTCTGGGCTCAAGCAGTCCTTCCACCTCGGCCTCCCAAGTAGCTGAGACTATAGGCATGCACCACCACGCACAGCTAACTTCACGATTTTGCAGAGATAGGGTCTCTCTATGTTGCCCCCCAGTTGGTCTTGAACTAGGCTCAAGAGATCCTCCCAGGCCAGGTGTGGTGGCTTATGCCTGTAATCCCAACACTTTAGGAGGCTGAAGCAGGCAGACCACTTGAGGTCAGAGTTTGAGACCAGCCTGGCCAACATGGCGAAACCCTGTCTCTACTAAAAATACAAAAATCAGGTGGGCATGGTGGTGTGCACCTGTAATCCTAGCTACTTGGGAGGCTGAGGCAGGAGAATCACTTGAACCTAGGAGGTAAAAAGGTTGCAATGAGCCGAGATCATCCCACTACACTCCAGTCTGGGTGACAGAGTGAGACTCTGTCTCAATTCAAAAAAAAAAGAAGTGGCTGGGCACGGTGGCTCACGCCTGTAATCCCAGCACTTTGGGAGGCTGAGGTGGGCGGATCACCTGAGGTCGGGAGTTCGAGACCAGCCTGGCCAAAATGATGAAACCCATCTCTACTAAAAATACAAAAATTCGTCAGATGTGGTGGTGGGTGCCTGTAATCCTAGCTACTCGGGAGGATGAGGCAGGAGAATCGCTTGAACCTGAGAGTTGGAAGTTGTAGTGAGCTGAGATCACGCCACTGCACTCCAGCCTGGGCAAGAGAGCAAGACTCCCTCTTAAATAAATAAATAAAATAAGAGAAAGAGAGAGATCCTCCCACCTAAACCTCTCAAAGTGCTGGGATTACAGGCGTGAGCCACCGTGCCCAGCCTACATAAGATTTTTTTCATATATCAGATTATTTTCTTTCCCTGGATTCCCTGATGCAGGATTTTTGGGGTGAAAGGCACTAGGTACGTGTTGCCAAATTGCTTTACTACAGAGTTACACCAGCTCCGTGCCATCAGTAGTTCATGAGCACGTGTGGGGTGTTCCAGGGAAATAGAGACTCACTTGGCTTGGCAGGAGCAGAGTAGGGAGAAGGAAATTAAGACTCCCATGCTAAGGAATTTGGAAGCTTATTCTAGATGAGGGTGTACCACTTTTTCTATAAAGACCCAGATAGTAAATATTTTAGGCTTTCACTTGTTACACAGCGCAAGTCATACAGAGGAACCTCCTTGTCTCTGTCATTGTAATGTGAAAGAAGCCATAGACAATACAAAAAGGATAGCTGTGGCCGTGTGCCAATAAAACTTTATTTACAAAAACAGAAAGTGGGCTGGGCGTGGTGGCTCACGCCTATAATCCAGCACTGTGGGAGGCCGAGGCAAGTGGCTCATCTGAAGTCAGGAGTTCGAGACCAGCCTGGCCAACATGGTGAAATCCTATCTGTACTAAAAATACAAAAAAATTAGCTGGGCGTAGTGGCGGGTGCCTATAATCCCAGCTACTCAGGAGACTGAGGCAGGAGAATCACTTGAACCCAGGAGGCAGAGGTTGCATTGAGCCGAGATCATGCCATTGCACTCAAGCCTGGGTGACAAGAGTGAAATTCCGTCTCAAAAAAAAAAAAAAGAGAGTGAGCAGAGTTTGGCCCTCAGATCATAGTTTCTAATTCTTGTTCTATAATCGCTTTTAAACTATTTTGGATTCCATCCCACAGTAAGAAATGTATTTTATATCATGACCCAGTACATACATGTATGTATATGTGTGCATGTGAAACTGAAACAAAAGTTTTATTAAAAAAAAAAAAACCGAAGTCACCACTAGTTTCTCTAACGTCATGTGATAAGCTTGTGTACTTTCCACTCTTCGCTGTTTTTGGTACTGCTGTTTTGTTTTGTTTTGTTTTGTCTTGGTTTTGTTTTTAAGATGCTACTTGCAACCCACCAACTTGATTTCATGATCCACTAATGGAACATGATCTAGTTTGAAAAAACACTAGAAGTCAATGGGGTGATCCTTGAAAGTTTTCTGAGTGGAAAAGTGACCTAATCTCTGAATAAATTTAGGAGGTAGACAGTGCTGCATGTGGTTTATATAAGTGCCCCAAAGTTAATTAGAACTGTGGTATCAATATTAGAGTCACTGCTTCCTGTACTTTGATCATGGAAAATCAAAAGCTCAGAGCTATGTGTCATTTGCCATTTTCCATTTTCTCCTGAGGGAAATTCTGTTTTGTGCTTGGCCGCTTGATTGGTTCTTCCAGTCATTGCGCACAGGTGCTTATTCCCTTCCATTGCTGCTCAGGTTATGTGAAATTACCTCCAGAGAAATTTGCACCTAAGAAACAGGGCGATGGTGGTAAGGACCTCCCCACGGAAGCAAAGAAGCTGCAGCTGAATTCTGCAGAGGAGCTCTATGCTGAGATCCGAGACAAGAACTTCAATGCGGTGGGCTCTGTGCTCAGCAAGAAAGCAAAGATCATCTCGGCAGCATTCGAGGTGAGGCAAGTTTTGGGTGTCATTCTGCAACTCTAGGTCTCAGGTAGATGCCCATCCCTGAGGGGAATAAGAGCTCCAAAAATATGTAGCCATTAAACCAGGCTTCAGTGCAAGTTTTCTTATCTTCAGTAACTGCAAATTCAGTATTGGAAGATCCAAGGTTTTCTTTCATTTTAAACTTTCTCAGACCCGCGTTGTGTAAAGTTCTTTTTGTGTGGGGGGTAGGTGGAGGCACAAGTGTGTGCAGTTTACAGACTTCCATCACAAACATTTGCTTTATTGTCCTTTAAATTATTTCCTACCTCACTTAAGAGGAAGCCATTGTACTATAACTAAAGATCCTCTATGATAGAACCTGTGCTTCATGCTGAAAACTCCAGTTTAGCCAGTGTGAATGTGGCAGGGAAACTCAGCACGTGTGGCAGGTGATAATGAGACTGAAATCCCCAGCAACCCAGAGCTTTGAAATTGGTGGCTTTATTATCACCTTCCTACCTCCTCTTGCCCGTTCACTAGTTTATTCTTGCTCAGGCTCCTTTTTGAAACATGGGAATTCAACAAGATCATAAAGTCTGAATATTTCAACTTTGGAAACATAAATTGGAAGTTTTTGAGAATGAATTTTTCACTGAGTATGTAGTTCCAGATTTTTTTTTTTTTTGAGACACGGTCTCGCTTTGTCTTCCAGGATGGATGTAGTGGTACAATCACAGCTTACTGGAGCTGCTACCTCCCAGACTCAAGCAATCCTCCCACCTCAGCCTCCCGAGTAGCTGGGACCACAGTCACATGCCATCATGCCAGCCAAGTTTTTTGTTGTTTTTTTGTTTTGTTTTGTTTTTTTTCCTGTAGAGACGGGGACTTCCTGTGTTACCCAGGCTGGCTTGGAACTCAGCCATGTAATTCCAGATTTTATCTTTCTCAGGAATTATATTCATTAATTGATTTTCATATTTCTGAAGTTACTTTTGGTTTATTAAATTTTGCCAACAAATATCATCATCACCAAGCTAGGTTTGCTTTGTTCATAGACTATACTCAAGACTAAGGTTCAGGCTAGGCACAGTGGCTCTCGCCTGTCATCCCAGCACTATCAGAGGCTGAGGCAGGAGGATCGCTTGAGCCCAGAAGTTCTAGACCAGCCTGGGCAACATAGCAAGACACTGTCTTTATAAAACTTTTTTTTTTTTTTTTAACTAGCTGGGCAGTGGCGTGTGCCTGTAATCCCAGCTCCTCAGGAGGCTGAGGTGGGAGCCTAGGAGGCAGAGGCTGCCATGAGCTGTGATGACACCAGTGCACTCCATCCTGGGCGACAGAGAGACCCTGTCTCGACATCAAATAAAAGACTGACGGTCAACAGGAAAAATGGATTTTTTTCTGTTACATAGGAAACCTTTCCTCTTTATGATACCCTCTGAGCACAATTTTTTATCTTAGTTTTTTACTCGGAAATTTGTATGATTTATATAATACTATCTTTCACCAATACTCAGATGTCCACAAAATACTGACACAATGTGTGAGCTGGTACATTGGAAGACAGACTCTGAGGCATTTGCTTCTCTAAAGAAGTGCTAATTCAGGAGACAGGCACCATGAACTCTGTATTTCAGTGATATATATACTTTTTCTTTTCTGTTTTTCTATATACTGTTGGAGCTGTGTTTGCCCTGATTTATTTGTATTCCATTCTTCCTTTCTCATTAATATAAATGAAACATCCTCTGAACAATACAAAAAACAGAGCACTTAAAATATCGGCCGGGCGGCTGGGTGTGGTGGCTCAAGCCTGTAATCCCAGCACTTTGGGAGGTCGAGATGGGCGGATCACGAGGTCAGGAGATCAAGACCATCCTGGCTAACATGGTGAAACCCTGTCTCTACTAAAAAATACAAAAAACTAGCTGGGCGAGGTGGCGGGCGCCTATAGTCCCAGCTACTCGAGAGGCTGAGGCAGGAGAATGGCGTAAACCCGGGAGGCGGAGCTTGCAGTGAGCTGAGATCCGGCCACCGCACTCCAGCCTGGGCGGGACAGCGGGGCCCCCCCCCTCAAAAAAAAAAAAAAAAAAATATTGGCCGGGCACGGTGGCTCACACCTATAATCCTAACATTTTGGGAGGGCAAGGTAAGTGGATCACCTGAGGTCAGGAGTTCGAGACCAGCCTGACCAATGTGGTGAAACCCCATCTCTACTGAAAATACAAAAATTAGTTGGGCGTGGTGGCGGTCACCTGTTATCCCAGCTACTCGGGACGCTGAGGCATGAGCATCTCTTGAATCCAGGAGGTGGAGGTCGCAGTGAGCCGAGATCACGCCACTGCACTCCAGCCTGGGCAACACAGCGAAAGTCCCTCTCAAAAAAATAAAATAAATAAACTGTCTTCCCTGCTTGAGGCACTGCTCTGTTGTTTATTTCAGGAAAGACACAATGCTAAGACCGTGGGGGAGATCAAGCAGTTCGTTTCCCAGTTGCCCCACATGCAGGCAGCAAGGGGCTCACTTGCAAACCATACCTCAATTGCAGAATTGATCAAAGATGTCACTAGTGAGTATCCTTTGTAATGATTGTTTCATTCTGGGGCTACTTGCACATACAACCTAGGTTTGACACCTAGGTCATCAACACCACAATGCCTCCTGGGAGTGTCAGCTCTGTCTTAGTACCACGTGTTCTTCTCAGCATTAATGAAGTGTACATATGTTAATAGTTAAGAATGTTCTAGGCGGGGCTTGGTGGCTTATGCCTGTAATCCCAGCACTTCGGGAGTCCGAGACAGGCAGATGACCTGAGGTCAGGAGTTTGAGACCAGCCTGACCAACATAGTGAAACACTATCTGTATTAAAAATATAAAAATTAGCCGGGCATGGTGGTGGGCACTTGTAATCCCAGCTACTCGGGAGGCTGAGGCAGAATTGCTTGAACCAGGCGACAGAGCAGGACTCTTGTCTCGAAAGAGTGAAAGAGAGAGGGAGGGAGGAAGAGTCCACTTGTTAACTCAAATTTTTTCATTATAATTTATATGAAAAATATTTGGAATGTAGATAAGAGAAAAAAATTATCCATAAGTTTGCCATCATAATTTGAGATGGTTAATGTTTTTAGTCTAGCTTTTTTCTTTCTTTTTTTTTTGGGGGGGGGGAGGGGACAGAGTTTTGCTCTTGTTGCCCAGGCTGGAGGGCAATGGCACAATCTCGGCTCACTGCAACCTCTGCCTCCCAGGTTCAAGCGATTCTTCTGCCTCAGCCTCCCGTGTAGCTGGTTTTACAGGGATGCACCACCATGCCCGACTTATTTTGTATTTTTAGTAGAGATGGAGTTTCACCATGTTGGTCAGGCTGGTCTCGAACTCCCAACCCCAGGTAATGCACCTGCCTCGGCTCCCAAAGTGCTGGGATTACAGGCGTGAGCCATCGCGGCCAGCCGCTTTTTTCCTTTTTTGAAGGATTACTTAATTGGCTCGTGTTCTTCCCTTGAATACTCTGCAGAATTGGTACAAAGAGTATATGTTAAGTATTTTGAAAGAGCTCAGAAGACACCTATTAAAGCAGACATGAGTTTGTTCATTACAACACAGGGCTATAAGAGCTGAATAGGAGATTGTTTTATGAAGTATACTTCGAATATTAACCAAATCACAGTATTGGAAAATCAGTCCTTTGTTTTCCTGTTCATAGAAGTGGAAACTAGTTGAAATTGGGTTGAACCTAATGATGAAAATGAAATGTTCTTGAGAAATTAGCTTTCATTCATACTGACGCTTATTCTGGAGTATGTACTGAAATCCTAAGGATACAAAGGAGCACTGTTGTTGACTGTATCTCAGTGTAACTTAGGAGTGCAGAGGCCTAGGGTTCTCCATGTTTCCTAGAAGATTTTCTTCAGGTGATGACTTAAACTTATTGCTTGCTTGCTTTTTTTGCTTGATGTCTGGTTTCTTTTCTTTAGAGACAGAGTCTCACTCTGTTGCCCAGGCTGGAATGTAGTAGCGCAATCTTGGCTCACTATAAACTCCACTCCCTGCTTAAGTGATTCTTGTGCCTCAGCCTCCCGAGTAGCTGGGACTACAGGTGTGCACCACCACACCCAGCTAATTTTTGTATTTTTGGCAGAGATGGGGTTTGGCCATGTTGGTCAGGCTGGTCTTGAACTTCTGGCCTGAAGTGATCCACCCACTTCGGCCTCCCACAGTGCTGAGATTACAGGTGTGAGCCACTGTGCCCAGCTACATGTCTAGTTTCTGAATCGTGCTCTATGTATAAAAGCATGCCACTCAAGTAGATTAACATTTAATTTCTAAGTTGCAAATTTGCTAATTTCATTTTAGCTTCTGAAGACTTCTTTGATAAATTAACCGTGGAACAGGAGTTTATGTCTGGAATAGACACTGATAAGGTATGTGGACAAAAAAACCTCTTTAACAAGTAATTGAAAACTTATTAAACCTCAGATTATAGCCAGAAAACCAACTGCTTCGATTCCCATGCCTTGCCTAAGTTTTTTTTTTTTTTTTTTTTTTTTTTGAGATGGAGTCTCACTCTGTCGTCCAGCTCGCTCTGTCACCCAGGCTGGAGTGCATTGGCACGATCTCCACTCACTGCAAGCTCCGCCTCCCGGGTTCACACCATTCTCCTGCCTCAGCCTCCTGAGTAGCTGGGACTACAGGCACCTGCCACCACGCCTGGCTAATTTTTTGTATTTTTAGTAGAGATAGGGTTTCACCATGTTAGCCAGGATGGTCTCTATCTCCTGACCTTGTGATCTGCCCACCTCAGCCTCCCAAAGTGCTGGGATTACAGGAGTGAGCCACTGCACCCAGCCACTTAAATATTTTTAAGAGCAAATGCAAAATGTGCAAGTGTAGATTTTATCAAGTAACAGATATTTAACATTATTCTGTGCAAGACACTTTCTGCCGTACATGGCAAGATGAGACCCAGCCCCTAAAATCAAATCTTTTTAAGACCATATTAGATAAATTAAGGTATTTGCTCTTTTGAAAGAGTTTCTTATATAACTCCTTTAAGTAGCTCTTAATATTAACAAATTTTATTCACTTTATGAAAATTCCTAACATAAAACAATTACTGATACTTTTTGCTAGATTAGTTGTTGATACTATTGAAATGGAGTAGGCATCTGGTAGCCTCTCAGAAGCGTGTCCTTAGAGACAGATGTGTCCAGACAGGCATAGGGAGTGACCAATTGTATTCTCAGCAGCCTTGGGCTCCAGTGACTTGGCCTGATCACTGTGTGTGTGTGTGTGTGTGTGTGTGTGTGTGTGTGTGTGTGTGTGTGTCTGTGTGTCTGTGTGTTTGTGTGGTGGCCAGGGTGTGTATGTGGCTGGGGCTAGCAGAGCTATTTCAGGAAAGGGTTAGGGACTGTGGAAAAATATCTCATTTTCCCACATATCTTCTTTATTGGACTTTGAAAAATAATAAACATCAAGTTAAGTTCCCAAACCATGCATTGTGTGTGTGTATGTGTGTATATGTACATGTATGTGTATATGTATATGTAAATGTATATGTACACTACTTTATTTCTAGGTCAACAATTACATTGAGGATTGTATCGCCCAAAAGCACTCGTTGATCAAGGTGTTAAGATTAGTTTGCCTCCAATCCGTGTGTAATAGTGGGCTCAAACAAAAAGTTTTGGATTATTACAAAAGAGAGATTCTCCAGGTAAGTATATTTTTAAATTATTAATTTGCCAAGGAGGACAGCATCTTTTTAAAAAATACGTCATGGGCCGGGCACAGTGGCTTACGCCTGTAATCCCAGCACTTTGGGAGGCCGAAGCAGGTGGATCACTTGAGGTTAGGACTTTGAGACCAGCCTGGCCAACATGGTAAAACCCCATCTCTACCAAAAATTTAAACATTAGCCAGGCATGGTAGCATGCACCTGTAGTCCCAGCTATTTGGGAGGCTGAGGCAGGAGAATTGCTTGAACACAGGAGGCGGAGGTTACGGTGTGTCAAGATTACGCCCCTGCTCTCCAGCCTGGGCAACAGAGTAAGACTCTGTCTCAAAAAATAATAATAAAAAGTTAAAATTTTTTTAAAAATAAAAAATACAATGCTGCCATTTTGGTGTCTTGTCACCACTGTTTTGTAAATTTTTTAACACCTAGAGGAATTAGTCTTGGTAGCCATCACTGTTTATTGTATTTGTGTGATGATAATAGTCAACAGGCTGGGCACAGTGGCTCACCCCTATTATCCCAATATTTTGTGGGACTGAGGCAGGAGGATCGCTGGAGGCCAATACCAGCCTAGGCAACATAGCAAGAGTTTCCCAGGCTGGAGTGCAGTGGCACAATCTTGGCTCACTGTAACCTCCTAGGTTCAAGCGATTCTCCTGCCTCAGCCTCCTGAGTAGCTGGGATTACAGGTACCCGCTACCAGGCCCAACTAATTTTTATATTTTTAGTAGAGACAGGGTTTTGCCATGTTGGCCAGGCTGGTTTCAAATTCCTGACCCCAAGTGATCCACCCACCTTGGCCTCCCAAAGTACTGGGATTACAGGTGTGAGCCACCATGCCCAGACCTTGGCTATTTTTTAAAAATAGAAATAATATCCTACATTGCATATTATTGTTTTTTAATATATTCTGGAGACCTTTCTTATCAGGATGTGTAGATATGCCTTATTCTTTTTTGGAGCAAATTATATACCATATAAAAATATACTATCATTTATTTGATGCTCACTTAGATTGGGTCCATACATTCTGACTTTAAAGTAAAAAATTTAAATTTCTCTTTGAAACAGTGAGCTGAATTAATAGTTAACAGGCAAGCAGTTTTAGGACAAGTTTCATCCCTCCACCCTGTCCTCTGTGCCCATCCACTAACATTGCTGGACTTTGGTAACATGTCCTACGGTACAAACCAAATTGATTTGTTGGAAGTGCCCTTCTTTGAAAATTGCAGAAATTCTTTTCCTAATCTAATATCAAGGCCAAATGACTTCCCTTGCAGACATATGGCTATGAGCACATATTGACCTTACACAACCTGGAGAAGGCCGGCCTACTGAAACCACAGACCGGGGGCAGAAACAATTACCCAACTATACGGAAAACATTACGCCTCTGGATGGATGATGTTAACGAGCAAGTAAGCCACACTTCTCCACCTCGTCTCAGCTTAGGGACTGGTTAGATCGTCCACATGACAACACATGCTTCTGAACCTACACATCTGCCTTGCTTTCTAAAAACAATTTTCTAATGTTTTCGAAAAAGTCATGCATCATGTATTGTATCCATCAGAACCCTAGAAGGAAACAGAGAATGCTCTTAAACTGGGGAGTTTCTGGAGAGTTTAATAAAGATGTGGGCCAGGCGCGGTGGCTCACACCTATAATCCCAGCACTTTGGGAGGCCAAAGCGGGCAGATCACTTGAGCTCAGGAGTTTGAGAACAGCCTGACCAACATGGGAAACCCCATCTCTACTAAAAATACAAAAATTAGCCCGGCATTGTGGTGCACACCTGTAATCCCAGCTACTTGGGGGGTGAGGCAGGAGAATCGCTTGAACCCAGGAGGCGGAGATTGTAGTGAGCTCAGATCGCGCCATTGCACTCCAGCCTGGGCGACAGAGCGAGGCTCTCTCTCCAAAAACAAAAAGATATGGGGCAGGCTCAGTGGCTCATGCCTGTAATCCCAGTGTATTGGGAGGCTGAAGTGTCAGATCGGTTGAGTCCAGGAGTTCGAGACCAGCCTGGGCAACGTGGCAAAACCCTATCTCTGCAAAAAAAAAAAATGGCCAATGGTGGTATGAGCCTTTAGTCCGAGAGGCCGTGATTAGAGGATCACTGAGCCCAGGAGGCAGTTGCAGTGAACCATGTTTGCGCCACTGCACTCCAGCCTTGGCTAGGGAGTAAGACTCTGTCTTAAATAAAGTTGTGGGAAGAGTGGAGACCAGTAAGAGGCAGTGTGGTAGGGAGCCCTTGCCAGACGTGGCCTGAAGAGCAAGGAGAGGGGGGTATTCTAGAAACTTATCTTAGAACCTGGAGAGAAGAGCTGTGGTGGGGCCATCTGTTGAGGTAAGGGGTGAGGGGCCTCTGGCTGAGGGTACGGTCAACCTCCAGCAAAGGAAGCCGGCCAGTGACAACCTCGTCCTCACACTGCTACCAACTCTCCAGTTCACTCTGGTGCTTTGCACTGGTCAGACCCAAAGAGAAGGCATTGGAGTGTGTTGGTGTGGGACGTACAGGTCCATCTCTGGGCATAGAGCATTGCGGAGAAGGGTGGAGAGTGTCTAGAGGAGCCAGTGGAGACGTCCAGCTCTCATAAACAAGCCAGCCATGGATGGGCGTGGTGGCTCACACCTGTAATCCCAGCACTTTGGGAGGCCAAGGCAGGAGGATCACTTGAGGTCAGGAGTTCAAGACCAGCCTGGCCAACATGATGAAACCGTGTCTCTACCAAAAAATACAAAAGTGATCAGGGCATGGTGGAGCATGCACCTGTAGTCCCAGCTACTGTACTCAGGAGGCTGAGGTGGCAGGATCCCTTAAGCCTGAGACGTTGAGGCTACAGCAAGCTGAGATTGCATGGCTGCACTCCAGCATGGGCAACAGAATGAGACTCTATCTCAAAAAAAAAAGAAAAAGAAAAAAGCTATGCAAAAGCAGGGCCATCAGGGCCAAGTGAGTTTCCTTCCACCATTTCCCCTCAGAGGCAGTCACTGTGGCCAGTTTTTTATCTATCCTTCCAGAAAGATTCTGTGCATATACATTTTTACATAAAGAGTGCATATTCTCTACTGTTGGTCTCCAAAGTGGGGTGCACTTTGCTATACATTTATTATTTATTCTAATGTTTCTAAATTTCAGTCTTTTTTGTTTTTTCATAAGGGACTTTATTAGGCTGCCTCTTGCAACCAAAGCTCGTAACTAGACAGTCTCCTCTGTCAGGAGCAAAATTGGATGATTTTTTCCCAGTGGGAAAATAGAGGCCCTTAATGTCTAGAGTCTGTCATGTACATATTAGTTCAGCTGCCTTCACTGTTTTGACCTTTCTGACTCCGGACCCACCTACCACTTAACAATGGATCTTGAAGAGTCTTTTGTGATCTTCCCCTTCTTTTTAATTTTTCTAAATTGCTACATAGTGGTTTTGAGGCTATACCTTATTTAATGATTTAACAGATTGCTACTGATAGAAATTCAGGTTGTTTCCAGTCTTTGCTATTACATGCAGTGTTGCAGTTAATATGTTTATACTTTGGTCTATTATATTTTGTTCTGCAAGCATCTCTGTAGGATTAATGCCTAAAAGTAGAATTGCTAAGTTCAAAGGTTATTGCTCATCATTGCTCAGCTAGGGAGTGCCAAGTTCCCCCCACTACATTTCATGCTGGCCGGACGCAGTGGCTCAGGCCTGTAATCCCAACACTTTGGGAGGCCGAGGCAGGTGGATCACCTGAGGTTGGGAGTTCAAGACCAGCCTGGCCAACATAGTGAAACCCTGTCTCTACTAAAAATACAAAAATGAGCCAGGAGTGGTGGTGCACACCTGTAATCCCAACTCCTTGGGAGCCTGAGGCAGGAGAATTGCTTGAACTTGGGAGGCGGAGGTTGCAGTGAGCCGAGATCACACCACTGCACTCCAGCCTGGGCAACAGAGCCAGACTCTGTCTCAGAAAAAAAAAAAAAAAAAGTTTCATGCCAAACCAAGTAATTTTTCATCTTCTGTACCTAGAGCTGCTTTGAGTGGCTTTTCAAGATTTGAGTCAAAAGTGAAGCTCTGGCTGCTAAAATTGAGCTCTGCTGGGGTGGATTAGAACAGGGCATGGCAGGGGTGGGGGTTGTTTATCTATCTTTAAATCCAAATCAAATAATTTTGGATTACCCAAAAGGCCACAGTCAGGTTGCTCTAAGTCTCTGTATCTACAGGATTTTTGTTCTTTAATTATCTCACAGAACCCCACGGACATATCCTACGTGTACAGTGGGTATGCCCCACTCAGTGTGCGGCTGGCCCAGCTGCTTTCCCGACCTGGCTGGCGGAGCATCGAGGAGGTCCTCCGCATCCTCCCAGGGCCCCACTTTGAGGAGCGACAGCCACTGCCCACAGGACTGCAGAAGAAACGTAAGTCCCAGTGCAGCATCTACAGATAATTATGTCCTGTTAGTGTGGTTTTCAGGTATTGTACAGTTGCTTTGTAAAATACTTAGTAAAGCACTTAGGAGTCAGAATTAAATATACCTCTTTTGTTCGTTGCTAATGTATATAGTTAGCACTAGAATCGGATTATTCCCTGAGGGGTAGCAGCTTTCAACTTCTATGTTGAGAATCTCAGGAGTTAGAAAAAACATTGAGATCAAAATCAGTATTCCTGGGTTTCAGATGAACTGTCTGGATGAAGACACTTGTTTATTCTTGTGAATGATAAAATGTTTGAAGAGGTGGGAAGAGGAGCACCGGTAATAAATAGTTTTTAATTCTGAAATGTTTAAATTTTAGGTCAACCAGGAGAAAACCGAGTGACTCTGATATTTTTCCTCGGGGGCGTAACCTTTGCTGAAATTGCTGCCCTGCGATTTCTCTCCCAGTTGGAAGATGGAGGTACAGAATATGTCATTGCCACCACTAAACTAATGAACGGAACCAGTTGGATAGAGGCTCTGATGGAAAAACCTTTCTAGGGTGTTCAGAGGAGACTTAACGAGTGTACTGCAGAATAAACTGCCTCTTTGAAGAAGTTGCTGAAAGGAAGTTAAACCCCATAGAAGAAACATGGAATGCAGAATATATTCTGGGGTCAGCTTCTTAAATTATACTACCGTTTACTGCTTTCTCCTTCTCTTTTGTATTCCTTTTTTTTTTTTTGCTTTGAGACGGAGTCTTGCTGTGTCACCCAGACTAGAGTGCAGTGGCACGGTCTCACCTCACTGCAACCTCCACCTCCTGGGTTCAAGAGATTCTCCTGCCTCAGCCTCCTGAGTAGCTGGGACTACAGGCATGCACCACCACACCCAGCTAATTTTTGTATTTTTAGTAGAGATGGTGTTTCACCATGTTGGCCTGGCTGGTCTCAAACTCCTGACCTCAGGTGATCCACCCACCTCAGCCTCCTACAGTGCTGGGATTACAGGCCTGAGCCACCATGCCCAGCCCCTAATCTGCTGAATAAAGAAGAATAGAAGAGAATCAACCTGAGTCAAAGAAGCACTGGTTTTGAGTTTTCTAAGCTCAGGGTCTTCATTAGAGACCTCTGGAAACACATTAAGGATGATGGGGGTAGATAATCCATTCTGCCAGACAAAGGAGGCCGGCTCTTAAAATAAGAAAGCTGAGACTGAGGAGGTGAAACGGAAAATAAAAAGAGAAAGTCCATCCCCTAATCCCCAGTGCTGTATTTCTTCAGGGTGCATCAGGCCTAGGACAGTGGTTAAGTGTTGGGAGCTGGACATCATTTTATCACTGAGTTGAGATTTCTTTTTCCTGCAGAGTATGGGAGATTATATTTAGGGTCATCAGTTGCTGTCGCAACTGATCACTAAGGCAAGTTTGCTTCCTTCTACTTCTTACAAAGCAAGAGGTTTAGAGGAGCTTCTTGCCCAGAAACAACGTTTATGCTCTATGCGATCAGCTACATCTCTGTAGGTTCCATACTTATCAGGGGCTTTTGACATGGAAGAATGTGATAATTGAGGAGCAGCCTTCTGGAATTCAGCCTTTGAAAGAATTCAAAGACAGTTTCTTAGCCCACATGGTAACTGCAGACACAGCAGTGGTGGATGCCTCCATTGAGGTTTCCATTTTCTCTCCTGTCCATCAAGGGCCCAACATCCAACTGGTCCCACGATGAGGAGGGGTAACTCTTGCTTCTTCAGCATCTGGCCACTTTGTTTCCATGGTAACTGCCACATGTACTTTTCTAGCAGTCTGTGGCCACTCCCTTCTCAGCTGAAAACACTGTTTCAACCCCCTCTCTGGTGACCTCAGCCTTCTCCAGGTGTATCTCTTGATCTTGGAGACCAGCAATCACAGCTGCTGCTACTCCTGCAGGAGACTGTCAGGCTGTGGTGGAGGGCAGGAGGTGGGAGGAGAAGTTGGAAATCCGTGTGTTCTCTGCCTCTCTGCTGCTGCATCTCAGCTTCTGGAGGAGTTAAGGCACCAAGGGCACCAAGTCAGATTGGCAGCTTTGCTGCCCGTGCCTAAGCCGCTAGCAGAATTAGTTCGTCCCCTGCTTTTCTGGGTCCCAGCGAGGTGTGGTTTTGGTTGTTGATTAGTAACTACACATTGTTTTTCCCCCACCTTTTTCATTAGTGGAGTTTCTTTTGTTTTTGTTTGTTTGTTTGTTTGTGACAGAGTCTCACGCTCATGCCCAGGCTGGAGTGCAGTGGTGCGATGTCGGCTCACTGCATCCTCCACTTCCTGGGTTCAGACGATTCTCATGCCTCAGCCTCCTGAGTAGTTGGGATTACAGATTTGCACCACCACACCTGGCTAATTTTTGTATTTTTAGTAGAGACGGGGTTTCACCATGTTGTCCAGGCTGGTCTTGAACTCCTGACCTCAGGTGATTGGCCAACCTCGGCCTCCCAAAGTGCTGGTATTACAGGCGTGAGCCACTGTGCCCGGCCCATTAGTGGAGTTCTGATGGGCACGGTAAATACTAGTAATGAAAGAGAAATTCTGTATACTTTAAAAAATCTCTTTAATAAAAGAATGCAGCAGCTCAAGCCTGTAATCCCAGCACTTTGGGAGGCCGAAGCGGGTGGATCACGAGGTCAGGAGATCAAGACCATCTTGGCTAACACAGTGAAACCCCATCTCTACTAAAAATACAAAAAAAAAAATTAGCCACCTGTAGTCCCACCTACTTGGGAGACTGAGGCAGGAGAATGGTGTGAACCCGGGAGGCGGAGCTTGCAGTGAGCCAAGATCGCGTCACTGCACCACTCCAGCCTGGGTGACAGAGCGAGACTCCATCTCAAAAAAAAAAAAAAAAGGAATGAAGGGTGGTAGAGATAATAATTGAAAGATTTGTTTGTCATGGAATTAATTTGGCCTTAATATTCAGTATTTGGAAATGTCTTAAAGAAAACCATTCTCATTGTAGAAAATCCTTTTTCAAATACTTGTTATATCCCAGGGAGATTAGTTTATACCTTCCACCTCAGGCAGTCATCAGCTGCTTTAGAGAATGAAATCCATCCTGCCCCTCCACGTTTTTGGTTCCTGGGGCTCAATTCAAGTCTGGTCAGGTCTCCCTGGCTGGAGATTCTGTCCTGGGAACAGATACTTAGTTGTAGTCTCATGTGTCTACACTCACCCGAGACTCTATACTTGCTTGCTCAGAGCATAGTTAGGTCAGCTCCTAAAAATGCATTCAGCAGAAGACTGAAAAACATCAATTGCTTCATTTGTATGCAAATAGAAAGTGGTAGATGATTATATATTACACGCCTTTGAGTAAGTTCATTTAATACTTGAAGCAGTCTTTGTCTCAAAAGAGTGTGCCCTTACTGAGAAAGGATATGTGAACGGTACATTTATTGTTGGAGAGAGTGGATTGTTTACATCATGTCTGGACTTTTGTCTCGTTGGGTAGACAGTTCTACACCAGCAGCCCCCTTAATAAAGAAGTCTACATAGACACTGTTTCGTGTCTTGCTATACAGTGTTGAATTCTAACCAACAGAGAATTAAGTATTTTGTTAATTGTGGAACAAAAGAGTAATGGTTGAAAGAGGGATGATTTAAAACAGCACATTTAATTCTCAGAGAAAACTGGGACAGTCTCACTGTGAGTTCTGTTCCATTCAGATCCGCCCTCACTGGAAATGGATTATGATTAAGCATGACATGCTGGTCTGTCTTGTTCTCAGTTGTACATTAAAGACCAGCCTGTCACCAGGAGGAAGTGTTTGAATTGAGCAGAGTTTAATTCAAGAAGAAATTACTTTTTTGTGATGAGGTCTTAACTCTGTTGCCCAGGCTGGAGTGCAGTGGCACAATCATAGCTAACCGCAGCCTTGAACTACTGGGCTCAAGCAGTCCTCCTGCCTCGGTCTCATGAGTAGCTGGGACTATGGGAAAGTACCACCACACCCAGCTAATTTTTTTTTCTTCCTTTTAGAGACAGGGCCTATGTTGCTCAAACTCCTGGCCTTAAGAGAAATAATTATTTTTTTCTTTTTTATTAAATTTATTATCTTTTTAATTTTCTGTAGAAACAGGTCTCACTCTGTTGGCCAGGGTGGTCTCGAACTCCTAGCTTCCAGCGGCCCTCCTGCCTCAGCCCCCCAAAGTGTTGGGATTATGGATGTGAGCCACCACACCAGCTGAAATACTCTTTTAAAAATATCAAAATGAACTGGATGTCTAAAGCAGACAGTAAGAGGGACTATGATAAAGATGGTGAGGCAAAAAATGCAGACATCACATAGATGATCTTTAGACTGAATTTATTGTAGAGTCTGATATATTCAGTCATGTGGTTTAATGATGACATCCTATAGAAAATAGAGGATACCTTTTTTGTCAGACAACAGAAGAAAAAGGCAGTTATTTAAAATTTCTGGTTCTTTTATTTCTAAATGGATTAGTGTGAATTTCAAGCCACATAGTGTTTCTTAGCTTAAGTTACTCCGTTGCTGTAAAACACCCAAAATCGGGTGGTAACAAGGAGCTGCAAAGGCTAGAACACTTAACTGCCTGGAGACATCCATTTGAAGGATGTGAGAGTTAAAAGGGAACAGAACCAGGCCTATTTTTAATAGCCTGTCTGTTTCATCCATTATTTTGGTGTGGAGGAGGGTATAAATGTCAGCTATACTCCGTTTCCACTAGGTAGGACACGGAAGATGACCAGTTCTCTGGGGGAGTAATTACTACTCACTGGCTTCCTGAGCAGCTTGATAATGTTCTGCTCCTGTTTTCAGCCTCACTGTGGCCAAGGCAATAATTTGATAATAAGAGATCCTGATTAAATTAAGGAGCCATTTGCTTCTGGATGATGATGTTGATAAAAGGGTTGATGTCCACACTGCCTGCTCTTTCAAAGGTCAGAAAACAGTCTTGAACTAAAAACTACTGCAACAAGCAAAATATTCAGAAGCAGCATAGTTTATGCTTTCGTTTCCTTTGTTGTTGCATCTGGGAAAGTGTCTGTTCTTTGCAGAAATCCTTACTGGCTCCTTTTGCCTCACATTCTGAGGAGGTGAAATTGGAAGTGTCACATTGGGAAGGTACCTGTATAATGAGTCTGTAAGCTGCGAAACTCTTTGTAAATCGGAATCAAGCACTCAGGAGATCTCGGTCACTTAAGCCTGGTTCTCACACACGTGCATGTTTGCACTTGCATTTTTTTTAAGACAACAGCTTTTGCTTTAGTAGTTGGGTGGTCGCAAGTGAACACTGTCCAGTGGTTCTTCTGGTGCCCAGACGAGGAGGAGATGGGACTGCTCTCAATGTGTTTGTTAGAAACGAAACTATTGGCACTATAACCCCATAACTCCCTACAACGTTCAGAAAAAAACAAGAAGGGGCTTGAAATACCCACTAGTGTACCGCCTGCTCAGCCCATTTGGGTCTGTGAAACCACATCTGAGCCCTGTGGGCTGTGGTGGCGACACAGGCGGAGGGCGGGCAGGGTTGCCAGCGCCCCGTCTGGGCTGGGAACGCCTGTGCACAGCTCGCTAAGAGCTCGGGGACCACGCGGAGGTTGTAATTGGTCTCTAGACCACACCTAGTTGAGTGCCGCTGCTTGAAAATCTCAGTTCTACTGAGATCGCGGAATACACACAAGCTACCTTTGGGCACCAGAGCAGACGGAACCGCGGAGCTTCAGGGTGGAAGAGTCGTGGAAACTTTGCCAAGTAAGTGAGGTGGGGAGAGAAGGAAGCCAGTGCCCGACACTGCGGGGAGTGGCTGGGCAAAGCAGCTTTGGAGGTGCTGTAGGGTTCCTACTGTCTGATGAGCTGGTGTGGGGTTCTTACTGTCTGATGCCGTCTCTTGTGGAAGTTAGCAGGGCTGGGGCAGATGTGCAGAGCACGGTGGGGGAGGTGAGCCCAGGATCGGACTGATGCCCACCCACTACCTGGCACCCTGCAGTTCCAGCTGGCCAGAAGGCAAGCATACCGGACCACAAAGCAAAGATCCGCCAGCTCTGCTGCTGGCAAGCCTTGGGGTCAGGGGACTCACAGAAGGGCAGGTTTGGGCCTGTGCCTTCCTCCTGCCCAAATGGGTCTTCTCTTCCCCTTCCAGCCAGGGCCGCAGCTGGGGCTGCAGCTTGAGTGACGGGAAAAGAAAGCTATACTCCACCAGCCCATTAGCGGCACTCACAGCATTAAAAATGCAGGAGGTGGTGGTGGGAGGAGCGAGCCGGGAGGAAGACTCATGCAGCTGCGGGGCGCGGGGAAGAGCCGGGCTTCTGCCTCCTCAGCCCGGATCAGAGCCAAAGAACGAGGGCAGTTTGAGTTGAGAAGGATTCTCCAGTGTAATCGAGAAGCGAGCGTCCAGGAGGCTGTTGGGGAGGTCGGCACTGTGGGCTTCCTAGCCTTCGTTTGCTGTTTCGAGGGCCTCGTGTGTTCCCGTCCGCCCCTCTGGGACGGCGCCAGCCCGGCAGGGTGCCGACCATCCCGGGTCTCCCGCGCAGCGCGATGCCGGCCTTGTCCACCGTCCACGTGCTGCAGCTGCTGCGGGAGCTGCTCGCCTTCGTGCTCCTCAGCTACACGGTGCTCATCGGGGCGCTGCTGCTGGCCGGCTGGACCACCTACTTCCTGGTGCTGAAGTGACAGCGCCGCCGCCCCGCCTCCCGCCCGGCCCCGCCTCCCGCCCGGCCCCGCCTCCCGCCCGGCCCCGCCTCCCACCCTGCCCAGCCACCTCACCCAGCCACCTCCCAACTCAGCAGGGAATTCCCTTCCATTTGGCTGATCCACTTACCATAGCGTCCACAGTGTCGACTCAGCTCACCTCATTCACATGGCCCCGCCTCCCGCCCGGCCCCGCCTCCCGCCCGGCCCCGCCTCCCCAACTCAACAGGGAATTCCCTTCAAGCCCTGGCCGGAGTCCCCGCCCACCCGTAGCGTCACGGTGTCCGACTCAGCTCCGCGCCCTCAGGCCCTGCGTATGCCCCGCCCCACGCGGAAGTTCCGGCGGTTGGTTGCCTTGCGCGGCCGTTACAGCCGTTGCCCTAAGCCTCGCCCCCTTTCCCCCTGTCTGCCCAATCCCGACTGCTTCCTTGGGTGGGGGCGTGGCCATGGGGTGAGGCTCTCTCTGGCGGAGGCCGTGCCCGGCCCCGCGCTCACGAAGCTGCGTCACTTCCGGCGTGTGCGTCCGGCGTCCGCCCGCTGCACGATGGCGGCTCTGAAGAGTTGGCTGTCGCGCAGTGTAACCTCACTCTTCAGGTACCGCTGCCGCCGCGTAGAGGGGACAGGACCAGAGGGAGGGACCGACGCGGACAGCGCTGTGGGCCGGCCCGCGGTGCCCGCTTTTCTTACGCGCACATCCCTCGTCGGCCCAGCTGGGTAGCGGCGTCTCGCCCCGCTCGAGAGGACTGAGGACAGTCCCGCCTCCGCCCCTTGGGTCAAGCTGGCTTCCTTTTCAGTTCGTCCATTTTCTAGAAACGAGTCCCCTAGACCCCAGGCTGCCTTCTTGGGGCCGCTCCGCCTCCCGACCAGCTCGCGTCAGCCCCTCGAAGTCCCTAAGGAGACGTGGAGAGGAGGAGGGACACGGCATGGGGGAGCCTGGGAAGGGAGGGGAGCGTCTGAGGACGTCTTCCCGAAGGCAGAAGGGGCCCGGGGAGCAGGCGCGGGGGACCTCGGCTCCCTTCCTAGCCCTGCAGGCTTTTGGGCGATTGTAGCGGGACCGTCACACACACCTGACACGCAGGCCAGGGGTCCAGAGCTAAATCCTGCCTGCAGGAGCGGTTATTGTGGCATCCGTTTCTAAAATGTTTTAAGGCATCATTTTATTTTATTTTATTTTTTATTTTATTTGAGATCTCGCCCAGGCTGGAGTGCAGTGGCGAGATCTCCCGGGTTCAAGCAATTCTCAGCCTCAGCCTCTCGAGTAGCTGGGATTACAGGCGCCCACCACCACGCCCGGCTAATTTTGTTTTGTTTTGTTTGAGACTGAGTCTCGCTCTATTGCCCAGGCTGGAGTGCAGTGGGGCGCTCTCGGCTCACTGCAACGTCTGCCTCCCAGATTCAAGCGATTCTCCTGCCTCAGCTTCCCGAGTAGCTGGGATTACAGGACTGTGCCACCACTCCGGGCTAATTTTTGTGTTTTAAGTAGAGACGGGGTTTCACCATGTTGGCCAGGCTGGTCTCGAACTCCTGACGGCAAGTGATCCACCCGCCTCGGCCTCCCAGAGTGTTGGGATTACAGGCGTGAGCCACCGCGCCCGGCCTTTTATATATATATATATATATATATATATATATATTAAATAGACACCGGGTCATGTTGCCAGCCATGTTGCCCAGGCTGGTCGTGAACTTCAGGGCTCAAGTGATCCTCCCGCCTTGCCCTTGGCCTTCCAAGTGCTAGAATCACAGGCGTGAGCCACCTGAGGCAACATTTTAAACTTGCTGTATGTTCAAAATTTCAAAACCCCTCAGCTGTCCTGCATCCTCATTTAGGTTCCTGCTTGACTCGAGTTTGAGTTTACAGCCCCTGCAAGTAAATCCAAGAGCCTGTTACAGATTGGCGGTCGTGCCTTATGAAATCTGACTTCTACTTCCAGGTACAGACAGTGTTTGTGTGTTCCTGTTGTGGCTAACTTTAAGAAGCGGTGTTTCTCAGAATTGATAAGACCATGGCACAAAACTGTGACGGTTGGCTTTGGAGTAACCCTGTGTGCGGTTCCTATTGCACAGGTACTGTCGTGTGCAGTGATTCTTATCTAGTGTACCGTGTCGTCTTGAAGTCTCACATGGTCAATGAAGCATTAGACAAGCTACCATAGTTTTACCCAGTGCTCCCATCCCTTCCCCTGCAGTACCAGCATCTTTTCACAGTTGAGCAGATGTGTTAATATTCTCATTTTGATTGTCTCATTTGATAGGAACAGCACATCAGATTGTATAAAGCGAGTAGAGAGAAAGAATATTACAGTCTATCAACAAAGTAGTCTTTGATTCACAGAAATTTATTGAGCAACTTTTATGTGCAAGACACTGAGAATGTAAACATGAACAAAAAATTCTTGCTCTCACAAAATGCTTTGTGGAGATGAAAGAGGAGAAAATAAACAAATATAAAATATCAGCTGGTGATAAATGGTAGGAAGAAAACAGGGCTAGGCACAGTGGCTGATGCCCAGGGCTTTGGGAGGCCGAGGTGGGAGGATGGCTTGAACTCAGGAGTTTGAGACCAGCCTGGGCAAAATAGGGAGACTCTGTCTCTACAAAAAAGAAAAAAATTAGTCAGGTGTGGTGGCTCACACCTGTAGTCGCAACTACTCAGGAGGCTGAGGCAGGAAGATCGCTTGAGCCCAGGAGTTTGAGGCTGCAGTGAGCTATGATCTCACCACTGCTCCCAGCCTGGGTGACATGGCAAGACCTTTTCTCAAAAACAAAACAAAACAAATGAGGTAAGTGAATAGGCAATTCTGGGAGGGGGTTGTTTTGTTTTAGATAAAGGTGGTCAGGCTACTCTGATAAGGTGCAATAGAGATCTGAATGTTCTGAAAGAGCCATTATACTGTCTGGTGCGGAGAGGAGCTTGCCAGGCAGAAGGAACTCAGGACAAAGACCTAGAAGCAGAACTATGCCTGGTATGTCTGAGGAGCAGGGAGGCTAATGTGGCTGGAGTGGAATCGGGGAGACAGTAATAGATGAAGCCAGAGAGTTAACTGATAATCAGATTGTGTACTTTGTATTTTGTGGGCCATTGTTGTAAGGCTTTGGGTTTTCTGAAAAGCCGCAGAGGAATTTTTTTTTTTTTAAGACAGAGTCTCACTGTTGGCCAGGCTGGAGTGCAATGGCACAATCTTGGCTCACTGCAACCTCCGCCTCCCAGGTTGAAGCGATTCTCATGCCTCAGCCCCCCAGGTAGCTGGGATTACAGGGGTGTGCCACCAGACCCTGCTAATTTTTGTATTTTTAGTAGAGACTGGGTTTCACCATGTTGGCCAGGCTGGTCACCAACCCCTGACCGCAGGCGTGCCACACACCTCGGCCTCCCAAGGCGCTGGAATTACAGGCCTGAGCCACCGCACCTGGCCGTCACAGAGGATTTTTAACACAGAAGTGTTATGATCTGACATAAATTTTAGAAGTTTTAAAAGGTTGCTGTGTGGAACTAGGAAGACTAATAGGCTGTTGCTCTATCTAGGCATGAAATGATACTGGCTTGGACCAGGCAAGCAGAAGAGGTGGGGAGAATTAAGCTGAATGTAGTTAGCAGGAGTTGCCGATGGATTGGTTGTGGGGTGTATTCTCTAGATTAGGGGCCCCCAACCCCTGGGCTGGTACTGGTCTGTGGCCTGATAGGAAGCAGGCTGCACAGTAGGAGGTGAGTGGTGGGCAGGTGAGCATTACACCTGAGCTCCGCCTCTGGTCAAATCAGCAGTGGCATGAGATTCTCATAGGAGCACGAAACCTGTTGTGAACTACACATGCAAGGGATCTAGGTTGTGTGCTCCTTATAAGAATCTAACTAATGCCTGATGATCTGAGGTGGATGTTTCATCCTGAAACCATCGTTGCCCCACCCAGTCCATGAAAAAATTGTCTTCCACAGAGCCAGTCCCTGGTGCCATAAAGGTTGGGGACCACTGGTCTAGCTTCCAAGATTTTTTAAAGGCCTTAGCAACTGAATGAATGGCGATGCCATTTAGTAGGATGAAGAGGAGTGGGTTTTGAAAGAAAAATTTTTTGGAAATGTAATTTCTAAGATGTCTAGGAAACATCTAGGTGGAGCTATCAGGTAGTTGATATAAAAGTGGCACTTCACTTAAAAAAATCATAGCTTATTTGTTTTATGGGGAAGAGCTAGAGAGGAAACCAGCAAGCTCCATTTCAGCAAAATATTCCTGCCACTTACGTGTGTGTTCATCACAAAAGGAAGATAAATTCCATGTATCACAAGTATTTTCAGCATCTTCTGTGGCTCACTCATGAGCCCTCACCTTACTGTGCCTCACTTCAGTTGTCATCTCTGCATGCTGATGAATCCATAGCCCTAAAACCCCTCACTTGAATACCAGGCCATTTTCGGCCACAATTGGGACAACCTTTGATTTTTCATTCAAAAGGTTTTTGGTTTTTTTTTTTAGGTTTGTCCTGTCTCAGTTATTATATTACTTTCTAAGCCCAGTTAACCTCAGTTCTGGGCCACATGACTGGGGCCTCTAGTCATTTAGTACAGCAGTGCCACTTCCATTGTTCGAAACCCCTCAGTGGTCAGCTACGCACAGTGGCTCTCTCTTGTGATCCCAGTACTTTTGGAGGCTGAGGTGGGAGGATCACTGTAGGCCAAGAGTTCGAAACCAGCCTGGGAAACAGAGACCACCCCTTTACAAAAAATAATTAGCTAGGTGTGGTGGTGTGTGTCTGTAGTCCTAGCTACCTGGGAGGCAGGAGGATCATTTGATCCCAGGAGTTCAAGACTGCAGTGAGCTGGGATCAACACTGGATGGAGGGCAACAGAATGAGAAATGAAAAACCTACAGTGGCTTTCCATGAGGCGTTCAGAACTAAAATCAAACTTAAGTCTCCCTGCACCCAGGACCCTAGTGGGTCTCGTCTCTCTTGTGCCATTGCTCCAACCAGGCTAGATCCCTGGACATCCCCCGCAACACAAGTATTCTTTTCTTCATCGCTAACCTATTCTCCAGGATGCCTGGCCATTCTGATTCTAGGTGTCTTTAGTACCAAATCTCACCTCTGTTTAAAGCCTTTCCTTATTCCTGTCCAACAACTATCTCCTTTCTGGCCACTTAATGTTGTGTATTTTGATATTTGATGATAATCCTTTGGCACTCTCCTGAGTCATCAGAGCATAATGGGAAGGGTACAGACTTTAAAGTGAGATTTTGTTTGAGGTCTAGATGGGACTTTTTGGAAAAGTTATAGAACTGTTCTGAGCTTCCGTGTCATTGCTTGTAAAGGATAATAACTGGACTATTGTGAGGAACAAGGGAAAACACATTATAAAATGTAGCACATTACGAAGACTCTCAGAATATTGAGACAAAATTAGCTTCTTGTGAGCAGAGGTGTCTTCCTTTTGTAGTCCTGTATGAGGTGCCTAATTAATACTTAATTATTTGATTGAAATATAAAGTTCTTGATTTGTTCATATCAAAAATAGTTTTTGACTGCCTCTTTCAACATGCAGTGATTCTGAGTGTTTGTACTCTTGAGTCGCAAAAACAAGACACAACATAGAGTGATTGATTTTTTTTTTTTTTTTTTTTTTTTTTGGAGACAAGTTTTGCTCTTGTTGCCTAGGCTGGAGTGCAATGGAGCAATCTCGACTCACTGCAACCTCCACCTCCTGGGTTCAGGCAGTTCTCCTGCCTCAGTCTTCCGAGTAGCTGGGATTACAGGTACCCGCCACCACACCCAGCTAATTTGTGTCTGTTTAGTAGAGACTCTGTCTCAAAAAAATAAAACAGCTGAGGTCCCCCCATCAACACTGTACTGCTTCATTCTGCTCAGAATTGCCCTCCCCCATCTACTTTTTTTTTTTTTTTTTTGAGACAGAGTCTCACTCTGTCGCCCAGGCTGAAGTGGCACAATCTTAGCTCACTGCAATGTCTGCCTCCCGGGTTCAAGCGATTCTCCTACCTCGGCCTCCTGAGTAGCTGGGACTACAGGCGCCCACCACCATGCCCAGCTAATTTTTTTTTTTTTTTTGTATTTTTAGTAGAGTTGGGGTTTCACGATGTCGGCCAGGCTGGTCTCGATCTCTTGACCTTGTGATCCACCCGCCTCGGCCTCCCAAAGTATTGGGATTACAGGCGTGAGCCACTGTGCCCAGCCCCCTTTCTTAGACTCAGCTTAATCCTCATCAAATTTGTGAAGCCTTTTCTAAGCTATTAGCACTCAGCATAAAACTGATTGCTACCGGCCGGGCGCGGTGGCTCAAGCCTGTAATCCCAGCACTTTGGGAGGCCGAGGCGGGCGGATCACGAGGTCAGGAGATCGAGACCATCCTGGCTAACAGGGTGAAACCCCGTCTCTACTAAAAAATACAAAAAACTAGCCGGGCGAGGTGGCGGGCGCCTGTAGTCCCAGCTACTCGGGAGGCTGAGGCAGGAGAATGACCGGAACCCGGGAGGCGGAGCTTGCAGTGAGCTGAGATCCGGCCATTGCACTCCAGCCTGGGCGACAGAGCGAGACTCCGTCTCAAAAAAAAAAAAAAAAAAAAAAAAAAAACTGATTGCTCCCTTCTGCATGCCCCTACTGTAGCTCATACATACTCCTCCCACGGCTTCCATGATACATGATTGTGTTCATTTTTCTAGTTCTATTAGCCCATCATCCTCCTCTCTCTACCCTGCACCTGTGTTTGAGGGCAGAGAACGTCTTGTTGAGACTTGTGTCTCAAGTATCGAACACTGTTAATGAATGAATTGTAATCTTGTCAATTTGTTATAATCACTAGTTTTGTTTTTGAGATGGAGTCTCACTCTGTCACCAGGCTGGAGTGCAGTGGTGTAATCTCAGCTCACTGCAACCTCCGCCTCCTGGGTTCGAGTGATTTTTTTTTGAGACGGAGTCTCCCTCTGTCACCCAGGCTGGAGTGCGGTGGCCGGATCTCTGCTCACTGCAAGCTCCGCCTCCTGGGTTTACGCCATTCTCCTGCCTCAGCCTCCCGAGTAGCTGGGACTACAGGCGCCCGCCACCTCGCCCGGCTAGTTTTTTGTATTGTTTTTAGTAGAGACGGGGTTTCACTGTGTTAGCCAGGATGGTCTCGATCTCCTGACCTCGTGATCCGCCCGTCTCGGCCTCCCAAAGTGCTGGGATTACAGGCTTGAGCCACCGCGCCCGGCCTCGAGTGATTCTTCTGCCTCAGCCTCCCAAGTATCTGGGACTACAGGCGCGTGCCACCACGCCCAGCTAATTTTTGTATTTTTAGTAGAGACAGGGTTTCACCATGTTGGCCAGGATGGTCTCAATCTCCTGACCTCGTGATCCGCCTGCCTCAGCCTCCCAAAGTGCTGGGATTACAGGCGTAAGCCAGCGTGCCTGGCACTGTTTTTGTTTTTGTTTGTTTGTTTGTTTAGACAAGAGTCTTGCTCTGTCGCCCAGGCTGGAGTACAGTGGCGCAGTCTTGACTCACTGCAACCTCTGCCTACTGGGTTCAAGCGATTCTCCTGCCTCAGCCTCCTGAGTACCTGGGATTCCAGATGCATACCACTACCACCTGGCTAATTTTTGTATTTTTTAGTAAAGTCAGGGTTTCACCATGTTGGCCAGGCTGGTCTCAAACTCCTGACCTCAAGTGATCCGCCTGCTTCTGCCTCTCAAAGTGTTGGTATTACAGGTGTGAGCCACCGCACCCCACTGCATTTTATTTTATATATAAAGAAATAATTTGCTTTTTGGAGCAGAGAATGAAAGTTGGTTAGAAAGCATACTCTGGAATTATTTCTCTATATTGTCTTAAATTGCCAAAATAAGGCCTTAAAAAATATAACCCAAAGGAATATAGTGCAGTTTCAGCCTAAAACACTAAGCAGCATGACAATTATGTTTTTTACTTGCCAGTTTGTGAAAAAGTTCTGTTTGAGCTTTAGAGGTTGAGTGACAATGTTTGTGTCTTTCAGAAATCGGAGCCTCATTCCCTTAGTAGTGAAGCATTGATGAGAAGGGCAGTGTCTTTGGTAACAGATAGCACCTCTACCTTTCTCTCTCAGACCACATATGCATTGATTGAAGCTATTACTGAGTATACTAAGGTATGTCTCCTCTTGTTAACTCTTGATCTTCTAAACCATGGTTTAGCAAATAATGGCTCACAACCAAATTGTGTCTGATGCCCATGTTGGTATTTGATTGAAACATAGCCAGGACTATTTGTTTATGTATTGTCAGTAACGGTTTTTGAGGATTTGAGTAGTTTCAGCAGAGGCTGTAAGGCCCACAAAGCCTAAAATATTTACTGTTAGGCCCTTCACAAAAATGTTTGCTGAGCCCTGATCTAAATCACTAGTTTTTAGACTTTTTTCAGGAACCTTTTTTTCAGAAAACTCTTAAATGTGGCAGCCTAGTATATAAAACAGAAGTAGAGCTCATGTGGTGCAGTTAGGGGCACAGGGCCATGGTCCATCAACAGAGGTTTCTCTGTGAGGATTAAAAACCACTGATCTAAGCTAATAGAAAAGAGAGTATATGGACCAGGCATGGTGGCTCACATCTATAATCCCAGCAGCAGCTTGGGAGGCCAAGGCGGGAGGATCACTTGGGGCCAGGAGCTCAAGACCAGCCCAGTCAATGTAGCAAGCCCTACCTCTACCAGAAAAAAAATTTTAAACTTAGGCATAGTGCGTTGTGTGCCTGTAGTCCCAGTTACTCCAGAGGCTGAGGTGGGAGGATCACTTGAGTCTAGGAGTTTGAGGTTACAGTGAGCTGTGAACATGCCACTGCACTTCAGTCTGGGTGACAGAGCATCCTGTTTGTAAAAAACAGTTTTTTTTTTTTGAGATGGAGTCTTGCTCATGCAGGCTGGAGTGCAGTAGCATGATCTCAGCTCACTGCAACCTCCACCTCCTGGGTTCAAGCAGTTCTCCTTCCTCAGCCTCCTGAGTAGCTGGGATTACAGGCATACACCACCATGTCCGGCTAATTTTTTGTATTTTTAGTAGAGATGGGGTTTCGCCATGGTGGCCAGGCTGGTCTTGAGCTCCTGACTTCAGGTGATCCACCTGCCTTGGCCTCCCAAAGTGCTAGGATTATAGGCGTGAGCCACCGCACCCAGCCAATAAAACTTTTTTAAAGAGTATATGGTTAATCAAGTATTGAAGTCTCATTTGTGCATTTGTTTTACATACATTTTCCAGCAGCTTTTTTTCCTCAGCCTTTAGATTTTTCCCTTGCATTATTTTCTCTTTCTGTGTCTGAACTGCTGACAAGCTTTTAAAAACACAGAAGTTGCTGGGCGCGGTGGCTCAAGCCTGTAATCCCAGCACTTTGGGAGGCCGAGACGGGTGGATCACGAGGTCAGGAGTTCGAGACCATCCTGGCTAACAGGTGAAACCCCATCTCTACTAAAAAATACAAAAAAAAAAAAACTAGCCGGGCGAGGTGGTGGGCGCCTGTAGTCCTGGCTACTCGGGAGGCTGAGGCAGGAGAATGGCGTAAAAACCCGGGAGGCGGAGCTTGCAGTGAGCTGAGATCCGGCCACTGCACTCCAGCCTGGGCGAAACAGCGAGACTCCGTCTCAAAAAAAAAAAAAAAAAAAAAAACCATACACACAGAAGTTTACAGACGGAGATACTAATGTCCTGATACCTTTACTTCATAGGATAATAGTGCAATTTAATTGAGGCAGCAGGATGGAAGAGCCAGTTTGCTGTGGTGGAACTTAGTTTCCTTGAGGTAGAAATCTCTCTATTCCTTCTGATATGTCTCAGTTATTTTACTCAGACTTGTTCATTCTGTATTTGTAGGCTGTTTATACCTTAATTTCTCTTTACCGACAATATACAAGTTTACTTGGGAAAATGAATTCACAGGAGGAAGATGAAGTGTGGCAGGTGATCATAGGAGCCAGAGCTGAGGTAAGCAGAAAGTTCTAGGCATTTCTGTGTTAGTGCATCTGCCTCATGTGGTATCTAAATTATTGAATTAAGTCTAATCAATATAATCAGTGTTCTCTAAATCTTCTACTTTAAGTCCATTTAAATGGGCTAGACCTCTCATACTGTCTGAAGCACTTTGCTTGATTTATATAGATGTCTTCGAAACACCAAGAATACTTGAAGCTGGAAACCACTTGGATGACTGCAGTTGGTCTTTCAGAGATGGCAGCAGAAGCTGCATATCAAACTGGTAGGTTCAAGTTTTGTGTTGGTGTTTTTTTAACTAGAGGTGCCATTTGAGTTTTCATCTGGTTTTCTAAAATGAGGGCTTTATATTAGATGGTCTAAGTGGCTCTAACTTTGAGAAATTTTCCCCATTTCCTATATATTAACAAACATTTTATTTACACAATAGAAAAAATGAGCATACCTTTGCAGACCAGACCAGTAGAAGCTAGGTTGTATCTTCAAAATGAAAAATGATACAACCATTACCATTGGAAAACTGGATTGCTTCCAAATAGTTTGAGTTTTTGGTAATACAGTTTATTAACAATCATAGAATTACACCGTTAGATGAGACTTGAGATGATTAATCTGTGTGAACCTTTTTGTATAGATGGAGAAAATGAGATGTGGAATCATAGTCAGTGGCAAAACCAGGACAAATTATTTGTCTATGTCAGGCTTTGTGGTAAGCATTTCGTAGGCACTTTTTATATGTGAAGAAACTAGAGGGCAGATGGGCCAAATAATTCAGCTAAGACGACGTGGTGCGGTGAGCAGGCAGCCAAGCTGGGACTCAGCTGAGTAGGTCTCTTTTTTTTACAAAATAGAGATGGAGTTTTACCATGTTGCACAGGCTAATCTCGAAATCCTAGGCTCAAGCAGTCTACCCACCTTGGCCTCCCAAAGTGCTGGGAGTATAGGCATGAGCCACCGAGCCAAGTATGTCGAATTCCAAAGCCTTTGCTTCTCCTAGCAGCTGGTGCTTTGTCCTCTGCACCTTAGTACCCCAAGGTGCCCATCATAGAACATCCTACCTGAGTGGTTCCAAACTAGGTAGGCTCACAGAATTTTTTTTTGGTTTTGAAACTGAGTTTTGTTCCTATCACCCAGGCTGGAGTGCAGTGGCGCCATCTAGGCCTACTGCAACCTCTGCCTCCTGGGTTCAAGTGATTCTCCTGCCTCAGGCTCCCAAGTAACTGGGATTATAGGCACCCACCACCACGCCCCAACTAGTTTTTGTATTTTTAATAGAGAAGGCGTTTTGCCATGTTGGCCAGGCTGGTCTCGAATTCCCGACTTCAGGTGATCCACCCACCTCAGCCTCCCAAAGTGCTGGGATTACAGGCATGAGCCACTGCGTCCAGCCAAAAAAATTTTTTTTTTGGACAGTTTCACACTTGGTGCCCAGGCTGCAGTGGTGGCACTTTCTCAGCTCACTGCAACCTCTGCCTCTCCAGTTGAAGCAATTCTCCTGCCTCAGCCTCCCAATTACAAGCATGCACCACCACACCTGGCTAATTTTTGTATTTTTAGTAGAGACAGGGTTTCACCATGTTGGCCAGGCCAGTCTCGAACTCTTGACCTCAAGTGATATACCCACCTCAGCCTCTCAAAGTGCTGGGATTACAGACGTGAGCCACCACACCCAGCCAGCTCACCAGAATTATAGCCCAGTACTAGCTGTTATTAAGAAACTGGTTGCAGTGGCTCACGCCTCTAATCCCAGCGCTTTGGGAGGCCGAGGAGGGTGGATCACTTGAGGTCAAGAGTTCGAGACTGGCCTGGCCAACATGGTGAAACCCTGTCTCTACTAAAAATACAAAAATTAGCCAGGTGTAGTGGCATACGCCTGTGCAGGAGAATGGCTTGAACCCAGGAGGTGGAGGCTGCAGTGAGCTGAGATGGCTCCACTGCACCTTAAGCCTTGGTGACACAGCGAGACTCTGTCTCAAGGAAAAAAAAAAAAAAAAAAAAAAAGAACTGGTATGAGTCGGGCCCAGGGGTTCACGCGTGTCTTTGGGAAGCCGAGGCGGGCAGATTGCTGGAGCCCAGGAGTTCAAGGACAACACAGCAAAACCCAATCTCTACCCAAAATACAAAAATTAGCTAGGCGTATTGGCGCTTGCCTATAGTCCCAGCTACTCGGGAGGCTCAGGTGGGAGGATTGCTTGAACCCAGGAGCTCAAGGCTGCAGTGAGCTATGATCATGCCTGTGCACTCCATCCTAGGCAAAAGAGCTAGACCCTGTCTCTCAAAAAAGAAATTGTTATATTAAAACATACTCTTGTTTTCTGATGTCAAGATTAGCAGACTAGGGTCTCAAGCATCAAATCTTAAAAATGACAGAAAGGGTTGGGTGTGTTGGCTTACACCTCTAATCCCAGCTACTTGAGAGGGTGAGGCAGGAGGATCACTTGAGCCTGGGAGGCAGAGGTTGCAGTGAGGCGAGATCATTGCACTCCAGCCTGGGCAACAGAGTGAGACCCCATCTCAAAAGATATAAAGCATTTTTTTTTTTTTTTTTTTTTTTTTTGAGACGGAGTCTGGCTCTGTCGCCCAGGCTGGAGTGCAGTGGCCGGATCTCAGCTCACTGCAAGCTCCGCTTCCTGGGTTTACGCCATTCTCCTGCCTCAGCCTCCTGAGTAGCTGGGACTACAGGCGCCGCCACCACGCCCGGCTAGCTTTTTGTATTTTTTAGTAGAGACGGGGTTTCACCGTGTTAGCCAGGATGGTCTCGATCTCCTGACCTCGTGATCCGCCCGTCTCGGCCTCCCAAAGTGCTGGGATTACAGGCTTGAGCCACCGCGCCCGGCCCGATATAAAGCATTTTTTAAGGTAAGTGTTGTGTCATCATACTGAAAAACAAAAAGTAATTCTTTTAGAAGTTAATAAGGTTTTTTTTTTTTTTTTTGGAGACAGAGTCTCACTCTGTCCCCCAGGCTGGAGTGCAATGGTGTGAACTCAGCTCAGTGCAACCTCCACCTCCCTGGTTCAAGCAATTCTCTTGCCTCTGCCTCCTGAGTAGCTGGGATTGGAGGCGCCTGCCATCATGCCTGGCTAATTTTTGTATTTTTAGTAGAGACGGAGTTTCACCATGTTAGCCAGACTGGTCTCTAATTCCTGGTCTCAGGTGGTTCGCCTTCCTTGGCCTCCCAAAGTGCTGGGATTACAGATATGAGCCACTGCGCTTGGCCCAGAAAAAAGGATTATTAGTGATCCTGAGGAATCGGAGATTTGGAACAAAAAATGAAACAACAGAAGTGTGGAAGCAGCATTATAGTCGTGCCACACAAAGATGGCAGAGGATTCCTGGGTGCAGTGAACAGGAGGATATGCTTAGATCTAGAAGGAGAAAAGAAGGATAGGATGTATAAGCATTATCTGAAAAAAGTAGACATTTTCCTAGAACTCATAAAAGGGCTAGCAAGTTGTAAACAGAATTTTTTTTTTTTTTTTTTTTCTGGTCTTACTTTGTCACCAGGCTGGAGTATAGTGGTACAGTCATGACTCACTGCTTACTACAGCCTCAGCCTCTGGGCTCAAGCGATCCTACCACATCAGTCTCCCAAGTAGCTGGGATTATGTGTTTTTGGCAGAGACAGGGTTTTGCCATGTTGCCCATCCGCCCACCTTGGCCTCTCAAACTGCTAGGATTATAGACATGTGACACTGTGCACGGCCTTATGATTTCACTTTTTTAACAAAAAATCTGGTCCAGGTGCAGTGGCTCATAACTCTTGTAATCCCAGCACTTTGGGATGCCTAAGCAGGTGGATCACTTGAGCTCAGGAGTTCGAAACCAGACTTGACAACATGATGAAACCCTGTTTCTACAAAAAAATTAGCCATGCATGGTAGTGGGCGCCTGTAGTTCCAGCTTCTTGGGAGGCTGAGGTGAGAGGATCACTTGAGCCCTGGAGGTTAAGGCTGCAGTGAGCCATGATCAGGCCAGTGCACCGCAGCCTGGTTGACTAAGCAAGACGCTGTCTTAAAAACAAAAAAATGGCTGGGCGCAGTGGCTCACGCCTGTAATCCCAGCACTTTGGGAGGCTGAGGTGAGCAGATCACGAGGTCAGGAGATCAAGACCATCCTGGCTAACACGGTGAAACACTGTCTCTACTAAAAATACAAAAAAATTAGCCACGTGTGGTGGCAGGCGCCTATAGTCCCAGCTACTCAGGAGGCTGAGGCAGGAGAATGGTGGGAACCTGGGAGGCAGAGCTTGCAATGACCTGAGATCACACCACTGCACTCCAGCCTGGGCAACAAAGCAAGACTCCATCTCAAAAAACAAATAAAATAAGCAAATAATAAAGTAACAGCATAACAGAAAGATTCAGAGCAAAATCCCAAAAGCTACTAAGAAAAAACAGATTACCTACAAAGGAAGTAGAATCAAACATCAGGCATCTTCTCCACAACACTAGAGGTGACGATACATAAATAACCTAGGATTTTATGTATAGCCAACTACCATCAAAAAGTGAGAATAAAATATACCCTCAGACATAGACTCAAAGTACCACCTGCATACACTTTCTGGAAGAACTATGAAGAAGGAAAAATCAGTTTTGAAAGAAGCTACTAAAATTTTTTTCCAAAAGTTCTGAGTGTAAAACAAGTTTTTAAATTTGGGAAAGTGAAAACATGCTAAGCACATTGACATTAGACATTATTAAACACTGCAGAGAATTAGTAGGAGTGGCAGGAAACTTGGTAGCTTCAATCGAGGCAGGAAAGGTTTAAAAAGAAAACCCATTAATTAGAAAACACAAAACGGCCAGGCGCAGTGGTTCACACCTATAATCCCAGCACTTTGGAAGGCCGAGGCAGGTGGATCAGCTGAGGTCAGGAGTTCGAGGCCAACATGGCGAAACCCCATCTCTAATTTAAAAAAATATATAGGAATGATTTCAAACATCAGTGATTACAGTAAAAGTAAACTTATTAAATGACACTTTTAGATTGTGTTCCAAAAAATCTAGCTAAATCAAAGAAAGCATTCAAGATAAAAAGCAATCAGTAGGACAGAACAGTTCTTTTAGACATCAATCATGAAACATGTACTTAATAAGGCAAAAACTGAGAATTACAAGGAGATCTCAGAGATGTGTGTAATACTTAATTTTCTGAGCACGCTTGCAGGTCAAGAAGACCAAAAAAATTAAAGCTATTAAGGATTAGAACAGAATTTTGGAGACAGGGTCTTGCTCTGTTGCCCAGGCTGGAGTGTAATGACATGATCACAGCTTACTACAGCCTTGACCTGGGCTCAAGCCATCTTCCCATTTCAGCCTCCCAAGTAGCCCAACTAATTTTCTTTTTTTTAAGAGATGGGGTCTTGTTATGTTGCCCAGGCTGATTTTGAACTCCTGGGCTCAAGTGATCCTCCCGCCTTGGCCTCCCAAAGTGCTAGGATCACAGGCGTGAGCTGAGCCACTGCACCCAGCTCAGTATGATTTTTGATTTTTTATTTTGGAGACAGGGTCTCACTCTGTCACCCAGGTTGGAGTGTAGTGCCCTGATCTTGGCTCACTGTAACTTCTGCCTCCCAGGCGCAAGCAATCCTGTCTCAGCCTCCTGAGTAGCTGGGACCACAGGCAGTCACCACCACACCCGATTAATCTTTAATTTTTGGTAGAGATGGGGTTTCACCATGTTGCCCAGGCTAGTCTCGAACTCCTGAGCTAAGGCAGTCCACCTGCCTCAGCCTCCCAAAGTGCTGGGATTACAGGTGTGAGCCACTGTGCCCGTCTGTGATTTTTTTTTTTTTTTTTTTTTTTTAACTAAACAAAGGAAAATCAGATTTGTGTGTGTGAGAGACACAGGGTCCATGCGGGAATGCAGCGGTGGATCATACATCATAGCTTGCTGTAGTCTCAACCTCCTGGACTCAAGTGATCCTCCCTACCTTAGCCTCCCCAGTAGCTGGGATTATAGGTGCACACTATCATGCCCTGGCTAATTTTTTTATTTTTAGTAGAAACAGAGTTTCACTAAGTTTCCCAGGCTGGTTTCGCAGAGTGATTTTTAAACACGTGATAAATGTATATATACTGAATATAAAACTTTGTTCCCTCCCTCTATACCTTCATATTCTTCTAAGACACAAAGTAAATTTTGTACCAGGTGACAAAAGGAAAAGACAACAAAATCATTTAAAAAGTTGATATATCGGCCGGGCGTGGTGGTTCACGACTGTAATCCCAGCACTTTGGGAGGCCGAGGCGGGTGGATCACGAGGTCAGGAGAGCAAAACCATCCTGGCTAACACGGTGAAACTCCATCTCTACTAAAAATACAAAAAAATTAGCCGGGCATGGTGGCAGGCACCTTTAGTCCTAGCTACTCGGGAGTCTGAGGCAGGAGAATGGCATGAACCCGGGAGGCAGAGGTTGCAGTGAGCCGAGATTGTGCCACTGCACTCCAGCCTGGGCAACAAAGCAAGACTCCATCTCAAAAAAAAAAAAAAGGTTGATATATCACATTCACCAACCTTCAATCTACCACTAATAAAGAAATTCCTGGCCGGGCACGGTGGCTCAAGCCTGTAATCCCAGCACTTTGGGAGGCTGAGACGGGCGGATCACGAGGTCAGGAGATGGAGACCATCCTGGCTAACACGGTGAAACCCCGTCTCTACTAAAAAATACAAAAAACCAGCTGGGCGAGGTGGCGGCGCCTGTAGTCCCAGCTACTCGGGAGGCTGAGGCAGGAGAATGGCGTAAACCCAGGAGGCGGAGCTTGCAGTGAGCTGAGATCCGGCCACTGCACTCCAGCCTGGGCGACAGAGTGAGACTCCGTCTCAAAAAAAAAAAAAAAAGAAATTCCTTATGTCTACAAAGTTTAAAAACATGCTTCTTAAAAACTACAGGCTAAAAAAATTTAAATGGAAATTTAAAAATATTTAGAACGGTGATGACAAGCACCGTATATAGGAGAACTGGGAGGTTGTAGACAAAAGTAGCTCTTAAAGGGAGATTTACACCTATGTCATAAATACAAAGACTGTGAATGACAGGTAATATTTACTGTAACAATACTGAAAATAAGCAAGTTAAACTTTAACTCAGTTATCAGAAAGGCAAAATGAGAAAAATGGAACATATTAGAAGTAGTTAAATAGGAACAATCAGGCAAAATCTGCTCTCTTGAAAAGACTGAAAAATTAGGCAAAGATTTGGTAAGTATGACTTTAGAGAGAGTGGTAAAGTAACATCAGAAATAATCGTTAACAGAAGTGTTTTTTTTTTTTAACATGAGAATATTATGATCTTTATGTCAGTCTCAAAGAATCTGTATAAGACTGTGTTGGGCACAGTGGCTCACAACTGTAATCCCAGTACTTGGGAGGCTGAGGCAGGAGGATCACTTGGGCCCAGTAATTCAAGACCAGCCTAGGCAACATAGCAAGACCCCATCTCTACCAAAAAGTCGAAAAAAACTAGCCGAGTGTGGTGGTACACACCTGTGGTTCCAGTTACTTGGGAAGCTGAGGTCGGAGGATCACTTAAGAGCCAGGAGTTCAGGGCTACAGGGGGCCATGATTGTGCCACTGCACCCCAGCCTGGGCAAGAGTTAGGCCCTATCTCAAAAAAAAAAAAAACTGTAATCCCAGCACTTTGGGAGGCTGAGGCAGGGTAATCACTTGAGGCCAGGAGTTCGAAACCAACCAGGCCAACATGGTGAAACCCTGTCTCTACTAAAAATATAAAATCTAACTGGGCATGATGGCATGCACCTGTAATCCCAGCTACTTGGGAGGTTGAGGCAGGAGAATTGCTTGAACCCAGGAAGCCAACGTTGCAGTGAGCCAAGATTGTGCCACTGCACTCCACACTAGGCAACAGAGCGAAACTCCATCTCCAAAAATAAGTAACTATAAAAGTAGAAAGGCGCAGTGGCTCACGTCTGTAATCCCAGCACTTTGGGAGGCCGAGGCAGGTGGAGCATGAGGTGAGGAGACAGACCATCCTGGCTAACATGGTGAAACCCCGTCTCTACTAAAAATACAAAAAAAAAAAAAATTAAGCATGGTGGTGGGCGCCTGTAGTTCCAGCTACTTGGGAGGCTGAGGCAGGAGAATGGCGTGAACCCGGGACCGGGAGGTGGAGCTTGCACTGAGCCGAGATCGCGCCACTGCACTCCAGCTTGGGTGACAAGAGTGAGACTCCGTCTCAAAAAAAAAAAAAAAAGTAGAAATGGTATTCAAAGATTTTGATGTCCCTGAAATGGACACCAGGGCCTAGGATGTTTTGTGGGAGAGTTGTATCAAATCTCCCAAAACTAGAATACCTATGTTACTGTCAGTGTACCTGAACATAGAAAGTAATGACAAGCCTCATATTACAACTGTATGAAGCCAGCATAGCCCCGATCCCAAACTGGGGCTAGGGCAGCACCAAAACAAGAAGGTATAGTTCAGTATCACTTCAAAATGTAGCCGTAAATCAAATGTAGCCATTTACCCTCAAAATAGAGTGATAGTTCACCACTGTAAAAAACTAGAGAGACGACTCCTCAGAAAAAAATACATAATTCACTACTTGAGATGATACATCCATAGATTAAACAAGAAAAACCACTTAATTATCTCAATATATGCCCAAAACATCTTCAATAAAATGTAGCCTTTATGATTCAAATCTAAGTACAATTATGAAGAGATACTTTTCTTAATGTAATAAAGGTTAAGTAATCCTACTTAATTGTGTGAACTATCAGAAGTGTTTTCATCGAAGTCAGAAGAGGAGGATGCCTGCCATTCTCCACTACCTGTCAACATTGTACTGAAGGCTCTTGGTAATGCAGTAAGATCAAAATGTTCTATAGATGAATTGATAAAATGTGTATACCCAGATGATGAAATACACTAACTAGCAGCAGGTAAAATGAGAGCTCACACGCTTTTTTTTTTTGGAGACGAGTTTCACTCTGTCGCCTAGGCTGGAGTGAAGTGGCCATCTCAGCTCACTGCAACCTCTGCCTCCCAGGTTCAAGCAGTTGTGCTTCTGCCTTCCAAGTAGCTGGGACTACAGGTGCATTCCGCCACACCCAGCTAATTTTTTTGTATTTTAGTAGAAACGGGGTTTCACTGTGTTACCCAGGCTGGTCTCGAAGTCCTGAGCTTAGGCAATCCACCCGCCTCAGCATCCCAAAGTGCTACAATTACAGGCATGAGCCCCTGCGCCTGACCTTTTTTTTGAGATGGAGTTTCTGTCACCCAGGCTGGAGTGCAGTGGCACAATCCTGACTCGCTTCAGCCTTCGCCTCCTGGGTCCAAGTGATTCTCCTGCCTCAGCCTCCCAAGTAGCTGGGATTACAGGCATGCACCACCATGCCTGGCTAATTTATTTTTTTGTATGTTTGGTAGAGGCAGGGTTTCGCCATGTTGGCCAGGCTGGTCTTGAACTCCTGACCCTCAGGTGATCCGCCTGCCTTGGCTTCCCAAAGTGCTGTGATTAGAGCCATGGCGCCTGGCCTTCAAAACACATGTTTAAGTGAAAAAATTATAAAACATGTTTAATACCTTTTATGCTGTTTCTTTTTTTAAAATTTATAAATTTATAGTAACAATATTTTTCTATGCATTCCTTTACCTTTAAAGATTAGGGTGACAAAAGGGATCTTTGACAGTTTTATTTGTGATCTCTTTGTCAAAAAGAAATGGATGACATGTAGTTAAATTCATCAAAGGTCTGTATTAAAAGCTGTGTAGCTATAAAGATGATTGTGAGAGTTAATAATTGTGTTGGCCGCTGATAGCTGAAGAAAAATACTGTTTTTGACAGTGTCGGTTAAATCCAGACCTGAACATAGAGGTGGGAGTTCCTTTGCAGAGAGAGAAGACAGGGAGGTCAAGGAAAATGACCCCAAGAGGGGTTCAGATGACAGCCACAGCACCCCCAGGCCGACGTCCACATGAGCCTTCTGCCCTGCACAACTACTCAACCCCATTGTCCCATCTTTTGGCAGGCGCAGATCAGGCCTCTATAACCGCCAGAAATCACATTCAGCTGGTGAAACTGCAGGTGGACGAGGTGCACCAGCTCTCCCGGAAAGCAGAAACCAAGCTGGCAGAAGCACAGATAGAAGAGCTCCGTCAGAAAACACAGGAGGAAGGAGAGGACCGGGCTGAGTTGGAGCAGGAGGCCTACCTGCGTGAGGATTGAGGGCCTGAGTCCACTGCCCTGTCTCCCCACTCAGTGGGGAAAGCACGGGCAGATGCCATCCTGCCCAGGGTTGGCATGAGTATCTACACCGACAAGAGGTGGCAGGTCCTGCTCTGGCCAATCAGGCGAGACGCCTTTGTGAGCTCTGAGTGCCGCCTGTGGTCTCAGGCTTGCACCTGGACCTGGTTCTCAGCCCTTGGGCACTGTACCTTGTTTAACATTTCACCCCACTCTGTACAGCTGCTCTTACCCACCCATTTTTTCACCTCACACCCAAAGCATTTTTGCTGACCTGGGTCAGAGAGAGGAATCCTTTTTGTCGTGCCCTTAAGTTCAGCAGCTGTTTAACCTGTTTTCAGTCTTATTTACATTGTCAAAAATGATTTAGTACTTGTTCCCTCTGTTGGGATGCGAGTTTTGGCGGGGGGCAGGGAACCTGTCCAGTTTGTATGCTTTGCTGTTAAGTGTTTCTAATGTGTTCTCTGATCTGCCCTCACTGCCCTGTGAGGACAGCTCAGGCCAAGGAGTGAAAAGACTACTACTACCAAGGGAAGGGATGCAGAATGTTTACCTGGTGCTCTCAACAGGACTCTTAACACAGGCCTCTTGTTCCTTTCTTTCCTTTGTGTTTCTCTATTGTATCCAAAGGAGAAGAGTAAGATTTTGTTTGCATCTAAAAGAGAAAATGCGTCTCTCTCCTGGGGTCCTATGCAGCCTCCATCCTTTAGGCCCCAGACTGGCAGTGCCCCAGGTGGCTGCAGGAATCTCCGACAGGTTCCTGGCAGCATTTGCTACCCTTTGGCTCCCATTCAACATATGCTAGACAAGTTAGCCAGGTTGCAGTGTTTTTAATCAGAGCTAACAAGGTGAGGGGAGTTACAAAAACCAAGTCGCATGTTCTGTAGACCAGCAGGGATCAGTTTCTCACCGTGATAGAGAATCAACAGTGAGTCCACTCTCAGGCTGTTGCCCAACCCACCCTTCAGCGCTGGGGTATGGGGGCAGCTGCACACTTGAGCCCCTCATCTGTCACCAGTGCCCACATGGTCCACATCTCTAGGGGGCTGAGGCGGTGCACCAGCAGGAGCCCCCTATACAGGCAGGGGTCTAAAGGGTCCAGGGGCTGCCGGATTCCAAATGTCTTGAAGCCAGCATGGTGCATGGGGCTCAGCCCCAGCCTCCTCAGGCACATACCCACAAAGACGTCATCAATGGGGAAGAGTTCAGCCTCTTCCATGGTAGCCTGGAGGCGCCGCACGGTGGCTCTGGACATGACATATCCTCCCCCACCAGCATAGGGTGGGTAGTGGGTGGCTCTGTACATTGAGAGTGGGATGAAGTATTTGACCTTAGTGTTCCTGTTGGGCAGGGCTTGGCGGATGACATCGCCCACCAGGAGGTCCTGGGCCGGGTCCCAGCCATCCAGGAACTCTAACACATTGGGAACGTGGACAAAGACATCATCATCTCCCTTTAGCATGAAGTGGGCCTGGGGGCAGGCAGCCACCACCCAGCGCTGCAGATGGAGCTCCTTGAGCGTCAGGTTGAAGAAGTCCTCAGTGAAGTCCCACTGGAGGATGTCATCAAACTCCCTACTCTCATAGGCCAGCAGCTGGGCTGGGGGAGCGGGTCCTGCCACCCCCAGGAGGAACACCAGCTTCAGCTGCCGGCCCTTAGCCCAGCCCCCAGCCCTGCCCCACGTGCTGCGGATAGCCGCACGGCGCTCCACGTGACCAGGCTGTGACTTGATGGCCAGGAGCAAGAAGGTATCCTTGGAACAGCCTGAAGGCTCCAGCAAGATAGAGAAATTTCGGCAGTGGCGATATGTCAAGAAGAGGCGGTGACGGCTAGGCAGGGACAGAGAAGCGCTAGCCACTGTGTGATTGGGTGGACACCAGCTGTGACTGGGTGCTGGGGGAGCCCAGAAAGGCTGGTGGGCCGTGGGGTCTCCTGCGGGCTTGGCCTCCTTCCTCAGGAAGAGCAGGCAGCCGAGCAACAGCACAGCCAGGCTGTACGAGACCAGCCAGCCCAGCCTGCGGAGCATTGCCGGTCCCTGCAAGGAGAGAGCCACCTGAGCAGGGTCCAGTCCCGGGTCCCTGTTGCTGTCCCCAAGCAGCTAAGTCCTGCACCCCAGCGCCTAAGTCCCTGCTGGCTTCTGGACTTTTTTTTTTATTCTCAGTGTCCTCAGGCTCTTTCCAGAGTCCTCCCTCCCCTGAGGATGGGCTAAGCACAGCTCCTTTGCCAGCCCTTGCCCTCCTCTGCCATCATCTGAGGACTCCTAGGTCGGTCTGTCCCAAAATGATTTGCTGCCACTTTACAGCTGACACCATAAATGTTCCCAGCCATTGTCCCAGGAAACTCGAGCACCTGATGAGTTTTAGGCACAGACTCAGTTTAGCTTGGATCAAATTCACTAAGTATGGAACTGACACCATTTCCCAAAAAAAGCCTGGTGCCTGTGGGGTCGGCATCTCCAAGATGACCAGGAGTGCACTGCCTCCCTTGGAGAGGAACCAGCACCACGGGGTGGCCGTGGCCACCAAAGCACACACCCTTTACACCTGCCTCAGAGGTTCGGGCTTCCAGGCGGTAGTGAGACAAAGCCACACACAGCAAGAGGGGGAGCAGGAAAGCTGGGGACTTGTATCAGGGATGGCTTCCAAGGCCCCCGCCCTGCCTTCCCACCATGCTCTAAGGGTTGATTTCTCCCAGGGACCTGAACAGAGAAGGATGCGGAGACAGAATCCAACCAAGTGGCCCGAGTTCCACAGTAGCAAAGCCAGGCTTCAGTTTCTCATCATTTTGGTCCCTTTGGTGTCTCCCTCTGCCCCAGTCCCCTCCCCTTCACCTCCACTGCCAAGTCGTCCTGTCCCTTCACTTCTGACCAGTCTGCCGCACCGGCCACTGCCACAGCCACCGCCACCACCACCACCACCAGAAAAGCAACTGCTAGGTGCTAGGGATGCAGTGGCAAGCAAGACAGGGTTGCTGCCCTCTCAGAGGGAAGCACAAAATACATAGGAACCGGGTATGTTGAAAAGTTACAATCTAATGCAGAGAATTGGCTGATGGGGAGGACGGATCCTATAGCCAGGGGTAGCTAACAAAGCCCTCCTTGATGGAGGGACGTGTGAGCAAGAACTGGGTGAGGAGTGGGACCTTGCCTGAAGACCTGGGGTCTCTGCAGGCTGAGGGCAGAGTCAGGTAGCTCCAGGGCAGGAGTGAGGGGAGAGAGAAGGGAGAGGGGGGCCCAGCGGGTTTACAGTAGGAGACGGCCGGCCCGGCTAGTGAAAGAGTTAAAGTTTTGTTGGTTTTTTGAGACAGTGTTTCTGTCACCCAGACTCTTGTGCAGTGGCACAACCATAGCTCACTGCAGCCTGGAACTCCTGGGTTCAAGCGATCCTCCGGCCTCAGCCTCCCCAGTAGCTGGGACTACAGGCGTGCAGGACCCGGCTAATTTATTTTTTGTAGAGATGTGGTATCTGGGCTGGTCTGGAACTCCTGGCCTCAAGCGATCCTTCCGCTTTGCCTCGGCCTCCCGAAGCGTTGGGACTACAGGCGTGAGCCACCGGCCAGAGTTTTCTGAGCGCCCTGGAGATCTATGCGGGGGCGGGGGACAAGGGGGTCTGGCCGAGGTGGTGAAAGAATCTGACCTTTGGTAAGGGCCACTCCTACCGCCCCTTCCCTGGTGGGCTGCGGAAGGCTGGGGAGGAAGCATGAAGCGCAGCTGGAGACTGTCTCCGTGTTCGGGATGCCGGGCGGCGGCAGGGTCGAAGGGAGATGAGTCTCAGGTATGAGAGCACCGCGGGCTATGGGCGAGGGGCCCGGGTGGGCGGCGGTGCCATTCACCGAGAAGGGCGCACAGCAGGTGGCTTGGTTCCGTCCCGGGAGGTTTCAGTCCAGGCTGCGCCGCGGCCCGGGTGGTCCGCGGGCGTCCCCAGGCGCTGGCCGCACAGCCTCGCCCCACCGCCCTCCGAGCCGCGGAGACCCCAGAGCCCGGCTCTCCACCCGCCGCAGGGCGCACGACCCCTTCCGGTGGGGCGCGGGTCCTGAGGCTGCGCTCGGCCTCGGGCGACAGCCACCTCTGGTCCCCACAGGACTAGGTGACCCAAAACGCCCCGGCGCGGGCAGGGGGCGAACTCTGGTTCATTCTTTCAACGCGACAGTCTCTGAAGGGCTGGCGGCAGCAGAGACCCACCCCGCGGGTCCCCCGGGCCGGGGTTGGCGGCAGCGCTGCGCGTCGGGCGCGGGCGGCCCAGGCTGGCGGGGTCTACGACGCCCGGCTCCGGCCTCTGTCCCCAGCCCGGAGAACCAAAGCCGAGCGGCCCGTGGGTCCCGAGCCGTGCCCGCCGAGGCCAGACTCGCGCCGCACCCGGGCGGGGCCGGCGTCCTCGCGGGGACCCTGGGGGACCGGGGAGCGGGCCGCGGGGTGCAAAGACACGGCCGCCCTGGCGACGCCCCTCCCCGCACGATGACCCAGCCTCCCTCACAGCAGCGGGGGCCCGGCCCCCAACCTACCTGAGCGTGACGCCGGGGTACGGGTGAGGAGCTCGCGCAGCGGAGCCAGGGCGGATGGTCCCCAGGTGCACGGAGCTCTCAGGGCTCGGGGGTGGGCGGGGCTTCTGGAGGAGGCGGGGATTTAGGGCGGAGGTTCTGGCGGGGGCGGGTTCGGGCCCTCCCCGGTCCCAGCCGCGAGTCTCCGCAGTGCCCGGGGATGGACGCACGGGTCCCGCGCCCGGTCCTGGGGTCCGCACGAGCGGGTCGGGCAGAGGCTGCTCCTCCTCCCCAGGACGCCAGCGCCACGCCCGCCCACCTCGACGCGCGCGGCGGGACAGACGCCGAGGCGGGAGTCCTGGGAACAGCCTTTATTGCCCACGCCCTACACGGCGAACATGCGCAGAGCCTCCTCCGCCGAGCGGCACTGGTTCAGCTGGATCTGCACCTCTACCGTCAGGGGCTCGGGGCGGTAATCGCTTTCGTAGATCGGATTCACGGCTTTTGGCTTTTCTGAGAAAATTAAAACGCGAGCATGAGCCCCGGGAGACGGATGGGCTGGCGTTCTCGGTCGCTCTGACCCATCCCAAATGCAAGCCCTGGGCCCTATCCCAGCAGGAGCTCAGTTTCCGTCCTCGGGTCTTAACCGTAATAAGAAAATTAAATTGCATTTAATTAGATCATTTAATAAGTCGCAGCTGTTTGAGTTGCAAGACTGGCTGCTTTTTGCTTTGAGACAGTGTCTTGCTCCGTCGCCCAGGCTAGAGTGCAGTAGCGCGATCTCAGTTCACTGCAGCCTCCGCCTCCCAGGTTCAAGCGATTCTCCTGCCTCAGCCTCCAAGTAGCTGGGATTACAGGCGCCTGTCACCACGACTGGCTAATTTTTGTATTTTTAGTAGAGACAGGGTTTCACCATGTTGGCCAAGCTGCTCTCGAACCCCTGACCTCAAGTGATCCGCCCGCCTAGGCCTCCCAAAGTGCTAGAATTACAGGCGTGAGCCACAGCGCCCAGCTGCAGATATTTTCTTAAAAATGAAGTAATTCTAGCACTTCGGGGGAAACAACTGAAAGTATTTCAATAAATTATAACATTTGCCCTAAAAATGAAAAAACATTGTTACTGCCACCATGAAGTTACCAATTTTCCAATACTCAAAGACCTTTCTAATGACGTGGGTGGTGATAGGAAAGAACGTGATTTTTGGAAAATGTATAGTGAGGGGTGTCAACAGTTGGAATGTCTGCATAAGTCGGTTAACCTGTAGTTTACAAGTAACTCATGCATGTTACAAACTGCATGGTAAAATATCCATTCAAAATGCAAACTAGACTAATTTTAATCTGATTATGAAAAATTCAATATAGATTGTTTTCACATTGTAACAACCTTTAAGAAACTACCACTTGTCAAATTTGGTGTAATATTAAAGAAATTATATTATCTGAAGGTCTATTAAAATACTCCCCTCTTTTCCAATTGTAGGTCTGAGGTTGGATTTTTTTTTTTTTTTTATTTTTTTATTGGGGGGGTGTCGGGCTCTGTCGCCCAGGCTGGAGTGCAGTGGCCGGATCTCAGCTCACTGCAAGCTCCGCCTCCTGGGTTTACGCCATTCTCCTGCCTCAGCCTCCCGAGTAGCTGGGACTACAGGCGCGGCCACCACGCCCGGCTAGTTTTTTGTATTTTTTTAGTAGAGACAGGGTTTCACCGTGTTAGCCAGGATGGTCTCGATCTCCTGACCTCGTGATCCGCCCGTCTCGGCCTCCCAAAGTGCTGGGATTACAGGCTTGAGCCACCGCGCCCGGCCTTTTTTTTTTTTTTTTTTGAGACAGAGTCTCGCTCTGTCGCCCAGGCTGGAGTGCAGTGGCGCGATCTCGGCTCACTGTAAGCTCCGCCTCCCGGGTTCACGCCATTCTCCTGCCTCAGCCTCCTGAGTAGCTGGGACTACAGGCGCCCGCCACCGCGCCCGGCTAATTTTTTGTATTTTTAGTAGAGACGGGGTTTCACCGTGGTCTCGATCTCCTGTCCTTGTGATCCGCCCGCCTCGGCCTCCCAAAGTGCTGGGATTACAGGCGTGAGCCACCGTGCCCGGCTATTCTTTATGCACTTCAATTACAGCAACATATTGCAAGCGGTTGACTACAGAAGTAGCTATAAGAATCCAGCTGTCTTCAATTAAGCCAAACATTAAAGAGATTTTTTTAAAAAAACACTTTTTTTTTTTTTTTTTTTTTTTTTTTTGAGACGGAGTCTCGCTCTGCCGCCCAGGCTGGAGTGCAGTGGCCGGATCTCAGCTCACTGCAAGCTCCGCCTCCCGGGTTCACGCCATTCTCCTGCCTCAGCCTCCCGAGTAGCTGGGACTACAGGCGCCCGCCACCTCGCCCGGCTAGTTTTTTGTATTTTTAGTAGAGACGGGGTTTCACCGTGTTAGCCAGGATGGTCTCGATCTCCTGACCTCGTGATCCGCCCGTCTCGGCCTCCCAAAGTGCTGGGATTACAGGCTTGAGCCACCGCGCCCGGCCTAATTTTTGTATTTTTAGTAGAGACGGGATTTCGCTGTGTTGGCCAGGCTGGTCTTGAACTCCTCACCTCAGGTGATAAGCACGCCAAAGTGCTGGGATTACAGGCGTGAGCCACCACGTCGGGCCTGTTTCCACTTTTCAGCTTCAGCATGATGGGTTGCTCTGCTGTGATCGGGCCTCGTGCCTTTGCAGCCACCTCCCACAGCTCTCCCTGTCTCCTTTCTCTCCCTCCCACTGGATGTTCTTTCTGAACCTCAAATCTGAGACGCACCCGTTTCAGATGCTTCTGCAGCTCCCCACAGGACAAGTCCAGGTCCCTTTTACAGCAAATGAGGGCCGATGGCCTGAAGCTGGAGGCAGATACCTCGGAAGCAGATGAACCCCAGGCAGCCCCAGCTCCAAGCCCTTGCCCCCTATGGCTCTACCACAGGTGCCTTCCCCACCCGCGCCACAACCCACACAGGCCCTGTGGTCTGAGGGCTGCAGAGAAGAAATAACAACACTGGATCCTAAGGGGGGATGTGGCCTCTCCCCAGGCCAGGCCAGAAGCTACCATTCCCCACCCTTCTGTTCCTTTGGCCTCCACCAGGGCTGGCTCTCGGCGGGTCCTACTAACACTTCCTGCCCTCAGTCACCACCATCGGCACTCACCTTTTTTGGCAACTTTCTTAATCTTCTTTGAATCCTGAGAGAAAGAACCACAAAATGAGATGCTTACTGGAGAGGGGAGGTGCTGGAGGAGTGTCTCTGGGGGCCCACCTCCTCCAAGACATCTGACAGGTCCAGGAAGGCGGAGGTCTCCCGGTGAGGGTGCCTGCCCCAGCCCACCCCCAGGGGAAGGCTGCTGACTGGGCCAAAGTCCACGGAGGCGCCCTCTGTGCAGGCGGCAGCACCAGCAGCCTCGCTGGCTGCGTGACCCAGGGAAAGGCCCTCCCCGCCACCTCCTCCCCATCCGGTGACCTAGGCCCTCAGCCCTTGCTTGCCCACAGGGTTCCGGTGGGGAGGGCGAAGGCAGAGGTGGAGGATGTGGCTGGGGCCCAGCTGTACCCTGGCCAGTGTCAGCCTGTCCGATGTCAAGGTGCGGACCATGCCGAAGTTGCACACGGTGGACACCAGGGGCTCCCCGGCAAGCAGGGGCTCCAGGATCACCAGGCTCCGGCCCAGCACCTGGAGGATGGGGGGGTCCTGCCGGAGCTCCTTGGGCAGCTCTTTCTTCTTCTTCGGCACCTTCCACTCCTGCTAGGGGAGGACAGGAGGGTGGGACATGTCGAGGCAAGGATGTGGCCAGGCTGCCCTCCCCAGCACCAAGGCCCGGTACCTTGGCCGGCTCTTTCTCTCCTTGCCCCTTCCTGTCTTTCTCCTTCCCTTTCTTGTCCTTCTCTGCCTTTCCTCTCTTGGCAGACAGGGGACTGTCAACAGCAGGTAGCACCACAGGCCAGGAGAGAATCTAGGGGGAGGAGAGAATCTTCGAGTGAGCAGAGGCCCAGGTGGGCTGCCTGGGGTCGCCTCTCCCTCACCCTTTCTGGAGCGGCGCTGAGACCTCATCTAACCAGGGAGCGGGGCTCCCATGGGGGACGGCCCGATGAGAACAGGAACGGGGCAGAAGTGCAGCCTGTGGATGGCGGGCGCTGACTCCACCTGCCCACCTTCTCCTCCACGATGGTCACAGTGGTCCCCGCCAGCAGGAAGGCCTTCAGTGGCACCAGGTCCCTGAGAGAGTGCTGCATCTCGTAGCCGCACGGGATGACCTCAGCCCAGGGCTTGTGGGTGGTGTTGAAGAGGACAGTCCTTGGGGAGGGAGAGATGAAGACGTGGGTGCCGTCAGCCAGGGGCTGTGGCCGGGGACCCGGAACAGGACTGCGAGGGGACATCCGAGGAGACCATGAGCATCGAAGCCCACAAACAGCGTGAGGCAGGGCCCGGCTGCCAGCAGGCAGGGCAAGGGGACCAGAAGGCCAGAAAGGAATGTGGCCACAGAGGAGAGAGCAAAACAAAGGTGCATGGAGCCCTCCTTCAGAGGCAGGACCGCCCTGAGCAACTGACAGAAACCAACCACAATGCACCAAGAGTTGTTTGTGAAGAGTTCAGCCAAGGGCTGAGCGTGGTGGCTCTGGCTTCTAATCCCAGCACTATGGGAGGCCAAGACGGGAGGATCGCATGAACCAAGGAGTTCGAGAGCAGCCTGGGTAACATGTCGAGTCCCCGTTTCTACAAAAAATAGACACATTAGCTGGGCGTGGTGGCACATGCCTGTAGTCCCAGCTTGAGGTGGGAGGATTGCTTGAGCCCAGGAAGTCAAGGCTTCAGTGAGCCGTGTTCATGCCACTGCACTCGAGCCTGGGCAACAAAGTGAGGCCCTCTTACAGGGGAAAAAAAAAAAAAGCAGAGGCTGGACGGGGTGGCTCACACCTGTAATCCCAGCACTTTGGGAGGCCGAGGCAGGCGGATCACGAAGTCAGGAGATCGAGACCATCCTGGCTAACAGTGAAACCCCATCTCTACTAAAAATACAAAAAATTAGCTAGGCGTGTTGGCACGTGCCTGTGGTCCCAGCTACTCAGGAGGCTGAGGGAGGAGAATCGCTTGAACCTGGGAGGTGGAGCTTGCAGTGAGCCGAGATTGTGACAGGGCACTCCAGCCTAGGTGACAGAGTGAGACTCCATCTCAAAAAAAAAAAGCAGAAACAATTCTAGCCTAGCCCCAGGCTAGAACACAGAGGCAACTGGAGTTTCCTAAGTCTCAGAACACCATGGCAATCCTGAAGCAGCATCCCACTCGGGAAGTGACTTAACATAAATTGTTCTACCAACTGAATCACAGCATGAAGGAGAATAATATACTCCAACAAATTTAAAGTATGTCCAAGTTGAACGTTAATAGAAAACAGAAGAAAATAGAATAAATAACTTATTTCATCACTGAGGATGGAGAACATTTTCCCTCCAAGATAAGTAGAGACCAAGTTGCCAAATGAAATATCACAGCAGGTAAAGCCCAGTAAATTAACGAAGGCTTGTAAACTGTGAAAAACCAAGTGTTACAAGGAAAACGTAAAAATCGTGAAACTAGGCTGAGCGCGGTGGCTCACACCTGTAATCCCAGCATTTTGGGAGGCCGAGGCGGGCAGATCATCCTGGCCAACATGGTGAAACCCTGTCTCTACTAAAAATACAAAAATTAGCCGGGCATGGTGGCAGGTGCCTATAATCCCAGCTACTCAGGAGGCTGAGGCAGGAGAATTGCTTGAACCTGGGAGGTGGAGGTTGCAGTGAGCCGAGATCACACCATTGCACCCTAACCTGGGCAACAAAAACGAAACCCCATCTCAAAAAAAAAAAAAAAAAATTAAATTAAAAAAAGAAAAAAGATTGAAGCACTGATGCTACACCATGGATGAACCTTGAAAATATGATGCTCAGTGAAAGAAGCCAGACACAAAAGCCACGCATTTTGTGATTCCATCCATATGAAATGTCCAGAACAGGCAAATCCATAGAGACAGAAAGTACTTTAATGGTTACCTTGGACTAGAAGGATAGGGGAATCGAAGGTGACGCCTAATGGGTACCTTTCTGGGGTAATGGAAACGTTCTGGAATTAGACCGTGGTAATGGTTGCACGACTCTGTGAATATACTAAAAACCACCAACACATGCGCTTTAAAATGAACGTTATGATACGCTAACTATATCTCAGCCGGATGCAGTGGCTCATGCCTGTAATCCCAGCACTTTGGGAGACTGAGGTAGGTGAGTCACTTAAGGTCAGGAGTTCTGGTCTCGAACTTTCCTGGTCAAAATGGTGAAACCATGTCTCGGCCGGGCGCGGTGGCTCACGCCTGTAATCCCAGCACTTTGGGAGGCCGAGGCGGGCGGATCACAAAGTCAGGAGATCGAGACCACGGTGAAACCCCATCTCTACTAAAAATACAAAAAATTAGATGGGCGCGGTGGCGGGCGCCTGTAGTCCCAGCTACTCAGGAGGCTGAGGCAGGAGAATGGCAGGAACCCGGGAGGCGGAGCTTGCAGTGAGCCGAGATCGCGCGCCACTGCACTCCAGCCTGGGTGACAGAGCGAGACTCTGTCTCAAAAAAAAAAAAAAAAAAAAAAAAAAAAAAGAAACCCTGTCTCTACTAAAAGTACAAAAATTAGCCGGGCATGGTGGCGGGCACCTGTAATTCCAGCTACTCAAGTGGCTGAGGCAGGAGAATCACTTGAACCCGGGAGGTGGAGATTGCAGTGAGAGAGATCGCACCACTGCACTCCAGCCTGGGCAACAGAGCGAGACTCCGTCTCAAAAAAAAAAAAAAAAAAAAAAGAAGAAGAAATGTAGTGAAATGGACACATAGAAAGAATCCAAGAGAGAATGTGAAAAATTGTACTTCTCGCCAGGCGCGGTGGCTCATGCCTGTAATCCCAGCACTTTGGGAGGCAGAGGCAGGCAGATAACCTGAGGTCGGGAGTTCGAGACCAGCCTAACCAACACGCAGAAACCTTACCTATACTAAAAATACAAAATTAGCTGGGTGTGGTCGTGCATGCCTCTAATCCCAGTTACTCAGGAGGCTGAGGCAGGAGAGTCGCTTGAACCCAGGAGGCAGAGGTTGTAGTGAGCCGAGATTGCGCCACTGCACTCCAGCCTGGGCAACAGAGTGAGGCTCCATCTCAAAAAAAAAGAAAAAAAAAGAAAAAAAAGGAAAAGAAAAATTGTACTTCTCAGCTTAAAGAAATGTTGACCCTCCTGAATAAAAAATGGCATTAAAAAAACCCCAAACCAGTGATAACATACGTACATAAATGATACAAACATATGAAGGCTAGCACTCAACAATCTAGCAGAGAAGTGAGAAGAGTTCAAAGTCTATCTGCACACTGTCACCGTGTCCACTGCAGTCATCCTCCTCAAATGTGAAACCTGATCTCATTACTCCTCTGCTGAAAAACTTTCCGATAGTTTCCGCTTAGGAGAAAGGGGTCTTTTTCTCTCTCTCTCTCCAGCCCTGTCTCTTGCCAATCCCTGCCTTCCTCCATAGTTAATCTTCTTTCTACCATTCCTCCTATGAGAAACAGTTTAAATGGTCCATTTGCAAGGCATGAAAAATCTAAGTACTGGCAGCCAGCCTTGCAGACGTGACAAACCACACGACTCAGGCACCTAGAAAGTCACGCTTAGCGAACAGGAAGTAGAGGAGGGGTCAGCCCATAAAAGGGGGCCAGGCGTGGTGGCTCACTCCTGTAATCCCAGCACTTTGGGAGGCCAACGTGGGTGGATCACCTGAGGTCAGAAGTTTGAGACCAGCCTGGCCAACGTAGTGAAACTCTGTCTCTACTAAAAATACCAAAAAAAAAAAAAAAAAAAATTAGCCAGGAGTGGTGACGTGCGTCTGTAATCCCAGCTACTTGGGAGGCTAAGGCAGGAGAATTGCTTGAACCCAGGAGGCAGAGGTTGCAGTGAGCCGAGATCGCACCACTGCACTCCAGCCTGGGCGACAAGAGCAAAACTTGAGTGGGGAAGGGGACGCAGTATGATCTTATAAGAGGATAATGAAACTTAGGTGACACCCAGGAAGATTGTAACCCCATAGTACTCAACCAATGAGGAACTGGGAGAGGGGTTTGCCCACTAGGAGATAAATGACCTGTTGTGACTGCCCCAGCTGCCTGCCTACCAGTCACCGGGTCTTGCAAAACTGCCATTAAAAGTCTCATTTCCGCTGTTCTTTGTGTCTAAGTCTATGTGCCCACCCTAGGGGCAGAGATTTGTCCTGTACTTCCTCTGGTGTACCACTTGTGACATTAGAATATGTAATTACTGTTTGTTCACTTCCTTCATGAAAAGGTAAGCGCCCAAATAGAACAGATCTTTTTTTTGAGACGGAGTCTTGCTCTGTCTCCCAGGCTGGAGTGCAATGGCGCGATCTCGGCTCACTGCAACCTCTGCCTTCCGGGTTCCAGCGATTCTTCTGCCTCAGCCTCCTGAGTAGCTGGGATTACAGGCATGTGCCACCATGCCCAGATACTTTTTTATATTTTTAGTAGATACAGGGTTTCACCATGTTGGCCAGACTGATCTCGAACTCCTTACCTCAAGTGATCCACCTGCCTTGGCCTCCCAAAGTGCTGGGATTACAAGCATGAGCCACTGCACCCAACCCTCTAGAACAGACCATTTTCTATCTGATTTGTTGTTTATAATCCCGATACCCAGCATCACACCTGGAAATGGTATGTGGATGACTGGCGTTTGCTAATTGTTGAACTTGGGCAATTACATATGGCAAATAATTATATGGAAAATATAAAGGCTTACAAGTAAACTAAGGAATATAACTTAAGACAATTTAAAATAAATCTATTAGACTGCAAAAACAAAATGTATTTTTAGAAAATCAATGTGGAAATTCTGTTTTAGGACATGGTAGACTAGACTATACTGGACAAACCTTCCTGCTGAGAACAGTCATATCAGCTGGACACAATATTAACATTATCTGTTGAAGGTGCTGAAGAGCCAAGTCACAGAATTTTCAGGGCCAACATCAGGGCAAAGGGGAACAGTCAAAGAAAATGAGCTTAGTGCCACATTAATGCTCAAGAGCCAATTCCAAAAGTGGTGGCTGAGAAGCTGAAGAGAACTTTAGGCAACCTCATGGGCACTAGGGGGACAAAAATTTGTGTTCAAAGCCCTCCAAGGAGGTGGGCCCCTGGTAAACACTCCAGATTTTCCTTGGGTTTTCTGAAGAGCTACTAAAAGAACACATAATAGAAGTGCTAGAAGGAGAGGCGATAGAAAAAGGAATAGAGAAAAATACTTGAAGGATAATGGCTGAAAACTTCCAAGATTTGATTTAAAACATTCATCTATATATTCAAGAAGCTTGACAAGCTCCAAGCAGGATAAATGCAAACATATTCACACCCAGACACATCATAGTAAAAATGCTGAAAGACAAAGTGAAAATCCTGAAAGCAGGAAGAGAAAAACGACTCATGACAGACAAAGGAATCCCAATAAGATGAACAGCTGACTTTTCATCATAAACAATGGAGGCCAGTAGGCAGGCAGGAGACATATTCAAAGTTCTGGGGTAGGCCAGGCATGGTGGCTCACACCTGTAATCTCAGTACTTTGGGAGGCTGAGGAGGCTCGACTGTGAGCTCAGGAGTTCAAGACCAGCCTGGCCAATATTGTGAAACCCTGCCTCTACTAAAAATTAGCTGGGCATGGTAGCAGGCACCTATAATCCCACCTACTTGGGAGGCTGTGGCAGGAGAATCGCTCGCTTGAATCCAGGAAGCAGAGGTTGTAGTGAGCCAAGACTCAGCCACTGCACTCCAGCCTGGGCAATAGGGCTAGACTTCCCTCTCAAAAAAAAAAAAAAAAAAAAAAAAAAAAGATGTTCTGGGGTAGTGGGGGGAAAAAAAACACCAAAACTGTCAACCAATAATTCTATACCCAACAAAACTATCTTTCAAAATTGCAGGTGAAATAAAGACATATCAAGAAAAAGAAAAAACTGACTTTGTTGCCAGTAGATCTGCCTTACACGAAACATGAAAAGAAGTTGCATACATGAATACATTAACATCCTGAAGGAAGTTCTTCAGGCTGAAAGGAAGTAACACCAGAGGGTAATTCAAATTCACATAAAAACAAAGAGCACCAATAAAGGTAATTACGTAGGCAAATACAAAAGACAGTATTGTCATATATTTCTTGTCCTTGATTCTAATTAGAATAAAATACAATAGCATAAGATAACATCTATAAGATTGTAGTTTGGGCTATAACATGTAGAAATGTAATATATTTGACTGTAACAACATGAAGGAAATGGAGGTGAGAATGAAGCATACTGGAGAAAGAAAATGACACCAAGCCCAGGCATAGTGCCCCACATCTGTAACTGCAGCACTTTGGGAGGCCGAGGCAGTAGGATTGCTTGAGATCAGGAGTTCAAGACCAACCTGGTCAACATAGTGAGACCCCACCACAAAAAAGAAAGAGAGAAAGGGGCCGGGCGCGGTGGCTCAAGCCTGTAATCCCAGCACTTTGGGAGGCCGAGACGGGCGGATCACGAGGTCAGGAGATGGAGACCATCCTGGCTAACACGGTGAAACCCCGTCTCTACTAAAAAACACAAAAAGACTAGCCGGGCAAGGTGGCGGGTGCCTGTAGTCCCAGCTACTTGGGAGGCTGAGGCAGGAGAATGGCGTAAACCTGGGAGGCGGAGCTTGCAGTAAGCTGAGATCCGGCCACTGCACTCCAGCCTGGGCAGCAGAGCCAGACTCCATCTCAAAAAAAAAAAAAAAAATTGTATTTTTTAGTAGAGACGGGGTTTCACCGTGTTAGCCAGGATGGTCTTGATCTCCTGACCTCGTGATCCGCCCGTCTCGGCCTCCCAAAGTGCTGGGATTACAGGCTTGAGCCACCGCGCCCGGCCTTCTTTTCTTTTTTTTGGAGATGGAACTTCTTTCTTTTTGCCCAGGGTGGAGTGCAATGGTGCAATCTCGGCTCACTGCAACCTCTGCCTCCTGGGTTCAAGCAATTCTCCTGCCCCAGCCTCCCAAGTAGCTGGGATTACAGGTGTGCATCACCACTCCTGGCTAATTTTTTGTATTTAGTAGACACGGTGTTTCACCATGTTGGTCGGGTTGGTCTCCACCTCCTGAACTTAAGTAATCTGTCCACCTCGGCCTCCCAAAGTGCTGAGATTACAGGCATGAGCCACAACAGCAAATCAATTCTAAAGGAAGACATGAAAGGAACCAGAAATGGTAACTAAGAAGGTTAACAAGCTTAAAAAAAAAAATTTTTGTGCTCTCCTTTCTACTCTGCAAGACATGGATTATATAAAGCAGTAATTATAACAATGTATTGTTGGGTCTGTAACATGTATGTTTATAATAAAATTAATATTTATAACAATTACTACAATCTTCATAACAAAAGTAGCACAAAAAAGAGAGAAGGAATGGAGCTAGACTGGCAAGAAAGAACATGATATACAGGATGGAAGATGGAAGATCCTTACAGCACTTTATGTGTGAGAATACATCTTAGATGGATTAAAATGTTAAACCAAAAAAGGTTTTCACACCCAAGGGCTGAAATGAAAAGGGCTGTTAATTTATAATCTCTCAATCGACTCAAGAAATTCAGGCCGGGTGCGATGGCTGATGCCTGTAATCCCAGCACTTTGGGAGGCTGAGGCGGGCAGATCACTTGAGACCAGGAGCTCGAGACCAGCCTGGCCAACAGGGTGAAACCCCATCTTTACTAAAAATATAAAAATTAGCCGGCCATGGTAGCACATGCCTGTAGTCTGAACTGTAGGCGCAGGCATAAGAATTGCTTGAATCTGGGAGGTGGAGGATGCAGTGAGCTGAGATCACACCACTGCACTCCAGCCTGGGTGACAGAGCGAGACTCTGTCCCCGCCAAAAAAGAAATTCAATCATTCCGAAAATCTTGGCTGGTCAGGGAAGTGAGACTCAGTTGTACTTTGAGTAGATGGTTAGAGTAGAAGGATTGAGCTAAGTTCAACCCTTCAGAAAAGAGGGCTGAACACTAAATCTAAATGCTGCCAGCACAGCTAACAGCCTAGTGGGGCCTTAACCATTCCTGGGGGTGGGGGATCCAGGAGAGACTCAGTCTAAGGACCTTTTTTTTTTTTTTTGAGACGGAATCTTGCTCTATCGCCCAGGTTGGAGTGCAGTGGCGCCATCTTGGCTTACTGCAAGCCCTACCTCCTGGGATCACATCATTCTCCTGCCTCAGCCTCCCAAGTAGCTGGGACTACAGGTGCCCGCCACCAGGTCTGGAGCTAATTTTTTTGTATTTTTAGTGGAGACAGGGTTTCACCGTGTTAGCCAGGATGGTCTCAATCTCCTGACTGCCTGCCTTGGCCTCCCAAAGTGCTGGGATTACAGGTGTGAGCCACTGCGCCCAGCCAGCCTCAGGACTTTTAATGGAAGGCCACAGTGTGGTCTAGGCTTGTGACCCTACTGCTCTGACCACTTGCCCTGGTTCAGGTTTCCATCCTTACCCTGGGGATGGGCAGAGCCGGGGATCTATATGCAGCCGCAACTTGGCCAGCTCTTCTGCAGAGGCCCTTGGCGTCTGCAAGACGGTCGAAGGCCCCGAGATGACAGACAGCTCCGACTCTCCTGACTCCTCCACCTCAGACTCCAGAGATCCTTCGACCTCTTCAGTGACCCCTCCAACAATGTCTTTGATGACATCTTCGCCGACCTCTTCAGGAGATTCCTCAACTAATAATTCTGAGCTGGGAGAGGGCTTGATGATCTGCAGGAAGACAGAAACTCGTCCAAGGCTGCCGTCCTCAGGACATGCTCGGCTGATGCCCGGGGTGTCTGTAATGCAGCTCCCGACATCTGGATGAGGTTCACGCATGAGCAGACACACCACGCCAGGAGATAGGAAGGCTCTTAGAAACCCAGTTTTGTTTTTCTGAGAGACCTATGTTAAGAGTAAAAGCAAGAACCACTTTGTCCGGGCGCGGTGGCTCAAGCCTGTAATCCCAGCACTTTGGGAGGCCGAGACGGGCGGATCACGAGGTCAGGAGATCGAGACCATCCTGGCTAACATGGTGAAACGCCGTCTCTACTAAAAATACAAAAAAAACTAGCCGGGCGAGGTGGCGGGCGCCTGTAGTCCCAGCTACTCGGGAGGCTGAGGCAGGAGAATGGCGTGAACCCTAAAAAATACAAAAAACTACAGCCGGGCGAGGTGGTGCTCCCTGTAGTCCCAGCTACTCGGGAGGCTGAGGAGAATGGCGTGAACCTGGGAGGCGGAGCTTGTGCAGAGCCGAGAACCGGCCACTGCACTCCAGCCTGGGCGACAGAGCGACACTCCGTCTAAAAAAAAAAAAAAAAAAAAAAACACTTCTACGTGGGAGCAGGAGACAGGTGTCACCACATTTCCCCTAGTCGGATGGTATCCTTGGGTTTTCTTCTGATGTGGAGGGAGATGGGAGGAGTTGTAGAAATTGCAGAATGGGGCTGGGTGCAGTGGCTCTCGCCTGTAATCCCAGCACTTCGGGAGGCCGAGGATCACTTGAGCTCAGGAGTTCCAGACCAGCCTGGTCAACAAGGTGAAACCTCATCTCTACTAAAAATACAAAAATTAGCTGGGCGTAGTGGTGGGCACCTGTAATCTCAGCTACTGGGGAGGCTGAGGCAGGAGAATCGCTTGAAGCCGGGAGGCAGAGGTCGCAGTGAACTGAGATCGCACCAGTGCACTCCAGTGAGACTCCGCCTCAATAAATAAATGAATTAATTAAAAGGTTCTTCCTGGGGCCCAGGAAGCGGTTCAGCCTTCACAAGAGCCTCCCACACTCCCAGGGACAGCCCAGGGCACACCTCAGCCAGCTCGCCTGTGTCCTCATCCGCTTCACCTTCTTCGTCTCTCACAAAATCGTACGTCACATAATAGCTATAAGCGACAAAAGGGCCCTCGGGCCCGGGTTCTGGGTCTAGAACAGAGGTGTCCAGGACTCCTCTGATGTTTCCGATGGTCACCACGAACTGCGCCTCCTGTGCCAAGAGATCTGCAGAGAGGAATGGGCAGGACGGGGGCCCCGTGGAATGGAAGTTGGCAGACAGAAAACAAGAGGGCTGGGAAGGCACAGGGCCCTGGATTCTCTCCAGCACTCAGGGCTGAGCCTTGGTGAGGCAGTCAGGTTCAGGCCACCGCTCCGGCAAGCTGGCCTGGAGTGATCTGGGTGTCATTATACCCCTCTTCGGCTTGTCTTCCTGATCTGTATATGGGAGTGATAAGGGCTGCTTTGCAGAAGGTCACCTTAGTATTATCTAGCACGTCACAGTGACCTGAAGAAGCCTCCAGTGCACCTTGCGGCATGAACCACAAGGGGGTGATCTCCAGCCACCAGGGAGGTGAAGAAGCTGATTGAAATAACTGTCCCAAGTCCCTACAGGTTTTTATTTTTTATTTTTTTAGAGACTGGGTCTCGCTCTGTGGCCAGGCTAGAGTGCAGTGGTGAGATGATAGCTCACTGCAGCCTCCACCTCCTGGGCTCAAGTGATCCTCCCGCACCACCTCTTTTCTTTTTTTTTGTCTCGCTCTGTTGCCTAGGCTGGAGTATACTGGTGTCATCTTGGCTCACTGCAACCTCCACCTCCCGGATTCAAGAGATTCTCATGCCTCAGCCTCCTGAGTAGCTGGGATTACAGGCACTCGCCACCATGCCCGGCTAATTTTTGTATTTTTAGCAGAGATGAGGTTTTCACCATGTTGGCCAGGCTGGTCTCAAACTCCTGACTTCAAGCGATCTGCCTGCTTCAGCCTCCCAAAGTGCTGGGATTACAGGCGTGAGTCACCGTGCCCAGCCTCCCCCTATCATTTCTGTTGCCAAATCCCAATCACAGGAATCAAAGCCTGGCGGGAAACTCTGGCCCAGAAGAGAGGCTGTACCTGACTAGGGTCTGGGTCAAATGGGGAGTTGCAGGACAGAGGGGTGTGCGGACCCAGGAGGGCGGGGCACAGCCAGGCGGAGGCTGGGGTGTCACACGCCACCCCCTCCCTGCCTGCCAGCACCCTCACCGCCATTGAGGCTGAGCCCCCGGAAGAGATGCTTCTCGTTGGGAGACACGGTGATGTCGTCCAGCACGCAGAGCTGGGCCAGGCTGTCGATGGTGAGGCCGCGGTAGTAAGGCACCAAGGCCAGTGGGTTTCCCTGTAGCACCAGGAGTCGCAGGTGCCGGAGGGTCCTCAGGCTGGCAACCATGCTCTGCAGGTCTGTCAGGTCATTGAAGCCCAGGTCCAGGGAGACGAGGTTGGGCCTGGAAGGTGAGCAGGACCATCTGAGGGTCAAGAAGCCAGGTGAGCAGGGGACAAGCAGCCCTGCAGCCAAACCAACGGCGGGCCTGGGCCTAAGGACTCTGCCTACCCATGGCCTGCCCACCCTGTCCTACCCTTGACCCAAGTTAACCCCGGGTCGGGAATGAGTGCCTGGCTCTTCATCACCACTCTCCGTAGCACTGCCGCCCTCAGTCAGAGCCACAGAGACGCCCCCACCAACCTCCCCTCACAGGACTCCTCTCTTCTTGGCCAAACCTCTCAGTAGCTTCCGTAGAGCTTTGCACACTGCGTGCATCTAGGAGGCTCTGCACAGATACTACGGGCAGACTGGATGGCACAGCAGGGGACAGCCACCGTGGGGGAGCTGTGGACAGGGGCAGGAGTGGACAGGGCAGGAGTGGAGTTGACATTGGGGACTGGGAGGAGGGAGCCAGAGGCTGGAGGGCTGGGCATTCTAGAAGCAGGAGATGGCGTCTCAAAGGCAGACTGGGGCAGGACCCCAGGAGGCAAGGGGGCTGGGAGGGGCCTGCAAAGGGCATGGGCTGAGGCCTGTGGCCAGACCAAGACACAGGGCAGGGGCAGGGTGAATTTCCTGCTGCCACAAACTAGAAAGTGACTTGATCTCAGCTCTGAGAACACACGAAAAACACAAGCGGCCGCTGCCAGCACAGCGTCCCCCAATCCTAGCCTCACTCTTCCCCTAGGAGCAGAAGAGAAGAGGGGGGAGAGGAGAGCAGGGTCCGAGAGGGGCTTCCCTTCCCTGCTGCATCCGCCTGCTCCAGGCATGCAGAGGGTTGGACCCCCCAAGGGCGTGCCCTCCAGGTTCCTTGGGGGAAGGAAAGCGGGGAGGCGGTTCTACCCCTTCCGTCCTTGCTGGACTGCTGAAGTCCTGGGACTTCTCACAGCATGCTTTGCAAAGCCTTCCTCTCCCAGCTTCCTTTGATGGCCTTTTCTGGGTGGTCTCTGGTCCCCCTCCTACCCCTCAGGTCCAGGATGTTAAGTTTTCTACCGCTCACCCATGGAGGAAACCAAGCTGAGTATCAACTGGGAGCTGAACCGTCTGCAGGCTCCTAAAGAGCCTGAACCTTCAACAGCGATGGAGCGGCTGGCGCTAGGAGGGCTTCGTTCCAGGGCGGTGGTTCTCAGCTTGGGGGATTTTGCTGCTCAGGGGACATTAGGTACTGTCTGGAGATATTTTTGTTTGTCACAACTAGCAGGGAGGTGCCCCTGGCATCTGCAGATGCAGGCCAGGGATGCTGTTCAATATCCTACCATACCCTGGACAGCCCCACACAAAGAATGATGGGACTCCAATGCCAGCGAGCCCAAGGGGAGAAACCCTCCTCTAAAATATGGCACCAGGCAAAGTGCAGTGGCTCATGCTTGTAATCACAGCACTTTGGGAGGCTGAAGTAAGTGGATCACTTGAGGTCAGGAGTTCAAGACCAGCCTGGCCAACATGGCGAAACCCCATCTCTACTAAAAATACAAAAATTAGCCAGGTGTGGTGGTGGGTGCCTGCAATACCCGCTACTTGGGAGGCTGAGGCAGGAGAATCGCTTGAACCTGGGAGGTAGAGGTTGCATAGCCGAGACAGCACACAGCACTCTAGCCTGGGCAAGAGTGAAACTCCATCTCAAAAAAAAAAAAATTAAAATTAAAAAATTAAAAGATGGCACCAAAGCAAAGGCTTTCACACCCACCACCTCTTGTTCTCTGGGCTTTTTGTTTACAAAATCCCACTGAAGGGGGATTCAGAGAAATAAACCGTTAAGTCTGGAGTTAGCAGTCAACTGGGAGTTACAGAAAAGACCAAAGCTGAGCTCTCACGCCACCGGGGTAAAATCGCCTCAACCTGATACTTAATCCCTCCCTCTCGCTTTCCACCTGGGCTCCGGAGTTACCAGTGATCAGCGGTGACGTAGAGACTTTCCAAGGGGCCTAGAAGCTTGTTGTGGCCTAACCCCAGGTGCTGCAGGCCGGCGGGCGGGTGGGCGCACAGACACTCCATGCTGCTGATCTCATTGCCGTAGAGCTCCAGCACCTGGGAGACCACACGGAAGGCCCGGGAGGATAGGGCGCCAAGTCAGCGCTGAGGATCAGGCCCCTCCCCTCCGTCCCGCAGAACTTAGTAGAGGAATCACAAATTACTCACACCCGGCCTCCCTGGCGCCACCCGGCCTCCCTTTAAAAAACCCAGGAAGAGGCCGGGCGCGGTGGCTCAAGCCTGTAATCCCAGCACTTTGGGAGGCCGAGACGGGCGGATCACGAGGTCAGGAGATCGAGACCATCCTGGCTAACACGGTGAAACCCCGTCTCTACTAAAAAATACAAAAAAAACTAGCCGGGTGAGATGGCGGGCGCCTGTAGTCCCAGCTACTCGGGAGGCTGAGGCAGGAGAATGGCGTAAACCCGGGAGGCGGAGCTTGCAGTGAGCTGAGATCCGGTCACTGCACTCCAGCCTGGGCGACAGAGCAAGACTCCGTCTCAAAAAAAAAAAAAAAACCCAGGAAGAAAAGATTCCTGCAGCAGGTCTCGGGAAGTTTCTTTGCCTTTTGTGAAAGACACGTCAACATCTGGAATGGGGGGTGATGTTGGATTGGCAGTGGGGATCTGCATAACATCTGGCACCTTCTCAACCCATAGGAATGTGTCCCTGGGAGGCCCAAAGGGCCCCTAGATGGATAAGGCAAAAATCCAAAGCTAACCTTCCTTGCTTGTAGTTCTCATCCATGGCCTCACACACCTTTTTTGTTGTTGTTGTTTGCTTGCTGGTTTGGGCTTTTTAAATTTTTTATTTATTTATTGTTTATTTATTATTATTTTGAGGTGGAGTCTTGCTCTGTCGCCCAGGCTGGAGTGCAGTGGCACAATCTTGGCTCACTGCAACCTCCACCTCCTGAGTTCAAGCGATTCTCCTGCCTCAGCCTTGAGAGTAGCTGGTATTACAGGCACCAGCCACCACGCCCAGCTAATTCTTGTATTTTTGTAGAGACGGGATATTCCCATGTTGCCCAGGCTGGTTTCGAATTTCTGAGAACAGGCAATCTGCCCACTTCAGCCTCCCAAAGTGCTGGGATTACAGGCGTGAGCCACCGCACCTGGCCTGTACCACATTTTTTGTTTGTTTAGCCGTTCATCTGTTTATAGGCACTTGAGTTCTGTCCACCCTTCTGCTATTGTGAGTAAAGCAGCTCTGAACTCTGGAGTACAAGAATCTGGCTAAGTCCCTGTCTTCAGTTCCCTCATGGATACACCTAGGAATGGAAGCACTGGGTCATACGGTAATTCTATGTTAAACTTCTAGGAAAGTGCCCTACATTTTAAAAGCCTGGAGCTGGGCCCTACCCTCCACCCACACTGGCCACACCTATGTGGGGCAGGGTAGAGCAAGGCCTCTGGGCTGCGGTGGCCCAAATACTCCAAACAGACCAGGGCTCCTTCACCTTGAGTGTGGGGGGCAGATTGGTGGCATCCACCTCCTTGATTCGATTGGCGCTCAGTACCAACTCCTCCAGCTTTAGAAATTTCAGGAGGTCTTTATCCACCAGGGTGACCTGGAAGAGGGGAGAGGAAGCTGAGGGCTATAGCAGGCAAGGGAGGACAGGCACAGAACCCATGTCCACATTAGGAAGACAGCGGCTCCTCCATCAGTTACCTCCCCTCCCTCCCCACCCCCTGCTTCCCTGGAAGCCGTTCCTGCACTGCATTGTTCTGCCAAGATCCAAGAGCCTCTCCCAACCTCCATCCTTCTCTGACCATAGGCGGTGCATGATTTCCAGGCCAATGACCTGTGTCCTTTGTTGGACCATAAGCCACCTGTGAGGGCAGGAACCTCTCTCCTTTCTGCCTGCCCCAGAGCCACAGTGAACTCTGGGCACTGAAGTCAGTCAAGGTGTCCAGGAATCACCCAGAGCAGGGTCTGACTAGAAGCTGCAGTGACCCATCCATGACTCCTCAGTTCCTGTGGCCTCAAAGACATCCGGACCCTTTCTAGCGGGGCCTCCCTTCTCCAGGGTCACCAACTGTGCCAGTCTGCCAAGGACGGAAGGAGTTCACTCCCAGGACACGAAACCTTCTGCACTGAAACTGAAAGTCCCTGGCAAACTGCTACCAGTCACCCTATTTGTCCCCCAGTGCCGTGTCACTTCCCAGTGGCTCTGGAAAAAGAAAGCCAAGCCTGGGGAAGGCTGAGACCAAGTTTCCAGGCAATGTTTGGGCTGGCTTGCTGACTTTATTTATTCATTGAGACAGAGTCTCACTCTTGCTTGCTTGCTTGAGACAGGGTCTCATTCTGTCACCCAGGCTGGAGTGCAGCGGTGTGATCATGATCACTGCAGCCTCTACCTCCCCAGCTCAAGTGATTCTCCTGCCTCAGTCTCCGAGTAGCTGGGGTTACAGGCGTGCACCACCATACCTGGCTAAATTTTAAAATGTTATAGAGATGGGATCCCACTATGTTGCCCAGGCTGGGTCTCTAACACCTAGACTCAAGCGATCCTCCTGCCTCAGCCTCCCAAAGTGCTGAGATTACAAGCACCGTTGCCGAGCCTCGGCTCTGTTACTGATGTAAACAAAAAATGCTTTTTGGTAACAAATTAAAATAGTTGGAACTACACCAACCATCCTCCACCCTGACTTCCATGGTTTAAATGAAGTAAAACTAACACAGACCCTTTGGAAAACCTTTACTAGAACCCAGGAGGGTCCACTGCAGAACTCAGCTGTGGAAGATGTGCCATGATGGCCTTCCTTTACCAGGGGTAAAGGAAGAAGAAACGCGAGGCTGACCGAGTAGCTGACCCTGGCTGGCACACAAGCCAGGGAGATGAAGCAGAGGGCAGGCTGGCCTTGGCTTCAGCCCCCAGGGCAGGATCCCTGAGGCGCTGTGGGGAAGGGTGCCCTCCCCCCAACCTCCCTTAGGGAAGCGGCCACCCTAACATCACCCCCCACGTGCCCAGCACTCACCTCCTTGTCTACCACCCGCAGGGACCGGAAGTAGGAGTAGAAGAAGGTGTCTGTGATCATCAGCGGGTTCCGGATGGCCAGTTCTCTCAGGAAACTGTCTTCAGCATTCGAGTCGTTCAGCAGAGCCCAGGGGGAGTGGGGGCTGCGGACCAGGCCCAGCAGGGCCTCCACCGTTTCCTCCCCGGGGCTCACCACATCCTCCTCTTTGGGGACCAGCTCTCTCCATGTTCGCCAAGTTTGAGGAAGAAAGCGTGACTTATTCTGCAGTGGCAGAGGTGGGGATTTCTCTAGGTGTGACACAGCCCCCTTAAGGACACCAAATGCTCAAAACAGAACAGATCATAAAACTGGATGATTAGGGATCAGTAGAGAGTGGGCAGGGCGCGGTGGCTCACGCCTGTAATCCCAGCACTTTGGGAGGACGAGGCAGGTGGATCATGAGGTCAGGAGATCGAGACCATCCTGGCTAACACGGTGAAACCCCGTCTCTACTAAAAATACAAAAAATGAGCCAGGCGTGGTGACATGCAACTGTAGTCCCAGCTACTCGGGAGGCTGAGGCTGGGTTCATTTGCACCCGGGAGGCGAAGGTTGCAGTGAGCCAAGATCACGCCACTGCACTCCAGGCTGGGTGGACAGAGCGAGACTCCATCTCAAAAAAAAAAAAAAAAAAGAGAGAGAGAAAAAAGAAATTTAGACAGTAATCAATAATTTTGATGGATTATTAGCCATGGATATAACTACAGATGAGGTGAGATAAAAATAATTAAAAGATCCCATTCCTTTTAAAAAGGCGGGCGGATCACTTGAGGTCAGGAGTTTGAGACTAGCCTGGGCAACATGGTGAAACCCTGTCTCTACTAAAAATACAATAATTAAATAATTAAAGTGGGTTTTTCCTTTGTTGCAAATGGGGAATGTTTTTCCTTTGACTCTACCATCCAGTTCAGGACGTCTCAGTGTGTTTAACATTTGTCAACAGGCCCAAGGACTCACAGTTGGAAGACTGGAGAAGACTTTTTAAAAAGATCTGGATTTTTCCTTATGACTTGGAATCCATCTTTGTCTTGTATAACTAGGTCATAGCACACCATTCATGTCAGCAGTTAACAGTTTTGAATTCCAAAAAAACCTAAGTAAATGACATATTTTTTTTCCTTTTTGTTCTTTGGGTGGGTGGGGGGAGCTTGGAGCTGTCTTAATCTGTATTCTCTTGACTGAACAATAAATTTTTAAATATATCTAGTTTCCTCTATTAAACACTTAAACCTGGCCATCTTATTAACTCCTTCTCTCTTTTTAACAAGGTAATGTTTTAAATGTATATAGCGTTAGGACTAGCGAAATGGCAGCAACAAAAAATTGTGAGCAGTTGTTACTCTTAGTTTTTAAAAGACCTTTTACATTGTAAGTACCCAATCCATTCTGTCCTGACGCAGTACAGTTTTTATGTTAATGTTGCTGAGATGTCCTTAATTTTCCGAACCTTCATCTGCATGTATGTCTTTGTCTCTCTTGTCTAATAATAAGCCAGTTAAGATGCTTTGAGACGATCTTGCTTTTAGAAAGCTAAGGTTCTAGCTTTATGCTTTTGAAAATGCTTACAGCACTAAATGCTAGTCAGCTTTCTTCCCCGTAGCTTGTACACTTTCTTTGAAAATCCATCTATTTGAAGAAAAACAGCCCTGTTTTTCTCGTCTTTGGGGTTGGGGGTTGGGGGGAGCTGGTGGGTGAGGGAAAGGAAGACCTTCTCTTTGTGTCGAGAGACTAAAGCCGTCACAGGAAACTAGATTAAAACTGGAAAACAAGTCCTAGCTGGTTCCAGCAAACACGTTCAACGTTAAGTGGGGGGTATTTTCTATGGTGGTTGGGCGGCTGGTGTGTCTTTTGCCTTTTGTTTGATTTGACTGTGTATTTTCGCCTTTTGTCTCTTAATGACGATCACACCATTGTTATATCCAGAGCAGTAAACAGTCCTCAGCGAAGCTGCCTTTTTGCCTACCCAACCCTGGAAAGTTTGCAGAAGTGGAAGGAGCAGAACGTGAGGGTGTAACTTACAAAAAGGTAACAAGAACAAAGACACCACCATAGCTCCCAAATTTCCCAACTAAATCAAAAAATATATATGTTTTTACAATAACGTCTCCAAAACCACCGCCCAGCTTGATCTTCTAGACTCCATGGCACCGGGCTGAGCGGGTAAGTAAGAAAAATAAAAGTGCCTTTTGCCCCTTCGAGGAAACCTTTTTGCAGGCCAAGCAAGGGCTGCGAGTGTTTGGGAGCTGAGGGGAGAAGGAGGATTCTGGAGCATTGTATTTGGCAGCCGGAGCGGGCAGTGGGCGGGGGTTGGGACACGGAGGGCTCTTCGGACCCCTGTGCCTCTTCTGCCCCAAGGGCGAGAAGAGGGGCTCCGCAGCGACCCTCGGGGGTTCATGGAGCCGCCTGCCTTCGCCCCCCTCGCTCTTCCCAGGTCTGAGCCTGGATGGAGAGAAGAAATTGAAGTGCTTTGGAGACGGGGAGCTTAAAAGACGAGGGAGCCTCATCGCCCAGCCTTTGGCCCTGTTTCCCTTTCGATCGTGAGGATTCCGCACCCCGAAGCCGGCTTCTCGGAGCTCCGGGGTGCGCCTGCGCTGGCAACGCGAAGGAGGACAAAAGGCCGGCGTCCATGTTGGCACCATGACGCAGCATCTCCGCCTGCAGCCCGGCGCTCCTGTCCTCCTGGCCGCGCTCGCTCCTCCTCCCAAACACCAGTTTTCTTTACAGGCTTCGAGCCCGTCGCGGCTGGGCTGGGCTGGACTGGCGGGCGGGCCCGGCCGGGCAGGGCTGCGGTGCTAATGGCGGCGGCTCTCCCTCCTTCCTCATTCCCTCCGTCCCCCCGGTCGTGGGGAGCCCGGAGCAGGAGGCGGGCCCGCGGCCAGGTCGGGCCCCGAGAGCCCGCGGAGCGCAGTGGTGGCGACCCGGTCTCGGGAGCCGTTTCGGGGGCCGTGGGCCTCGGGGGCGTCGCGCGCCGCGTCTCCCGCGCTCGCCTCAGCCCGACGCGGCGGCCTGACGGGCGCCATTTCGCGCGCTGCCCGTGGCTGGGGCGGTGGCGGCCGCCGCGCGCCAGGCGGCAGAAGCGGCCGGGGGAGGGGGGCTGGGCGACCCGGAGGCCCACGCGGGCACCAGGAGGCCTCGCCCCGGGCCGCTTCCCCCTTTCCTCTTTGTCACGCGCGGGCGCCCGCAGCCGAGGGCCACGGGGTCGGCGGGGCCTCGAGGCCGCCCCGGGTCCCACCGACTCCTCCGGAAGCCGCGGCCCGGCCTGGCCCTGACCCCAGGCCGCCCCCGCTGCCCACCCGGCTCTGGGCGCCCAGGCCCGACCTCCCAGTCGCCCTTTGAGATGCGAACCGGCGCGGGACGGGGGGTCGCCCCCTTTGTCCCCACTCAGGTCGTGAGGCCCTCGGGGTGGCCAGAGACGCCCCGTTGGGTCGCCCAGGGCGCAGCCCTCCTGCCCAGGTCTCCAGGCAGGAGGTGGGGGAAGCCTGGGAAAACGGAGGGGGGCCCCCCGGATCCCCCGAGGCGCGGGGCTCCGGGCGAAGCCTCAGATCTCCGGCCCTTCCCGGGGAGAGTGCGGGCGGGGCGGGCCTTTGGAAATGCAGATGAGCCGCCGCCCGGGCCCGGGCTGAACCTTCTGACTCAGCCGCCCCCGGCCGCCCGGGCCGCTGGGGGTGGGGCGACGTCTGGGGGGCTCCCTTTCAGCCCCGGAGCCCCCGTCCACTGTGCCTTCGGCCGGTCACATCTCTCTCCCCCCACGCCCTGATCCGCCCTCCACCTTCCTCTTCTCCAGGTTCTGGGCCAGAGAAGGGGCGACAGCCGGGCACCCCCCGAATGGACAATTTTTCCTTCTGTCGACGGCAGGGGCAGGCCTAGTTTGACCCTGACAGTCCTCCCATTAAGGTAGGTGTGAGTCCTTGCCCAGACCGTGAGGGAGATTTGGGGGGCTCTGGCCTGCAGCCCAGGGAGGGCGGAACCCCAAACCCGCCGGGCTGGTTCTGCGGCCCCGCCCCCCCAGCTGCGAGCGCTTAGGGCCGCCTGCTGGGCCGCCAGGGCCATCCATCCCCGCCTGTCAGCTTCTGTTGTCAGGCATTTGGGGCGTGCAATTCTCTGCCGAATTTAGCAGCATACGAGAGGCTCCACTTGCAAGTATTTCCCAGTTGTGTGTTTTTCGGCGGGGGGAGGGCCCTGGGTGCCTCCTACTTCTAAAAGACACAGGACTGCCAGAAAGGCCAACTGTGCTGTGGCCTCCCCTCCAGCCGTCCCCGTGGGGCATTTGGGGTGACAGTGTGAGCCATCCTCGGATGTCTGGCTGCTAGGGAGGCAAAGAACAGAGATCCGGGGTCCCAGCCAGCTTTCTTTATGAAAGGGCCTTCCTTGACGCTTCACCACCTTCCTGGGATTCTTGTTTTCTTCTCCAGTCCCCAAATGGGCAGGCCTGTATATAAGCCTTGTGTTTGGAACCGGACAAAGCTGGATTTGAAACCTGGCGAGCCATTGAACAGCTATGACCTTGCGTAAGCGGCATAGCCTCCAAGCCTGTTTCTCCATCTCCAAAAACAGGGCTAGATCAGTGATTCTTAGTCTGGAACTGGCATCAGAATCACACCCGAAGGGGGACTCATTGAAAATGGACCACCAGGCCTGGTGCCCGAGTGTCTGATTCAGTGGGTGGGTCCTGAGGATTGGCATTTCTAACAAGTTCCCAGGTGAGGCTGATGCTGTGGTCAGAACACGTTTTGAGACTCCAGCCTGGTAACACCTGGGGTTTTGACGCAGAAGTGCCAAGTTCCACGCTTGGCACATAGTAATTGATTTCATTCTAACACTAGCCGACTTCATATACTGAATAGTTTTCCATCTCAGTGTTTGAGAAGCTCCACAGCTGGAGATGGCGGCCCTTGGTCTCGGACCCCCCCATGTGATCTCTGCTTTGTGATTGCGTTGATGAACCATTTGCGTCCAGGTGCTCCAGATCACACCACTCCCCTATTTGGGAGGTGTGCCCCACTCCCGCTGTGAGGGCTACACTGAGCTCTGGGGACCTGTGGGGATAAACAGGGAGACCTTGCTAAAGGTATCTTGGTGCTAAGGGAGATAGTTCGCTGTGGGCTAGGATCTCGATAGTGCTGGTGACCTTGGGTGAGTGTCCGCCTTTAAAATGATAAGGATGCCTGCTGGAAAGGGTGGGTGGGAGGGTTAAGTGCCTTAAGGAGGCCCTCCTCCCAAACTTTTAGTTGGCCTTCCTTGTGATTGTGGTTATTGCTGGGAGTGGCTGCAGCGGGTGGGCGCTGGGCTGCCTCAGAGCTGCCCCGCCTCCACCAGTCCACCTGCGGAAGCACGTGTCCCTGCCTCAGGGCAAAGGGGAATCTAGCGCTCCCGCTCACCGGGAAGGCAGCCCATGCGGTTCTCCTCTGGAGTGGTTGAGTCCAGCTGGAGGTAGAGGCCTTTCCCCAGCCGCACAGGCTGTTCCATAGTGGGGTCAAGATTTGGGTCACACACCCATGATCCGGGGAGAAGTGACTTGCCCAAGGTCACAAGGCCACCACCAGTAGAGCCAGGATGGGGTTCCAGGTGGCTTGACTTGGCAGCCAGCGCCTGTGCCCATGGCACCCCCTCACCCCAGCTGTCTGGGTTATTTTGGGCTTCCTCTCGTGCCAGCTGTCTGCTGGCATCCCTGCCCAGGACTGTCTGGTTGGAAGTAACTGGCGTGGTGCTGTTGGCTCCTCTGAGGGCCAGGGCTGGGTCTTCAATCCCCGATGAGCTGTCCTGGGTCCAGCTCCTTTGCTGGGAGGGAAGGGTGTTCCTGCCCAGACTCCCCTCTGCGCAAGTACAGCAAGAGGGCGAAAGCACCTGATAAAAATTGAGGTTCACATTGTTAATGTCCCAAAAGCCTCTTCTTCTATACTCCCTGAAACCTGTTTTACATTTGGCTCTGCAGAGTCTTCGCTGCTCTCCGGGTGGGGTCTTTACTCCCCACCTGCTTTGGATAATTAAGTAATTGATGTACGTCTCTCTCCCAGCTGCATCCTGGAGAGCTCCAGCCAGTTTCTCCCCTCCCTGGATCCAATCAGGGAGCTGTTGGGTGCTCAGCTGTGGTCTGGATGTGGTTCTCAGCGCGGTGTCGGGACCCACCTGGCTGGACTGTACCCCTCTCCCTGTACCCTCTCCCTGTGCTTTGATCCCTTTTCTTTGTCCCCCCCACCATCACCTGGGGCAGGGAGGGTGGGGCAGTTTGTCCTCTTGCTGCTGTTCCTGCTGGTCCCTCGAGGGCGCCCCGCCCACCGGTCACCCAGCGAACGTGGGGCGGGGCTGCTCCTGGCGCCCGGCCCTGAGGCCTGCAGAGAGAGGGCCACGCCAGCGGAAGGGCCGGCCAGGAGGTGGCAGGACTTGCTTTACTACTGAGTCGCTGGCGTCCCCGCCTCTTCCGGCCCCTCCGCCCGGAACCCTAGTGCGGAACATGACCTTTCGGACCCTCTGGGTGGAGACGCAGCCTCTGCCTAGGCTGTGCAGTGAGGCGGCCCCACCATCTCAAGTTGCCTGGCCCAGTGCGTCTCTAGCTGGCATGTGACCTCCAGCAAACTCCTGCACGTGAGCGCTGGGAGGAGCAGGTCCGGCAGTAGGCAATAATGTTGTTGTTGTTGTTGTTGTTCAGATAGAGTTTCACTCTTGTTGACCAGGCAATGGTGCATCTGGGCTCACCGCAGCCTCCGCCTCCAGGGTTCAAGCGATTCTTAGCCTCAGCCTCAGAGTAGCTGGGATTACAGGCATGTGCCACCATGCCCGGCTAATTTTGTATTTTTAGTAGAGACAGGGTTTCTCCATGTTGGTCAGGCTGGTCTCGAACTGACCTCAGCTGATCTGCCCGCCTCGGCCTCCGGAAGTGCTGGATTCCAGGCGTGAGCCGCCGCGCCCGGCAGATAATAATGTTCTGAGCTGTTGCTGAGTCTGGCTTTTGTGAGGGGAACTTTTAGCACTCAAGGAGTGGCCCTGCCTCTGGCCCGTCCCCAAGTGCTCATGGGCAGCCAAGGCCGGGGGACTGCTCGGGCTTGGTAGATGTACTTGCCAGGCCAGCTCCCGTCCCGGGGACCTCAGGGAGTAGCTTCATCCCTGAAGGCTCAGTGTCTCCTGCCTCATGTGGGTGGCCCCTCTGCAGGGTTCTCAGGCACCCAGGGAAGTGGGTGCCATGGCCTCACTGGGGCTGGCTGGGCTTTGCTCTGACAACACAGCAGTGGCTAGGCCCCTGCAGCTCTCCGGGGCTCGGTGTCCCTGTTGGCCGCACTATGGCGTAGGCCCCGGTGTGGACACCGATGAGCTGACCACAAATACCACTCGGCCGCTCCCCCAGGCTTCAGTGACCCAAGAGCCCTTGTGTGAAGAACCAGCTTAAAGAATCTTTCTTGCCTTCTCAAACTCTCCAGGAATTCCTGGTGACTGGAAGGGGAGTGACACGGGTCCTCAACCTCTAGCAGGTAAGGGGGCTGCCTCCTGGGTGGGTGTGCCCAGTTCCTCAGCGGGCCCAGCGCGGCCCAGCCTCCGAGGAAGCTCCGAGCAGCTGGCTTAGCTCCGAGGTATTTTTAGCTACAGATCCAGCTCCCTCCATCACCACAACAGTCGAGTCCAAATCAAACACATTCCAGGCAGGTGGGACTGGGGTTCTGCCAGTCTCCTGGCCAGCAGGGGTGGGTAGGCAGACTGGGGCCAGTATCGGCTGTTCTGCCTGGGCCCAGGCCGGGCTGGGAAGGCACAGTTGTTCTCATTTCCCGCCTCCACTTTCGTGCCAGCTTGTGCTGTCATAAGCAGAGATTCGCAGCCCCATTTCTTGGATGGAAAAAGTGGACACTGAGGTCTGAGGCTTTTGAGGACAGTCAGGAGCCCCCCTTTGGGCTCGAGTGATGCACTCACCAGCTTCTGGTCCTCTTCCTCTACCACCTGGAGTGCCTTGGCTACCTCCTGTGGTCCTAGGGAACCTCGGCCCCAGCCCTGCCTCCCCAGCCAGTCACAGCTCCTCCCTGGTCACCCTGGGGACCTCAGGGCCCGGCTGGTGGCTGTGCTCCTCTCCTTCTGTCCCCCAGTCCCATGGAGCCTGGCAGGCAACTCCTCCATGATCTGAACCCCGTTACCTTGACAGCCCTGCCTGGCCTCCCCTCTCATGGCCCAGCCACCCCAGAACCTGAAGAGGTTTTCTAGCTGCCGTGCATTTGTCAGGCCGGGTTACCCACCCTACTTTTCCTGCCTGCCCTCCAGTGCTGCCAAGCCCAGTGTGCCAGCCAGCACTCAGCCTTCTGTAAAGGGTTCCCCTCTCCCAACCTGACCTCCTGGAAAGCTGGAGCATAACTGCCTCTCAATAAACGTGTTGCGAAAAAGGAGTGGATGAGTTGCTGTGCATTTGTCTAGGGGGTGCTTGACCCAAGAGACTCCCCTTTGCCCAGTGCCCGGAGAGGGCGTCCACTGAGAATCTGGGGTGCCTTCTGGCCTCCCCTTCCCAGCTCTGCCGTGGTCTTGGGATTCTGTGGGCGGTCGCTGCTGCCCTCTGGTGGTCAGACCGTGCCTTCCTTGCTGCGGCTGAGAACCTTGACCATGGAACTGCCAGGTTGGCGGTTTTCCTCCACGAAGTGAGGTTTACATGAGCCTTGCCGAGATCTTGAAAACTGGGAGTCTTTGGGGTGGGATCGCCAGCAAAAAGATCTTGAGTCCTGCCAGCCCCTATCTGAGGAAACTACGGAAGGTCACTTGCCCCCAACTATGCTGCTGTTGAGGTTTTGTTAGAAATGGGCTCTTCTACCCCAGCTGGTAGGATCCCACTCTCGGCCATGCTCCCGTGCCTATCTGCCGTGGAGCAGCTCCAGGGAGGTCCCTCTGCCACCCTATCCACTCACCTGGCTGGTGCAGAGGGCAGTCATCCTGCCCGGGGTGAGGGGTAAGACCCGGGTGATTCAGCCAGCAGCCCTGATAGCACTACCTACAGTAAGTGCTCAACAAAAGCTGTTTTGATCATGGGACGGGAGAGTTGGGGGGATTCCTGAGATGAAGGACATGTGGCTGCTGGCAAGGAAACGCATTTTCTTACATTTCTAGATGGGTGTGGGGTTAGTCTCCAAAGCTCAAGGAGAGGGATCAAGCTGACTTCAACTAGAGCTACTCCAACCTGCCCCTCCCTGACGGCGTCTTGCGTGGTTCACGCCTCTGGCTCCTGTCGGAAGGAGGCGCCCGCCCTTCGTGGTTTGGGGCCAACCTGCGGCCGGCGCCGAGACTATTGCCCGGCAGAGGGCGCTGGACGTCCACCCTGCAGCCCGGGGTCGGGGTGCGGGTAAGCGGAGTCCAGTCCCACACCCCGAACCCGCGTACACGCAGGGGTCCCTAGGCCAGGCGAGGTGGGCAGACACGACCCTCGCGTCAGCATCTTCCCTGGGGCCACCGCAGCTACCTCCTGTGGGGAAACTGAGGCCAGAGGCGGACATGCGCCAAGCCACGCCGCTGGGGCAGTGCAAAGTTGGGCTCTTCCCGGAGCTCGAGGCCTGGGGCTCCTCGAACCAGGTGCACAGCCAGCCAATCCGGGAGGTCCTGTCTGGCCGCGCCGACCAATCAGAGGGTCCCTGCCGTAGGCGGAGCCTGCCAATCAGGGGCACCTGGAGTCGCTGGGCAGCCACGATCGGGTCTCGCCGGCGAGGGGCGCGCCGTGACGCGCAGAGGGTGGCGGTGGGATGGGGGTGGGAGCTTCCCTCGCAGCTAAGCCCCGTTTCTCCGGTGCCGCAGTATCCCTGGGACTGAGGCTGAATACTCACACCCAGGGCTGGGACCTTAGCAGAAAGGGAACTGAGGCTGGGAGGTCGGCCGGGAGGCTGCCTGGCGGAGGTGGTGCCGCTCTGAGTGGGCGGGGCTAGTTCCCGCCCCGCCCCGCCCCCGACCTCTTGGCTCCGCTAGTGCCGGGCGCGCAGCCGCCAGTGCTGCGGGCTCCGGGCTATGGATGCCCCCGGGGCCCCGGCCCCGACCGCCGCCCCCGGTCCGGGCAGGAAGGAGCTGAAGATCGTGATCGTTGGTGACGGCGGCTGCGGCAAGACCTCGCTGCTCATGGTGTACAGCCAGGGCTCCTTCCCCGAGGTGAGGCCCGCAGCGGGGCTGGGGTGGGGGCGATGGACGCCCCTCAGCCTGAGCCCAGAGCCCCGACCCTCGGTCCCCGGCGTCGCGAGTACGGAGAGGCGGCCGCCACCCCGGGTCGCCCCTCGGGAATTCCAGAGCCCAGCGGGGTGAGGGGGTGCTGATCCGGGACGAGTGAGGGGGGTGGACAGTGGGTTTAGCTGGAAGCTTAGCCCCCGCAGGCCCCACTAAGGACCAACCGACCCCCTCTCCCGCAGCACTATGCCCCGTCGGTGTTCGAGAAGTACACGGCCAGTGTGACCGTTGGCAGCAAGGAGGTGACCCTGAATCTCTACGACACAGCCGGTGAGTGCGCCTGCGCCCCCGGGGTCCCGGGGGTCCGCCCGCCCGAAGGGTTTCCCCTCCCGGGCGTCCCCCACCGGGCGTCCCCGGCCAGCAGCCTTGCCAGGGTCCTGGCCGGCTCTTCACTCCTGGAGGCCGCTCAGGGGCGCTGGCTGCGCGACCCTAGAGGCCAAGCCCTATATGTAAGTGGAGAGTGTGGAGGAGGAGGTGAACTCCGGGGCCACCCTCCCAGCTCTGTGCTGAGAGCCCACAGCTCGTTCCTCTCTTGTGGTTCTAGAAAGCAGTGGGCTGCTCTTGGGCCTCCCATGGTTCCAGGATTGCTGCGCTGCCTGCTGTGGTCTCTGCAGACTCTGTGGGCTGCAGATTTGAGCCCCCTGGTGCTCGGATTGCCTGGGCTGTGTGTCTGGGTCCTGTGGTTCTGGGATGCTCCCGGCTGCAAATCAGCCTGTGGCTCCAGGGCTCTGTGGCCTGCGCTCTGCAGCCTGAGGTTCTGGGGTTCTGTGGATGCGAGTTCTGTGTCTGCAGCTCCCAGGATTCCACGGCTTGCAGTTGGTTCTGGAATTGTGTGGCTACAATTATTTCTGTGCTTTCCCAGTTCCCTGGGACAAAACCAGACAGTGTAGAAAATGAACTGAGGAAGGAACGGAGCACTGGGGGCAGGGGCCCCACCCCAGGCTCTGCCTGCCACCTGCAGCCCCCCATGGGCGGTCTATGGATTTATGTGCAATTGCTTGGGAGTCGGTGTTGTGAGGGGTGGGGACGGGAGAAACACAGTCAGTGGGAGGACCCTGACTCCCATCTGGGCTTCATCAACATTGGGGACCAAAGGTTGACATCCCCAGGTGAGGCCTCACCCCACCTCTGTGACTCAGTGTTTAGTGACCTGCAGGGAACCACGTCACCAGGTGGCCCTCTCCTGCCAGCCAAGCCTTGTATATGTGAGGTGAGGTCAGACACTGACATAGGATGGAACCAAAATCCAGACACCTCCACCCCCAGGTAGACCTTGGAGAGGACCCGAAAAGGGGCTGTCCTAGCTCAGAGCCCCCTCCATTCCGACTTCAGCAGGTCCTACCATGGGCTCTGAGAAACCTGTCTTTGTGGGATGTGGGCCCTATGGGGCCACCCCCAAAACAAGGCCTGTCTCTAGCCCCTGGTGAGCTGGGAGAGCTGAGATGTCAGAGGAATTCCCGAGGTGTGGCCCAGAGGGTAGTAAGAGTCATGGTCTGGGACCCTTTTACTTTCTTGTTTCTTGTCCAGGAGCCAGGGAGGGGCGAGGTCATTAACCGCACTTTTTGAGTCCAGTGCTCCTGAGTGGAGACATTTACAGCAGCCCCACTGCCCTGCAGGAGCCCGGAGGCTTTTTCCTTCCTCCTCCTCTACCCTCAGGGCCTCCCCTATCAGGCCCCGGGGTTCACTGTTCAGGGCAGCCTCCACATCATGAGAACAGGGATGGCCTTTCTGGCCTTGCCCAGAGAGCGATGCTCAAGGAACATGTCAGAGTAGATTGTGGTGTGGAGATTCTGGAAAGCTGCAAGGTATTATAGGAAGAATTTGTGCAAAGAGCTGCTACCGGAGGGATGGAGGAGCGTCCCCTGCTACAGTTACCAGAAGCAGGCGACCGCCAGCACTATGGGGATCCCACCCATCCTGTTCCTGCCACCCTCTTTGGAGTCAGATCTGGGCTTTGACCCCAGCTCTATTGGCTACGTATCATTGGGGATGTCTGGGCCTCAGTTTCCTGATCTATCATGAGCACTAAGAGGGTCATGAGGATTAAATCAGATTAATATATTATGTCCACCAACCTGCCCTACATGGTGAAACCCCATCTCTACTAAAAATCCAAAAATTAGCTGGGCATGGTGGTGGGCACCTGTAATCCCAGCTACTTGGGAGGCTGAGGCAGGAGAATCATTTGAACCCAGGAGGTGGAGGTTGCAGTGAGCCGAGATTGTGCCATTGCACTCCAGCCTAGGCGACAGGGCGAGACTCCGTCTCCCAGCACTTTGGGAGGCTGAGGCAGGAGGATTGCTTGAAGCCAGGAGTTCAAGACCAGCCTGGGCAACATGACGAAACCCCGTCTCTACTAAAAATACAAAAAATACAAAAATTAGCCAGGCATAGTGGCACACGCCTATAGTCCCAGCTACTTGGAAGGCTGACGCAGGAGAATTGCTTGAACCTAGGAGGCAGAGGTTGCAGTGAGTTAAGATCACACCACTGCATTCCAGCCTGGGCAACAGAGCGTGACCCTGTTTCAAAAAATTAAAATTAAAAAAAATTAAAAAGACCCTCCTACCATCCCTGCCCAGCCCTAGCTCGATCCTGTGCTTTGGAATCTACAGTGCCATGCCCCGAGCTGGCCCCCAGCCCCTGCTGCAGTGGGGAGTCTTCCCTGGCAAGTCTCTTCCAAGCAGCAGAGAAGCAGGGCTCATGGGGGGAGGCTGGCCTCACAGTCTGACAGACCAAGGAGGGGTACCCAGGGAGAAGAAATCTGGCTGCTCCCTGTAGGGGGTGTCCCCCCATGACTGGGGAAGGCCTGCTCATAGGAGGAAATCCCCTGGTCAGTGAGTGCCACCAGGGAGAGCCCAGGTCCCAGTGCTTGTCATGGAGCAAGGCTTGGAAGGTGATGGAATGAATGGGTAATAGGTCCGAATGCCGGAGATGATGTATCTCTGTCTGCAGGTGGACGGCTCTCGGGAGAACATGACAGAAAGCCATGGCCAGGAGGTCACATAGAGAGAGGCAAAAGGCCAAGAGGGTGAGGGAATGGCCAAGCCAGAAATGAGTCTAGTAAACGTAGTTGTAGAAAGTTCTAGAACCCAATAGGCTACACCCAGTGGCGGAAGGGGCGTCTTCCCAACTGGTGGCCACCAGAGCTGTGAGACAGGGGTGGCTCTCGGAGGCTGAATTTCTCCACACCCAGACCCTGCCCACAGGAGCCCTGGTGGAAGGCCTGTCTGGCTGTCTCCATCCTGAGGAAGTAGTTACGGACACCACAGCGGAGGGTGGGCAGATGGGGTGACAGGATTCTCAGGGCTCAGAGGGGAAGGGGCGGGGGCCGTGGCACCCACTGCTCTGTTGGCCTCACCCGGGCCCCGACATCCTCTGAGGCAGGAAGCTGCGGTGAAGTCTGAAGTTTCCTGGGCAGGGAGAGGCGGGGTGAGGTGGGCTGTGAAGACGCAGATGGGAGACTGAGCTTATCGGGGCCAAGGTGTGGGGTCCAGGGTTGGAGGGGCACAGAATGGGGTGCGGGTTGCCCTGGGAGCAGTGGTCCCCTTCTCAGCCTGAGATGGGAACAGAAAGAAAATTGGCGGGCAATGGAGTAGGAGTTGCTAAGACAAGGAACCAGGGACAGGTGGGTGTCGTGAGCACCAGAAGCACCGGGGGCCTGGGCTGAGCCAAGGCTGGGGTCACCCAGAAGGTGGTCTCAGCTCCCAGCTGGGGCTGCGCAGCCCCTGTCTTCCTGGGGAAGCACAGGTGGCCCCCAGCAGAGTAAGTAAAAGTGGGTTCCTCTTCCCTTCTCACGCTGCCAGCACCCCTCCCTGACCAACGGTCCAGCTGGAGCTGGGGGCCGCCTGCCCTGTGTGTCCTCCTGAAGATGTGAGGTCTTCTCTCCTTAACTCTGCCCTGGGCCTTAGAGACCCCTGTCCCTGGAAGCAGGACTGCCTTGGCAAAGCCTCATCCCACCAAGAAAATAGCCCTGTGTGCGGCATGAGCCTCCCTTCCCCCAGCCCTGCCGCACCGCCCAAGTGTACGTCAGAACAATGGGCGGCTTCACGGGCCTAGAGACTTCCTCACCAGAAGCACGTGCATCCTTTGCGTATAATTCCTGGGTTTTTTTGTTTTTTGGTTTTTGGTTTTTTTTGGTGGGTGGGGGCTGTGGTTAGAGACAGGGTCTCGCTCTGTCACCCAGGCTGGAGTCTGTAGCATGATCATAACTCACTGCAGCCTCAGCCTCTTGGGCACAAGTGATCCTCTCACCTCAGCCTCCCAAAGTGCTGGGATTACAGGTGTGAGCCACCATGCCTGGTCTCCTGGGCCGTTTTAACGTCTAAGCCCATCTGCAGTGGCTGGATGGGCCCCCCTGTGACTACGGGCAGGTGACATGGACCCTTTCAGCCCCAGGATCATTTTCGTAGAATGTAGAGGGTAATGGTATCACCTGGTGGCTGGGAGGCCCCTAAAGCTTCTGGGTCCAAAGATTCTGGAGGTTCTGACCCCCCCGCCATGCCAGGCTATGAACTTCTCCTGGAAGTTTCTGTTTCAAGAGTAACCCGGCCGGGCGCGGTGGCTCAAGCCTGTAATCCCAGCACTTTGGGAGGCCGAGACGGGCGGATCACGAGGTCAGGAGATCGAGACCATCCTGGCTAACGCGGTGAAACCCCGTCTCTACTAAAAAATACAAAAAACTAGCCGGGCGTGGTGGCGGGCGCCTGTAGTCCCAGCTACTAGGGAGGCTGAGGCAGGAGAATGGCGTGAACCCGGTAGGTGGAGCTTGCAGTGAGCTGAGATCTGGCCACTGCACCCCAGCCTGGGCGACAGAGCGAGACTCCATCTCAAAAAAAAAAAAAAAAAAAAAGAGTAACCCAATAGCCGTCTTCCTGCCTCCCAGCACTGCCCCCGACTCTGCCCCCGCCCCCCGTCCCGGCACCACTCCCGCTCCAAGCTCCAAGCCTTGCCTCCCTTCTCCTGGGCTTTCACCTTCCAGATTAGGGGTGGGGTTATCACTGTTATCACCCCCTCTCCCAGATAAGGAAATTGACACCCAGAGAGGGAAATGTGGGCGTCAATTCGAGATGTGGAGGCTGCCCTGAACAGTCCCGCCCAGAATGTGCATGAGTGAATGGAACCTGACCCCCGACTCATACGAGAGAAGGTATTTATTAACAGTACACTCCCCCATCCCCAAGTGGGCATGGGATTGGTGCACACGGAAGTACATCCTCTGCAGGCCTGGTCCCCCTAACCCCCCATGCCCCAAAGGCCCACACTGAATTCTAGGGAAGGCTGGGCTGGGCAGCGTCAAGCCAGGATGGCAACCTGGAGGAAGCGCTGGAGTCAGAGCTGGCTGCCTCTCCCTTCCCAGAGGCCCTCTTTCTTGAGAGGGCCGACATTTTTCCTCACCTGGTCAGGACTGGGACAAGTAGGGTGAGGATTCCTTCCTGTTTTCTGGGGTAGGCTAAGAAAAAAAAAATACCCCAGTAGGGTCCTCTGTTATTTACAAAGCTTCCCCTTAACTGTGTGGCCTGGGGCAAGTCACTCCAGCTCTCTATGCTTCCGTTTCTCAGCCTGTAAAATGGGGCCAACAATAGTGTCTACCTTATAGGGTTTTTTGGGGAAAGATGAGTTAATCCAGGTGAATGGCTTCGAGCTAGACCTGGCATGTAACACAGAAGCCTTCATGGATAGGTGCTGCCAGAGTCACAGTGGTCTACTCCTGCAGCCCCAGCTCCTCGGGAGGCTGAGGCAGAAGGATGGCTTGAGCCCAGGAGATTGAGGCTGGAGTAAGCTGTGATCACACCACTGCGCTCCAGCCTGGGCAACAGAGCAAAACCCTTTTTTTTTTTTTTTTTTTCCGAGGCAGAGTCTCACTCTGTTGCCCAGACTGGAGTGTAGTGGTTTGATCTCAGCTCACTGCAGCCTCTGCCTCCCTAGCTCAAGTGATTCTCCTGCCTCAGCCTCCCAAGTAGCTAGGATTACAGGCATGTGCCACCACGCCTGGCTAATTTTTGTATTTTTAGTAGAGACAGCGTTTCATGTTGCCCAGGCTGGTCTTGAACTCTTGACCTCAAGTGATCCGCCCGCCTCAGCCTCCCAAAGTGCTGGGATTACAAGCATGAGCCACGGCGCCAGGCCTAGACCGTGACTTTTATATGAGAGAGAGAGAGTCGATATTAAACATCTTTATTATTACTGTCATCAAGGCTCACTCACTTTTTGCATCTCCATTTCACAGATGAGGAAACTGAGGCCCAGAGGTTAATTCCCAGCTGAGAAGGCTGGGGACAGCTTCCTGGAAGAACTGGTGCTTTTAGAATGACCTGGCAGGCAGCTGACCTTGGGGACTGGTTGGCCTCTGGCTCACAGGGTGCTTGTCTCTGACCTTGACGAAGGCCCCCTCCACCACTTGGGCTCTTAACAGGAAGAACTGTCCCCGCCCAGCGTACCTCCCGGGGGGACTGCTTGAATGAACACAGGTCAGGAAGTGGAATGCCCTTGCCAAGGCTGCAGGGGCACCTAAAGCCGGAGAGATGACTATTAACCCTCTTCACCCACTCCTTCCTTTGAGCCTTCCTTCACCACATGTGTATTGCGCTCACCTGTGTTCCTAGGGGCACAACAGTGAACAGCACAGAGGTGGTTCCTGCCCGCCCGAGAGGCAAACAAAAACACCCAGAGAATTACTGTTTTTTTGTTTTTTATTTTTGTTTTTGTTTTGAGGCAGAGTTCTCTGTCCCCCAGGCTGTAGTGAAATGGCACGATCTCAGCTCACCGCAACCTCAGCCTCCCAGGTTCAAGCGATTCTCCAGCCTCAGCCTCCCAAGTAGCTGGGACTACAGGTGCCCACCACCACACCCGGCTAGTTTTTGTATTTTTGGTAGAGACGAAGGTTCACCATGTTGGTCAGGCTAGTCTCGAACTCCTGACCTCAAGTGATCCACCTGCCTCCACCTCCCAAAGTGCTGGGATTACAGGTGTGAATCACCACGCCTGACCCCAGAGAAGTATTGTGAAATCAGGTAGGGGTGAGAGGCATGAGTAAAGCCCCCGTCATGTGGCAGACTGCCAAGGAGGCTGTTTCAGAGCAGTCAGGAAAGGTCTCTGGGAGGAGGCGACATTCCATGGAGCCCTGAAGGAGAGGAGGGAAGGAGCCACACTGTTCCCTGTTGAAAGAACCTCCTGGAGGAGTGAACAGCAAGGGCAGAGGCCCCAGGAGAGGCGGGCAGGCTGTGATTGCCTCCAGCGCTCCGGGGCTGACTTCTTCCTTCACCCGCTGCAGCCTGATGCCTGCCCCGCCACCTCCTGTCCTGATGTCACTGCAGGCTGTAGTTGCCAAACCCAGTGGGCAAGTCTCAACCCTTGTCTCTGCTGTGTGTGACAAGAGTGGAACAACCTTGACAGACGTGGCAGCTCATGCCTGTAACTCCAGCACTTTGGGAGGCTGAGGCAGGTGGATCACCTCAGGTCAGGAGTTTGAGACTAGCCTGGCCAACATGGTGAAACCCCGTCTCTACTAAAATACAAAAGAAAGTCGGGCGCTGTGGCTCACACCTGTAATCCCAGCACTTTGGGAGGCTGAGGCAGGTGGATCACGAGGTCAGGCGATCAAGACCATCCTGGCTAACACGGTGAAACCCCGCCTCTACTAAAAATACAAAAAATTAGCTTGGCGTGGTGGCGGGCACCTGTAGTCCCAGTTACATGGGAGGCTGAGGCAGGAGAATTGCTTGAACCTGGAAGGCGGAGGTTGCAGTGAGCCAAGATCGCACCACTGCACTCCAGCCTGGGTGACAGAGTGAGACTCTCTCAAAAATAAAATAAAATAATAAAAATACAAAAAAAATTAGCCAGGCATGTTGGCACCTGCCTTAGTCCCAGCTACTCAAGAGGCTGAGGCAGGAGAACCATTTGAACCCAGGAGGCGGAGCTTACAGTGAGCCGAGGTCGTGCCACTGCACTCCAGCCTGGGCAACCGAGCAAGACCCTGTCTCCAAAAAAAAAAAAAAAAAGTAAAGAAGAAAAGAAAAAAAGAAATGAGAGAAGCCGTCCAAGGGGGCTCTATTTTACAAACTTATCCGAGGTTTCACTTTCTGTAGTTTCAGTTACCTGAGGTCTGAAAGTATTAAATGGAAAATTCCAGAAATAATTCATAAATTTGAGATCATGCACCGCTCTGTGTAGCGTGATGAGATTGCACGCGGTCCCGCTGTATCCCACCCGGGATGTGATTCGCCCCTTCCTCTGTGTATCCCTGCTGGAGACACCACCTGCCCATAAGTCAGTCAGCAGCTGGCTGGGTAACAGGCCAGGCTGGTCTTGAACTCCTGAGTTCAAGTGATCCGCCCGCCTCGGCTTCCCAGAGTGCTGGGATTACAGGTGTGAGCCACGGTGCCTGGCCCCGTTTTATTATTATTGTTGTTTATCTCTTACTGTGCCTAAGTCATAAACTAAGCTGTCTTATAGATGTGTACATATAGGAAAAAAACAGCATATCTAGGGTTCTAGATTGTCCGTGGTTTCATACATCCACTGGGGGTCTTGGAATCCACCCTTGTGGGTTGGGGGGACTACTGTACCTGTTCGCTCCTGCCATAGTTGTAAAAGAGAATATGTTATGCCAGAACTATGAACCCCATTGTTACATCTTAAAGGACCAGAACCTATTTTTGCACAATACACGTTAGTGTGTATCAGCAGAAGGAACATCCCACTTGGAATTTCATGAGCTGGGGTTAACTCCTGGCCCAGTCACTGAGTCATTGACCTCAAGCCAGTCACTTCACTGCTGTGACTCTCAGGCTCTTCCTATGCAGTGCGAGTGTTCATCATTTCCCTGCCACATCTGGCTGTCATGTAAGGATTTCTTTTTTTTTTTTTTTTCTTTTTTTTGAGATGAAGTCTCACTGTGTCACCCAGGCTGGAGTACGGTGGCATGATCTCGGGGCTCACTGCACCCTCCACCTCCCAGGTTCAAGCAATTCTCCTGCCTTAGCCTCTGGAGTAACTGGGATTACAGGCACCTGCCACCACGCCCAGTTAATTTTTGTATTTTTAGTAGAGACGGGGTCTCGCCATCTTGGTTAGGCTGGTCTCGAACTCCTGACCTCGTGATCCCCCTGCCTCGGCCTCCCAAAGTGCTGGGATTACAGGCGTGAGCCACTGCGCCCAGCTTTTTTTTTTTTTTTTTTTTTTTTTTTTTTTTTTTGAGACTGAGTCTCGCTCGGTCTCCAGGCTGGAGTTCAGTGGCATGATCTTGGCTCACTGCAACCTCCACCTCCCAGGTTCAAGCAATTTTCCTGCCTCAGCTTCCCGAGTAGCTGAGACTACAGGCTCACACCACCACGCCCAGCTAATTTTTGTATTTTTAGTAGAGACAGCGTTTCATCATGTTGGCGAGGATGGTCTCGATCTCTTGACCTCATAATTCACCTGCCTCAGCCTCCCAAAGTGCTGGGATTACAGGCATGAGCCATCACGCCTTGCCAAGGATTTCTTAATCATTTCTAGACTAAAGCACCCTGAAAACTGCATAGAGTATAGGATGTATTATTACAAAGGCAGGTGCAGAGGGCAGGCAGTTATCCTCAAAAGGGAAAAAATGTAACTGTTTAATCTGGATGTTTAAGAATAAAATGCTAGGGAGAAAATGGTGAAAAGAGCAATGGGAGAAGGACCTTCCAGTCCTGTGGAACAGCAAGCACAAAGGCCCGGGCATGAGAGCTTCGTGGGTTTGAGAAACAGTGAGGTGGCGCTTTGGCTGGACTGCAGTGAGCAAGTGGGTGTGGCAGAAGATGAAGTCATGTGAACCAGGGGAGATGTTTGGATTTTATACAAAGAGCAATAGGGGCCAGGCATGGTGGCTGATGCCTATAATCCCAGCACTCTGGGAGGCCGAGGCAGGTGCATCACCAGAGGTCAGGAGTTCAAGACCAGCCTGGCCAAGATGGTGAAACCTTGTCTCTACTAAAAAAATACAAAAATTTCATGCCTGTAATCCCAGCACTTTGGGAGGTTGCGGTGAGCAGATCACCAGAGATCAGGAGTTCGAGACCAGCCTGACCAACATGGAGAAACCCGTCTCTACTAAAAATACAAAATTAGCTGGGCGTGGTGGTACGTGCCTGTAGTCCTAGCTACTCAGGAGGCTGAGGCAGGAGAATCACTTGAACCTGGGAGGTGGAGGTTGTGGTGAGCTGAGATCGTGCCATTGTACTCCAGCCTGGGTAACAAGAACAAAACTGTCTCAAAAACAAAACAAAACAAACAAAAATTAGGCGTGGTGGCGCGCGCCTGTAATCTCAGCTACTTGGGAGGCTGTGGCAGAATTGCTTGAACCCGGCAGGCAGAGGTTGCAGTGAGCTGAGATTGGGACACTGCACTCCAGCCTGGGTGACAGAGCGAGACTCTTGTCAAAAAAATAAAAAAAATAAAAAATAAAAAAAAAAAATTGGGGGGGGGCAATAGGGAGTCATTGAAGATGCTTCTGTTGTGGAGAGGGGGGCAGGATAGGACTTGTGTTTTAAGATCCATCCAGCTGTCAGGTGGATAATGGATTCATCGAAGGGCTGTAGGCCAGGGAAGAGGGACAGATGAGGGCTTAGATGAGGATGGTGTAGGGAAGGGGCGGGGTGGGGGGGCGGTGATGGTGGCCAGCAGTAGACAGGGCCCTGCTGTCCAGTGGAACTTTCTGCAGTGGAGGAAATGCTGTGCACCTGCACCAATCATTGTATTGGCCATGAGCCCCGGGTGGCAGTTCATCACCTGAAATGTGGCTTGTGCAACTGAGGAGCTGAATGCTTCATGTTAATTCATTTTTTTTTTTTATTTTTTTCTGAGATAGAGTTTCGCTCTTGTCACCCAGGCTGGAGTGCAATGGCGTGATCTCCGGTCACTACAACCTCTGCCTCCTGGGTTCAAGTGATTCTCCAGCTTCAGCCTCCCAAGTAGCTGGAACTACAGGCACCCACCACCACACCTGGCTAATTTTTGTATTTTAGTAGATACGGGGGTTTCACCATGTTGGCTAGGATGGTCTCGAACCCCTGACCTCAGATGATCTGCCCGCCTCGGCCTCCCAAAGTGTTGGGATTACAGGTGTGAGCCACTGTGCCCAGCCAATGTTAATTCATTAATTCAAGCTAATTAATGGGGCTAGTGGCTACCCTGTTGGACAGCACAGATCTAGGAAGATGTGGACAGAGGTTACCAAGAAGGGACAGCTGGGGACAGGAAAAGGGCTTGAATAACATGCAGGTCAGTTTCCCAGTGTCTTACAAGGACGTCTCCAGCTTTGTTGGGGGGGTGGTTCAGGTCTGAGACCTTGCTCTGCCCAGTGTCAGGGGACACCAGCATGGACAGCCCTCCTAGCCCAGCCGTTGCTGTCCTGGTGGCTTCCGTTCACTGAACACTCTTTTATGGCCCCGGGTGGCAGTTCATCACCTGAAATGCGGCTTGTGCAACTGAGAAGTTGAATGCTTCATGTTCATTCATTTTTTATTTTTATTTTTTTTGAGACAGAGTTTCGCTCTTGTCACCCAGGCTGGAGTGCAATGGCCTGCCTTGGCTGGTGACAGCCCCATGAGGTAGATTTTATGATTTTCATGTTCCAGGTAGGGAAGCCAAGACTCCCACGGCTGTCCTGTCTAAGTCAAGGTCACACAGCCAGTGGGGGCAGAGCTGGGATTTGAACACGTGTCTCATCTGCCTCTAGTGACCTCACCCTTAAGCACTGTTCCATGGTGGAGCTGGCCAAGGACTTCTGGAGGTCCCTGGGTTGAGGGGGAGCCAGTGAGGAGAGGGTAGCCACACCCTGTCACCAGCAAAGCGGCAGGAGCAGACATGGCCTGGTGGTGCTCCGTGGAGAGGCCACTTGTCCTAAGAGGTGTTTGGCAGGGAAGGAGCGGAGGGCAGGCTGGCACTGCCCAGCACCTGCAGCAGCTGAGGACGGGGTAGGGGGATTCCTGGGCCTCCAAGTCCCTTGTTCAGTGGAAGGAAGTCGAGGGGTGGGGGGCTGGTCACCAATGAGCCTGAAAAGCTCTCAGTTCTCACTGTGGGGATTTTAAAAAAATACCGGGGCATGATGACTAAGTGCAGTGTAGAACCCTGGGCTGGGCCGGCTCCTCAACGGGGAAAAAATAAAGGACGATATTGGTGAAATGGTCAAAATCTGACTATGGCCTGTGGATTGGATTGGAATGCAGAGTCCATGCGGTTTCCTGGGCTCGGGGCAGGGGAGAGAATGCCCTTGTTCTCAGCAGATGGCGCCGAGCTAAGGGGTGAAGAGGCAGGTGTCTGCAGTTACCGTGCCCTGATAGGGAGAAACAGAAATGTCTGTCTCCAGATAAAGCCAGAGGGGCCGATGCAAACAGGTGGTGAATCACAGTCAGAGCTCTTCACACTCTTTGTTGCAATTTTACTGTAAGTTTGAAACTGTCAATATAAAAAGTTACAAAGAATTGCTTATAAAGAAGGGAAAAAAAAAGCAGACCCAACCAAGCTCAAGCCTAGATCGGTGTTTGGATTCAGCTCGTGTTGGGGCAGGGCCAGGCATCAGGATTAAAGTATCCCCCCATGAGTATGCTCTGTGAATCTGGGTGGGGAGGGTGCTTAGGTGCTGTTCCCAGCAACCCACCACCCGCCTCCTAGTGCTTGCAAGAATGGGCAGGGAACTCAGTCGACTGCATCAGAACCCGAGAAGCTGGAGGTTGAAGCCAGACACCAGCCTCTCGGGACTTGGGGACACTGTGAGTCCACCCAGCCCCACGGGTCTGAATCTTTGGGAAGGGGAGGGTTCCAGTCTGCGCTCTGCCCCTAAGCATCAGGGCAGGGGGATCACACTGGCATCATCGCTAGCAGTTTCTCCAGCCCCAGCCCTAGAATCAGGCCAAGCTCTCAGCACTGCGTGGGTTTGATCTCGAGGATTCTTTACCACCATCCAGAACTGGGGGGCTGCCACTCATGGGTTCTGTTGTTGTTAAGAGACAGGGTCTTGCTCTGTCACCCAGGCTGGAGTGCAGTGGCATGATCATGGCTCACTGTAGCCTCGACCTCCTGGGCTCAAGCGATCCTCCAGCCTCAGCCTCCCGAGTAGCTGGCACCACAGGCCTGTGCCACCACTCCTGGCTTGCTGCCCATTGTATAGATGAGGAAATTGAGGCCTTAAGGCAGGGTCACTTGCCTGGCCCCTTCCCCTTCACCCATCACAGTCCAGACAGGGAGGGGACGTCCCCTGACCCACCCTGCTCTCTGCTTTCAGGGCAGGAAGACTATGACCGGCTGCGGCCCCTGTCCTACCAGAACACCCACCTCGTGCTCATCTGCTATGACGTCATGAACCCCACCAGCTACGACAACGTCCTCATCAAGGTGAGGCTGGTCTCCTGGGTGGCGGCCCCACATCTGGGCCCGGCCGCACCCCTGATCCCCTGCCTCCTCCCTCCACAGTGGTTCCCTGAGGTCACGCACTTCTGCCGCGGGATCCCCATGGTGCTCATTGGCTGCAAGACAGACCTGAGGAAGGACAAGGAGCAGCTGCGGAAGCTCCGGGCTGCCCAGCTGGAGCCCATCACCTACATGCAGGTGGGCCAGGGGCCAAGACCCTGGGGCGCAGCCGTGGCTGTAAAGCCTCCCCGACCTTTGGCCTCTGCAACTGGGGTGCCTTAGCGGCCTTTCAGGGAGCTGAGGGAAGCAGGATTCTAAGAATAATTTTTAAATATTAGTATTGATGGCCTGTGAACCTGAGCACTTTACACGACTACTCTCAATCCGTAGGACTCAGGCAGGTGCTGTTCACATCCCCCAGTTTACAGCGGAGACAATGAGGCCCAGAGAGGTTAAGCAGCTTGCCCAGGGTCACAGAGCTAGCCAGAAGTGGAGCCAGGATCTGGTCCCATGCACTGCGCTCCAAATTCTGTGCTATGAGCCACTGTGCTGCGCTGCGCGCTGCGCTGTGCTGTGCTGTCCGCCTTGTTTGAAAGGGCCAATTGACCGTGCAACTCTTTGGGTGAGGCATGGGGGAATAAACAGAATAAAAGGAATGTAAAGGCAAAAAGAAACTTTCACAAGAAATAACCATTAATAAGGGCAAATTCAGCTGGGCATAGTGGCTCACGCCTGTAATCCCAGCACTTTGGGAGGCCAAGGCGGGCGAATCACCTGAGGTCAGGAGTTCAAGACCAGCCTGACCAACATGAAGAAACCCCATCTCTACTAAAAATACAACATTAGCTGGGCATGGTGGCGCATGCCTGTAATCCCAGCTACTTGGGAGGCTGAGGGAGGAGAATCGCTTGAACCTGGGAGATGGAGGTTGTGATGAGCCAAGATCGTGCCACTGCGCTCTAGCCTGGGCAACAAGAGCAAAACTCCGCCTCAAAAATAAATAAATAAAAGGGCAAATTCATTTGCCTAAGTTGTACTTTCAGAGAAGAGAGAGGTGGCTGGAAGGCCTGTCTTGAGGCCTCCAACTCTTCTCACAGGCCTGGGAGACACACCTGGGGGAACCAACCCCGGGTCTCAGGATTCAGCCCCTCCCTGCCTGAAGCTGGAGAGAAGCCAGCGTGGGGGCCTGGACAGGGCTTCTTCCAACCTGGGGGATGCACTGCACTGTCCCTCCATTCCACCCACACACTGTGAGGGCCAGCCGGGATGGAGGAGACAGGCCCAAAACAAGGCCTCCACCCCGGGAGAGTCCTCAGAACCAGTCCCAAACCCACCAGGTGGTTCCAGGAGACCTCCAGGGGCCCCTCACCTAATGCTGGCTTCTCCTCCCACCCAGGGCCTGAGCGCCTGCGAACAGATCCGAGCTGCTCTCTACCTGGAATGTTCCGCCAAGTTTCGTGAGAATGTGGAGGACGTCTTCCGGGAGGCCGCCAAGGTGGCTCTCAGCGCTCTGAAGAAGGCGCAGCGGCACAAGAAGCACCGGCTCTGCCTGCTGCTCTGACCCAGGGCGGACAGACCTCACGACAGCACTGACAGGGGCCCCAGGTGCTGACTGCACCAGGGAGGCTGCCCCATCCTGACCCTCCAGCTCACGGTGTCTGGGGCCTGCAGCTAGACTCTTGGAACATTCTGGAACTCTCTCCTTTCCTGATTGGGGCTCTGACCACAAACTCCCCTCCAGGCTAACCCTGGGACAGGGTGGTGATGTGGGTGCAGGAGCCAGTGTCTGTTCTCGGGACTCGGAAGGGCCCTCATCACAGCCACCCCCACCATGAGTGTCTTCCCAGTGCAGACTCAAGTTATGCTTGAAATGAAAAAGTCCATCTGGTGGTGGGTAAACATGGACCTGGCACTGTTCCACGCAGGCGCCCCAAGCCTGCCACTCCTGTGTCCCCACCTCCCTGGGCTCCCGAGATAGGCACCGCTGTATCCTCCAGCTCCTTCCTTCCTTCCCCCAGGAACACGGGGGCCACCAAGGGGGCTGGGCCTATCAGGAGAACACAGGCTGCAGCCCGGTGGAGGGGCTGGCACCCACCCCTCCCATCTCCACCCCACATGGAAGACTTGTCTTCAGCTTGGCCACTGTCTTTGCAGAGCTGGGCACATGTGCCCAGGGGGCAGAAAAAACGGCTTCTCAGTTGTTAAAAGTATACCCTGGACCACCCATCTGACCATCTCTTCAAGGTCTCATCACCAGGACAGGACTGGCCCATTTAGTCCTCAAGCGCCACTTCTACCAGCCTGTGGAGTTCAGGAGGCGAGACACCCCAGCCTCCTATGAGAACTGATGGGATCTACCCTCTGTCCGCACAGGACTTTCTCAGAACTGGTTCACAGACCACCTGTGTCACCAACAGCCAGATACCTAATCCCCGAGTCTCCTTTGGGAAGGTCTGGGGTCGAGGGTCTGGGAATTTTTTTTTTTGGGACAGAGTCTCGTTCTGTCGCCCAGGCTGGAGTCCAGTGGTACGGTCTTGGCTCACTGCAAGCTCCACCTCCTGGGTTCAAGTGATTCTCTAGCCTCAGCCTCCTGAGTAGCTGGGATTACAGGCATGCACCACCACATCCGGCTAATTTTTTTGTATTTTTAGTAGAGACGGGGTTTCACCATATTGGCCAGGCTGGTCTCGAACTCCTGACTTTGTGATCCACCCGCCTTGGCCTCCCAAGTGCTGGGATTACAGGCATGAGCCACTGCACCTGGCCCAGGACTTTTAAAACAAGTATCCCAGGGGATTCCGGTGCCTACCAGAGGTCACAAGCTGCTTGGCTCTGGAGTGCACCTAGGATTGGGTGCCGCCTAAGATGGGATAACGGCTTCAGGCGACTCCTAGCCTTCCCGGTATCTCTTGCCTTGGCCCCCCTGGCCCAGTGCTGGGGTGTCAGCTAAGCCTGAGAAGTCAGGTCACCAAAGGAAGAAGCCTTCTGAGAGCCTCCCCACCCCACCCAGGTTCCCAAGGCCCTGCTGTCCCCTGGGGAATCAACCAAGGAGCTCTTGTTCTCAAAGAACCCACGGCCTCGTGATGGTCTAAGGTAGAGGTCCGAAAACTACAGCCTGTGGGCCACATCTGGCCACAGCCTGATGTGTAAATAAAGTTTTATTGGAACACAGCCACACCCATTCCTTTGTGCATTGCCTTTTCCGTGGCTGTAGGCAAGAGTAGCTGCCACACAGACCACCTGGCCCATAAAGCTCAAAATAGCTGCCATCCGACCCTTTATAGCCAGCTAGCTGACTGCTAGTCTAGGGCAAACGCAGGGGCCTAAAGAGGGTTAGAAAGGAAACCAGAATGAAGGGCAGGCATTTGGGAGTGGCGTGGCCTGTGGCGACTGGAGAGCAGGCATCCTGTGCCATGGGGATGTTGCCAGGTTCATTTTTCTAGGGAAAGCAGAAATCTGGATTTTTATGTGGAATCTCACTGTAGGAGAGGGGAAATCTCATTTTAAAAATGTAATCAGACCAGGCACAGTGGCTCACACCTGTAATCCCAGCACTTTGGGAGGCCAAGATAGGAGGATCAGTTGAGCCCATGAGTTGGAGACCAGCCTGGGCAACATAGCGAGACCTCATCTCTACTAAAAAAACATTAAAAAGTGGCAGGGTGGCTAGGCGTGGTGGCTCACGCATGTAATCCCAGCACTTTGGGAGGCCGAAGCAGGCAGATCACGAGGTCAAGAGATTGAGACCATCCTGGCAAACATGGTGAAACCCTGTCTCTACTAAAAATACAAAAAAAAAGCCAGGTATGGTGGCATGCGCCTGTAATCCCAGCTACTCAGGAGGCTGAGGCAGGAGAATCGCTTGAACCCGGGGGGCAGAGGTTGCAGTGAGCTCAGATCGTGTCACTGCACTCCAGCCTGGGTGACAGATACTCTCTCACCAAAAAAAAAAAAGCAGGGCATGGTGGCGCGCGCTTGTGGTCCCAGCTGCTCCAGAGGGTGAGGTGGGAGGATCTCTTGAGCCCTGGAGACGGAGGCTGCAGTGAGCTATGATCGTGCCACTGCACTCCAGCCTAGGCAACAGAGACCCTGTCCCCACCGCCAAAAAATATTCAAAATTTTTAAATGCCTTGGGAATTGTAACAAGGCATGCCTGTGGGCACTGCTGTGAGGTCTGGCCTAGGGATTTGTAGGGCCCTGGTTAGCGGGAGCTGAGGCCCATATATGAATGGCGGGGCAGAGCACTGAGCCGAACCTGCTGGCCTCTCCACCTCCTGTCGAATGCAGAGTCTCACCCAAGTGGTGCCCAGTGGCTCTGGCCCCACCTCAGGTGCGGCCCCTGGGGGTGAACCTGCCAGGCATCCCCACCTCCCTCCCACAACATCCAGAACCTCCGGAAAGGAGAGGGGAGGTGGGTCCCCTCCACAGGGGCCAAGGGTCTTGGTCCCACTCCCCAGGTACCTGCGGCGAGACTGCAGGAAGGTGGGCTGCAGGATGGGGGGTCAGGGAACCCTGAAGTGCAGGCGGGAATGTCCTTTTCCCCTTGGACTACCTAGGGCCCGGGTCACCCTCTGGTGGCGACTCTGCTCACAGCCTGACTCAGGACGCCCCCAGCGCTCCCAGTGGCAAGAAGAGCACGAGGCAGACACAGTGGGTCTCTGAGAACTTAAATAACCCTCTCCACTCGGCGGGGTGGGTGAGGAGGGGGCTCACAGCAGAAGCAGAGTGGCCCCGGGGTGGGGGCGCCACAGGACACTGAGGGTTCACACCACCCCAGCCTGGGCCTGGTAAGTAGCAGGTCAGCATAAATCCAACCCCGCGAGGCACATCCAAACCCCACCCAGAGGGGTTCAAATGACAGGAGTGGGAACAGAGGGGCTCCCTGAGGCTTCAGGCCCCATCCCCAGGAAGACTGGCATGGCCTCGGCCACCTTCAAGCACAGGGGGGAGGCCTCGGGTTCCAGGGACGATGGGGGACCCAGCATTAAATATGTCATAAATAGGTGGGTGGACAGGCGGGGCTCACATTCCCCTAGTCCGTTGGGGTCCGCTGGGGGACCAGGGCCTGGGCCCTCTCCCAGCGACGCCACGTGCCTGAGATGGTGACTGGGAAGAAGGCCGGAAGCCCCCTGCAGTCTGAAGTCTGGGCCGAGGGCACAGGAGCCTGAGGCTCACGGCTGCTTTGTCTTGCCTCTGTTCTTCTGGAGCTTGGCATGCACGACTTTGAGCGTGGTCAGGAAGTTGCCGAGGAAGAGGATGAGGAAGGTGAGCGCCAGCACGAACACCTGGGGAGTCCAGAGAGGAGGGCCAGGCTGGGGCATCTGCCCTGCTGAACCCCTGCCCCCAGCACCCCAGAATCTACAGCACAGCTACTCCCAAACTGCAGGGTTCTGCCACTGAAGGCAGAGATTCAGGAGACCTGGGTGAAGGGGTGAGGCCTCAGGCTTGGGCAAGGCCTGGGAAGGGCTCTATGGGGCGAACCTCCTTGGGATCCATAGATTGGGAGAGGCTCTACCCCTAGCCCTTCCAGGAGCCTCCCCCCAAGCACACCACACACACACACACACACACACACACACACACATACACACCCCCCCCAAACCTGCGAGCCCAGCCCGCCCCAGGAACCTCCCCAGCACACCACACACATGCACACACCCCACCCCCACATCTGCCATCCCAGCCCTCCCCAGGAATCTGCACCCCAACATGCCACACATACACCTCACCCCTGCTACCCCAGCCCTCCCGGGAAGCTCCCCCGAGCATGCCCCCACCCTCCATACCTGCCATTCTCTGCATGCCTCGTGGCTGGAGAGCTCGAACAGCGTGACGGCATTGTAGAGCTGCCAGAACTAGAGAGGAAGGCAGGCGCTGCTCACCCACCAGGCTCCCCTGGCCAGCCACGTAGAAAGCCAGGGAGATGCCCAGGCCCCCCACCCAACTTTGGGTATCAACTACCCACAGCACTGACAGACACCCCCCAAAATCAGCAGGCACCCGAGGCCAGGGCAGGGCTGGGCCAGTTCTGGCTCCTGCCTTGGCATCCCTGGGCTCAGAGGCTGCCCAGGCCCCAGGATGCCATGGGGCCCAGCATGGGGATGGATGGAGAAAGAGGGCAAGGCCTGAAGACCTTCTGTTCCTGGGGGTCAGCCCAAACAGGAGATACCCACAAACTCCAGGGGAACTCACATGGCCACAGAAGAGGAAGGGCAGGAGAAAGGTGAGGCCCCGCCACATCCAGGACTGGAACCCTTCTGTGGAGAGGAGGGAAGAAAAAGGACCCACTGAGGGGCTCTGCTGCCCCCAAAGCCCCACCAGACACCCACCCCCAGCCACGCCAGTCACCCTAAGATGAGCCAGGCACAGTCACACATGCGGAGGGTCAGCCCTCACCTGTCATAGCTGGGTGGGCATTCACTATGGCAATAGCAGCCCTGTCACCCAGCCCGACTGCTGTCACTCCTCAAGTCACCAAGAGCCAGGTGGCCCTGACAGCACGCACAGGTGCCGGGTGCTACGCTGTTACTAATTGCTTTTTTTTTTTTTTTTTTTGAGGCGGAGTCTCGCTCTGTCGCCCAGGCTGGAGTGCAGTGGCCGGATCTCAGCTCACTGCAAGCTCCGCCTCCCGGGTTCACGCCATTCTCCTGCCTCAAGACTCCCGAGTAGCTGGGACTACAGGCGCCCGCCACCTCGCCCGGCTAGATTTTTGTATTTTTTTTTAGTAGAGACGGGGTTTCACCGGGTTAGCCAGGATGGTCTTGATCTCCTGACCTCGTGATCCGCCCGTCTCGGCCTCCCAAAGTGCTGGGATTACAGGCTTGAGCCACCGCGCCCGGCCTGTTACTAGTTTCTTTAATCTGCACAGGGCTTTGCATTTTATCATGAATTCTCACATGCATCACTTCTATTGAGTCTTGAGACAGGAGGACCTACTTAGCAGAGTAATTTGATGGAAATGACCATGTCAAAAGACAGCACAGTTGGCCAGGTGCAGTGGCTCATGCCTGAAATCTCAGCACTTTAGGAGGCCAAGGCAGGCAGATCACTTGAGGCCAGGAATTTGAGACCAGCCTGGCCAACATGGTGAAACCCCGTCTCTACTAAAAATACAAAAATTAGCTGGGCGTGGTGGCGGGCACCTGTAATCTCAGCTACTCAGGAGGCTGAGGCAGGAGAATCGCTTGAACCCGGGAGAAGGAGGTTGCAGTGAACAGAGATAATGCCACTGCAATGCAGCCTGGGCAACAGAGTGAGACGCCATCTCAAAAAAAAAAAAACAAAAAAGATAGCAGAGTTGTATTAAAAACAGTTTCCCCTGAAATTCTCAATGAGGGGGTCTCCTCACTTTTCTGACCGGCACCCCTATGGCTTAAGAATGAAGCATGTCTCCCCCGTGTACGTGCATTTATGTACTTATACATGTTGGTATGCAGACACGTAATAGACAAATGGCTAATTGTGTGTGTGTGTGTGTGTGTGTGTATACATTCTAAAACACACACACAAAAATAGATACTTCCAGAGGCTGACACAGAGGCCCTGCCCTCGGGGCCTGCTATGCAGCTGGCCTGGCACTTGGCAGCTAAAACAGAATCCAGGATGAATTCTGGAAGGCGCTTCGGGATAAAGGGCAGCGGCCTGGCTCCACTGTATGGCAGACGCTCGCTGGGCCGCACTCCCGGTGTGGGGGAGCTGGCGGGTCCAGCACCTGCCCCCGCTCCAACCCAGGCCCAGCTACTCACCCACTGTAAGATCCAGGTGGTTCCTCTCCCCCAGGGCCCGCAGCCGGTAGAGGCAGCCCCTCTGGTAATAATATTGCAGGAACTGTACGCAGCCTGCAGGGGGAGCACAGCGCCCGGGCTCAGGGCATGGTGTCCCCAGAAGACAGGGCAACACCTCCTCTCTGCCCCAAGAGAAGGCTGGTGGGTCTTTACTGGGCAGAGGCAGAGAGGGTGCCCTGGTTACAACCCTCTCCCACGCCCAACACACCACACACAGACACACACACCCTTTGGTCTGAACCTGCTTTAGCCCTTATAGAGAACATAGACAGAACTCAGGTATGTGAGGACCCATCTAAGCCCCAATGAGAATCGAAACTTCTGGAATTTTCCATGCAGTAGACAACAGATGCTTGCTGGAATGCAAGCTATGCCAGTGCTATGTTGGG